CGTTGAAGCTTCCAAATCAATGGAAAATACATCCCACGTTCCACGCTTCTGAACTATCCTCCTATCGCGAGACAGAGATACATGGACCGAACTACACCGAACCTCCACCTGACGTTATCAACGGCGAAGAAGAATACGAAGTAGAAGCTATTCTTAGCCATAAAGGAACGGGTAAACGAAGACGCTATCTCGTATCATGGATAGGCTATTCGTCCGGAAGCAACGAATGGATACCCGAAGAAAACTTGCGGAGTTCGAAAGAGCTTCTAACAAGGTATAAAGAAAGACACAAGTTGAACTGAACGAACCATTCCCCTTGAACAAACACCCCAAGTAACATGACTCCCCCATTGACACCTTCCCCTACCGGATCGTCCTCATCCGCCTTCTCCCTCGAAAACTCCACATACAAAAAGAATATCATTGACCTAGACGACGACGCCATCGTCGAAACAACCCTGTTGTCCCTTCCCCATGCAGTTGAACTAGAAAATCAGCTCGCCAAAGAACCTGCATTTGTCGCCGCCCCCATACTATCCCAAATCCACGTTATACGCGCCACCGCCGCCCTTGAACTCAGATTCAAGGAAATCAAGGACAATGCCCTCAGACTCGCTTGCCAACACCTTCAGAGACAAATTCGCAGTCTTGAGATTCAGCTGCTTCCTTCTGCTTTTAGCACTGTCTGCAAATCAGTTATATGAGCTGTTGCAGAATGAAGCAAGACCGAAGTCGGTCGCCCGCCAAGCCCTTCTACTAGCACTCCCCCCGGCAGCATACCTGCTGCAAATACGATTAGAGAAGAAACTCAGCCTGTTGCTCAACCAGCACAAGCTGAAGAACCATTACCCATCCCCGAACCCACCGTCGTCTTTAAACGAAAGACCCGCAAGGGAGCTACCGTGCACGGAGTGTCGAAGACTAGAGCTTCTAAGGGAAAGAAGCGCGAAGTCATTGACCTCACCGAAACCCCCGACATCATCACAGTAAAACAACCCCAGTTCTCCCCAGACAATTTCGTCTGTCGCGTCTGTAAGAAACTCGGGCACCGTCACAAGAACTGCCCTGAATATCATTGCCGCGTATGCCAAAGCCAGAAGCCTGGCCATCTTTCCATCTATTGCCCTTACGCCGCAAAAAAGGAACTATTCCCATTGGTTTACACCGATGAAGGCTTCTACGAAGCACTGTCGGAATGGGAGGCGAGGAAAGATGAAGAACTCCAGGAGGAGATAGACCGGGCGAATCAGGAGTACGCCACTAAGTATAACGAACCGGAGTTCTGCAACGCCGACGCAGACCCAATTTACTATGACCACATGGACGAGTATGTCAATACCGAGGAATATTGAAGTCGGAGACTTCAACCATAGCAGTGGGGTAATGTTACAGTAACATTTAACCCCTATCTTCATTTCCTTTTGTTCCACTTACAAACGGGCCGTCCGTATCATGCTTATCTCTTATCTTCGCCAAGCGGGCTGTCCGCCTTATCTTTTCTCTTATCATGCTTCTATCTTGATAAACATTTACAAGCTCCGCTTGAACACTTGTATATAAACCTAGCTACCAACGATTGTATTCTTTACTTTAATCTACTGGGTTTTACCTGGAACATTGTCCTTCAGTAAGGTCTCCAACCTTACTGTCAAAGAACTACTATTCTAAGGGAGTCAGCGACACTCGCCTTAGCCAGAAACCTTGACCTCTCATTCGAGAGCAGACTCACGTCTATCTGGCATCCTGCCGATTGTCTATTCAGACACAGATAGCTCGACTCATCCCAGTCGTAACAATACTTGTCCGCCCAATCCAACCCTATATTGACTAGAGGCGCAAGGTGTGGTATTAGAAGCAACTCATTCCACCGCTGGATCATGTTCTCGAAAGCGGGAACTGCACTGCTCAGTGTGGGAGTGCTTTCGCTGGACATTGTTTGCTGAGCAGTGTGTGGTGCCTAATATACAATGCTAAAACAGATCGCAAGTTTCGAAGATGTAAGTACTGACCTCCAAAATCACTTCAAGGTCCTGTAAGACGAGCCATTCCATAGGACTCAACTTCTTGTCGATCATGTGGCATTGAAGGGGGGAGTCGCAGAATAAATCCACGGCCTAGTTCACTGTGAGTCCATGTATTTAGTTGAGTGGACGCTTACCTGGCGAAGGGTTCATAAACGGTTCAGCATGACATAGGATGAGTCCCAACGTGTGGGCTCATCATGCAGGAGTTGCACAACAGGGAGTTGGATGTTTACACCTGAGTCGTCTTGGAACCACTTCTCGTCGTTTCCTGTGGTAATGATTACCCTAAAACTATTACATCGTTTGTCCGATGCATGGATGGTGCGTATGAGGAGCCTCGCCTGATCCAGAGCTTTGACTTGGACAGCTTGAACATACATATCTTTCTCGATAATCTTACCTTCAACTACCCATCTGTCGACCACATCTGAAAAGTCGGCTTTCCAGTACTCATCGAGAACATGCCTCACACAAATGTTGATGATGTGAGGAAAGCATGGGATCCTCTGTTTGACAGGATGAAATTGTATCCCACGTGACTCCAATAGGCATGATAACTCTTGCATGGAGGTGTGGTTGTTTGCCGCATTGTCGAGAGTAAAATGACCCGACTAAATGAAGTCAGCACATGTCACATTGAACAAACTAGATACCAACTTTATCTGTTACATTGGCACGATCAAGGAGGCCCAGGATGGATGTGCCCAGGCTATCTCCTGTATGACTCCCTGGTGTATGATGGAAAGCTATCAGTGCTGCCTTTAAGACGAGCACATTAGTCCAATCTTCTTTGGCAATCCAGTGAGCAGTAATCGCCATAAACGGACGGAGATTATAATCCGACCACAGGTCGGAGGTAAACGAGATCTTTCCCTGTGCCTTCTGAAAAAAATATAAGACACTTCATGGGACTCGACAGTAATACACTTACCGAAAGGTCGCTCTTTAAGGCCCTGAAGTAGTCATCAAAAGCATCAAGGATCAATTCCCGCAATTTGGTGCGGTGACATATGTCAGCATCGTTTAACGCTGGTCGCAGAAGACGGATCAATCGACGAAATTCAGGGCATTCGATGATATTGATTGCCTGAAGACATTAGTAACAATAGCTTGTAGAAAGTAGTCAGCGACTCACCTGGTCATCAACAACGATAAACTTGACGAGCTGTCGATGCATTTCATCGAGGGTGAAGTCAGGTAAATCATCTTGTAGAGGTCCCTGCCTAAGTGACGTGCCATCGCGATCAGAGGGAGAACCAAGTGAATCGATGGTACAAGTCGGATCCTTCTTCAGCCGTCTACAGATCATCCCAAGGGTCCAACCTTCATCGAAAAGATCATTCAAAGACTTGATGTGTATTTGCCATCCATGGCGCTCCGCCTCTTCTAAGTAAAGGTCGGTGTGACAGCTGAAAATGTGTGTTCGACGACCTCCAGAAGCAGTAGAGTTAGTGTATGACGTCACTGGGTGTGAGGCATCCTGTTGGTTCATTCGCCTGGTAAAGAATGTAAGAAAGAACAAATGTCTTGCATTGATGCAGATGCAATACTTACTCACAAGGTATGCAGATCCTGCGCTTAGCAACTGTATCTTCCCTAAAAAAGAAAAGAACATCATCAGAACTTTTAGGTTTTTTGGCACGACCACCAGTGGCCAAAGGTTCAGTTGAGGTGGAATGGACGGTGTTGATTGCAGTTTGCAATGGGCTAGGGCCTGTAGGTGCCCTGTCCATAGGTGCCCTGACCGTAGGCGCAGGAAGGCTGTCCTCTCCTTCGTCTGCAGAGACATCGTCAAGATTGAAGGACTCCCCTTCTTCCACTGTAGGATCTGTGGGATTTGGAGCTGCAGCACCATCTCGATATCTGCGAGGGAGCTGCCGGTTTCGATGTGGGTTGGTAAATGCTGCAACAGCAATGGGGATGATGGTGGGAGGGGCCAGGATGGGAGCAGCGACAGCAGCAGTGGGAGTGGGTATGGGAGTGGCGATAGCAGCAGTGGGGGTAGCAATGATTGGAGTGGGAATGGGAGCAGCTGCAGCAATGACCTTGGGCGCACGCCGGCAAGGTGGCATATTGGTAGTACTGTGGTCCGTGGTAGACTAGTAGCAGTGAAAACCCAATGACGAAATCCCTCTTTATATAAATGAAGACCCTGGAAATATCAATGAGTATTATAGAAAATAGTACGGAGTACTGGACCGCTTACCTGTAAAGTTTAAAGGGTGCTGAGCGATAGGGTGTGGCCATACAAGGTGAGCATCTAGAGTCTGGTAACTCCTGGGGTCGTGCCCTCACCCTCAGGAAATCAGGATCGATCGGTTCATCGAGTGCTGAAACTAGATATAAGTCAGATATTCCCTGCAGGAAATGTGAGTGAAAAATGTTTCTACCTGATACTGATAAAAGCACGTGGGTGCTTGGCAGTGGCAGATGATGAGTGAAGCTTGCCTTCACCCTCATGGTCAATTTTAATCATGTTCTAACATACCTTCATCCTCGCTGCTTATGCTGATAGCCGCTGATTGATTGTGTGCCGGACAAGCCTGAATCTATATCACATCGGAATAAAGTCAGAAAGGGAAGTGACTTGTTGGTAAAGTCTCACATGCAGACTCAGTGATGCGAATGGGACTAGGGTTCAATGGCAAGGTACCTCATGGAGCCTAGGTGTTGGGCATGGGGCAGGACCGGCAGGTTCCACTGCGCAATGCAGATTGGAGCGTGGGAAAATTATATGTTTATTAATTATGCCTAGACTGGACATACATCGTGGTACTGTAGCAACAACTTGATACATGTGTTCGTTTTATGTACATACAAGTAATAGTAGTTACCCTTATTCCATCAACAGTGTTGGCTACTTTTGCGGCATGGTGTTGAAGTGGGTGCATCATGCATGTGGTTGGAAGCCGTTACGTGGACGTAAACTTCAAGATAACTTGAGCTTCGGTTCACAAGTGAGATGAAGTGGACTACTCACATACGAGTTGATTGGCGAAGAGGCATTTCCTTCAGCAGACATGGGGGTGTCACCTCAGTCACCCGATATTCATTAGAGAATGCAGGAGTATGTGTGGTAAGATCATCAGGCTTGTTGAAATCAAGCAAGCGTGTAGCTGATGCAGGTAGGGTGGCACGAAGACCATGCAGTAACAAACGAAGATAGCCATGGTCAGGATCCTCCGAGAATGCAAGAGAGCGCGAGTAAACGAGAATACTCGCGAACTCGACAGGAATTCCATGACACAAGGCTTCAACGGTAGTGTTTATTTTGCGCTCGAGTATGGCAGCACTAGAAGTCTTCTCGTGGTCATTGGATAGCCATGGGAGGGAGCCACACAAAAAATATATCAACATATATGCCAGTGATTCGAGATCATCGCAGCGACCTGGCTCAACTCCTAGGTGGTTGTTGATTGAGGCAAATGCGGGGGTGCCAGTAAGACGTCGATCATGGCGAAATGGTATGTGCATTCTGGTTGACGTGTTGCAGTACTCCTTGGCAATACCGAAGTCGATAATAAAGGCAGTGTGCCTCAAATCGTCGAGACCCACCACGACATTCTGTGGTTTGATGTCACCATGGACGTAGTTGTGCGAGTGAATGTATTCGAGACATGAGAGCTGAGTAAATATATTAGCCTCTGCAACAACCCGTCACAGACCGACCTACCAGTTGGTCACCAAGATTAACGACAGTATGAAGGCTGAATTTCTGATCGTGCGAAAGGAATATATCATGCAGTGATGAACCAAGGAGCTCGAGAGCCAGAGCATGGTATATTGACTCTCTGCCGAACCAAAGTACATGGGGTATGCTGACTCCACCTTCGAGTTGTTTCAGAATGTGGTATTTGCACTGCAGAGAAGATGAATTGTTGACGATGGGTTCCAGTTTGATGGCAACTACATCATCATTTATGATGTTTTGTGCGCGGTACACGACAGCTAAGTGAGATACCGAGTCTGAATCAACATAGTCACCATGTGAATGTCATAGTTACATACCATATGAACCAGATCCTAGTACGTCCCCCAGTCTAAATCTTCCATCAACTCGAACGGGGACTTTATTCATAGTAAACAATCCAATCAACACTAGTTGACTCCTGGAGCCTGAGAAAGGTTTTCATACGTTGGAGCTGGCTTGAAACGGCTTAAGCCATTTTAAGCCGGTGTTCACTCATTTTCGGTTCATAGCTGGTTTGCATGGCTGACTAACGCTTTGAACCAATCTAAACAGCTCACTTGGTGACTTGGCTACCAGTGTAGCCGAACTGCTGGCTATCCGGCAAATGCCGAGCCTGAGTCGGCCATAGCCGGACCGCGGCACAACTAGTTGTGTACATCTTTTACATGTGTGGACAGAACAGTACAGCTTTACAGGTTGGTGTGCTACTGGACAGTAGCACACGGTATTTTTCGTCACAGTTTCGAAATATTGCACATGACACAATTTTCAGTAGGTATCTGTAGTAGTAGTCTGTACAGGAACTAACAGAATGAAGTGTTATTGTAGTGAAGTGTACAGAAGGGACCAAGCTGTGCATCTTGCATGCTGTACAGAACGAAGTAGTTTGCTGATGTACTCGTTTTCTATTGATATCACGCCAGCACCCATACATACATACATTAGACCAAGCGGGAGTAAGCCCCCCGCGAACAGGGCTATGTCCTACATAGGGTCCTCGACCCCGAAGGTGATTTTTTTTTTTTTTTTTTTAAAAAAGATAGATATTTGGCTACTGATCAGTCAACTACAGAGAAATGATATCGATCAAGAACGAAAAGTCATGCGAGCACTCGCCAACGATACATACACTGTCACCGTGTGGTGTGCAAGAGCGCAAATCATGCGCAACATGTGAGAGAACTCATGTGAGACGGTACGAGAGCACGCGAGAGGAGGCATTCAATGGTTCCATTATCTACAAGAAAGGGAAAGAAAAATACTTTATGCAAGTGAGAGGACAGCAGGTGCAGGAAAGCGGTAGTATGCAGCAACAAGCGCGAGAAATTAGCGGAAGGTGTTGCACGGCATATTCCCAAGGATTGCTAAAATTCCTGGATACGTGCCAAATAATACACATACATTCAAACATACTTGTCTGTACAATCCGCTTCTCGAACCTTAAGAACAAATACAAATACAACATATACTGCGGACACATTGCGTTCTTCACTGATACCTTGTCCCGAAAATCCCCTCTTCGTATGATTTGATTTCTGAATGTCATCAAGTTCATCAAACCGGAATCAGGAGGACAGAAAACGACTTACGCAATGCGATATGCTTGGAGTGGAACCGACAAAGCGCCAAGTTCCCCATCATGCACCATATGCCATTGAGTTCCGCGTTCTTGTTGCGTCCACCAACTTCGCGCCAGACGCTATTCAGCTCTCCTTCTTTGTCAAGGCCCCAGATAGGATACAATTTATCATGCAGGGACTCCGGAAGCAGAGCACGATAGGCATGACGTGCATCAGCGTAGCTGATAATAATGTGAATCACAATGTCTATTGGTCAGTAAGAACAACGTACCCAGTAGCGAAGACCACTACGTCCGCATCGAGAGTAGAACCGTCTTCGAAAAGTAAACCTGTCTGGGTAAAGCGCGAGATTGGCCCATCGCTCTTAAGTTTAATCTTCCCGTCGATGATCATCTGGGAAGCTCCAACATCTTGATATTAACATTATATGGTCAGCGCAGACACGCTCCGATTCGCAAATGGACCAACCGAGATAGTATCCTCCTCCCTTATTCCATGCCATAAGTAGAAAGCCAGAGTCGTCGTCGCCCAAAGTTGTCTTGAAGCCCCGTTTTCGCAGGCCGTCAAGAATTTCCCTGAATCCCTCCTCTATCAGGCGACCGGAATATGATATGTAATCACGTACTTATCTGCATCAGCAATGTCTTTGGTGACACGTTGGTGTATTAATTTGAGCAATGAATTGGGGTAAGACGCATTCACGCGATCCGCAACATCAGTAGGAGGGCCGCCCTCCCAGAAGATCGCTGGGTGCGTTTATAATAGCAAAATTGTAAAATAATAGAGAACTCACCCATTAACCTCGGCATACCCTCCTTTGTGGACATGATGTAACTCGGGCTACGTTGAACCATGGTCACATCTGCGCCAATTTTGCTCAAATACCATCAATATGCTTTAGAAAATCATTTACCAACGCCATTTTCGACATAGTCCGCACATATGTCATGCGCTACACTTTACAGTGAGCAGTGAAAATACGACACTCATGATGCGACCCCTACCAGACGTGCAAGCGCCAACAACGACGACCTTCTTCCCTGCGTGATCAGTTGCAAGATTGTGATGGCTGGAATGCAATATCTGCCCCTTGAAGTTGTCCTATGTGGGTATTTAATGTTAGCCTGAGGACCCTGCATTCATGGATCGAACGAACCTGCCCTGGGATATCTGGAATTCGGCCCATACCACTGCCAAAGCCCAAGGAGAATACGACATGGTTGACCTCAAAGGTACGCTCCCCTTTGTCAGGACGTTGGACCGTGACACTCCATTTCTTTCCCTTCGTACCCGGAATGACGGACATGACCGTAGCGCTGGTCCAAACGTCAAGCTCCATACTGTGTGCATATGATTCTAGCCAATCTGCCAGTTTCAATGCAGGCGTGTAGACAGGCCACGATGTAGGGAACCTGCGTAATTTTTGGTTAGACAGTCATGGATGAACCGAGGTGTGAGACCCACGGAATGTATGGCATGTGATCATACCCTACACATAGGTGGATTGAGCAAGAAGCAAACACGATATTCTGACATAGTGATAGGCTCACAGACGGGATCATGGAGACACAACGCTGCATAACGCTTTCTCCAATTATCGCCAATCCTCTCGTTCTTTTCCACTACTAGAGTCTTCATACCAAGCATCTTAAGCCGGGCTGCAACGTCGAGCCCACTCTGCCCGCCTCCTATCACTATGACGCTGGGTTCTTCATCGATACATTCAATTTCACGTGCACGCTTCACAGCCCACTTTCCATGGTTTGGCTGGTAGTCTCGTCTGGGCCCATTCTGTTCTGGAAAACCTTTGAGATTTTCCAAGTTCGTGAAGACGGTATGGGCCTTCCATGAGCCATCTGCGAGTGGTACAAGCCGGAACACCCCAGATGCAATGCCGACTGTAGTTTCAAAGTCAAAAAACGCCTGAATCCAAGCGATATCCGGGTATGGTCTCTGAAGATCTACGAGATCTTCCCTGAGTTTGAAAGAAGACAAGGTGAATAATGGAAGTTGGTCTGTGAGGAATGTTTTCACTGAAGGAATGCTTTGGAAGGTGTGGAAGTCCCATGTTAAGGAGAGCATATCGCGCCAGAAGACATCATCGACGAGGAGATCTATGACTGCTGTTATATTCTTTGATTGCATCGCTTCCGCGAAAGTTGAGAACCATTGGCTCGCGATGGCTTGAACATTGACATCGGGAGGAACTGAGCTTCTGAGGTTATCGAGAGTAGGGAGGGCCAGTTGGTTCGCCATGATGCACAGAAAACATGACCTTGAGATTATCACCGCTATAAATGCTTTTTGCCAGAACGGAGTTTCATCGAAATTGATACGTACGGACCTCCAATTTCGGCTCTACTTCCTGATCAGATGTCGTTTGGAATCATGATAGGGGATGCATCTGACCTGCCACCGTGACTGCGAGGGTGACAGGTTTTGATAACGTTCTAAAGTTGGCCTAAAGAGATTTAAATTAGCAAAGTTGCCACGCTCACCCGAACCAGTACAATTGCAGTGAGTCACTCAAAGTTACCCGCAGTAGATCAGATACGACCCTCATCAATGCTCTCTCGTACACCCGACACCTGTCGTGAATGAATTCTCCAAATCTTGCTGCTCTGCCTGGCGATCTTTTATTGGAGGTAACATCATGCCTATCCTCTAGGGCGGATATCCTCAACCTGGCACTCTCAGTAAGTATCCCAAACTCAATTGTGACTTCTTTCCTGAATTCATCACACGAAGAGCAAATACCTGTTCACTAGCACATGCCCTGTATTGTATGCCCATGTGCACCTCGGGACCGCAGAACAATGCCAGCGAACCCTGTCCATGCTCCGTTCTCGCCCGGACGTTGCGCGCCATATCCAGAAACTCCATATTCAATTTTCTGCCTCTTCCAACTATATGGTTGATATCAATGGAATTACGATCTCAGCGATGCTGAGAGAACTGGCGCCGAAACTGGACGTGCTCCATACTTTCATCTGGGACGCGGATGAGATCCCTCAATGCGATGATATGTGGTTCGCCTTACGAATGTCGTATGTCTGATCGGCGAATCATTTCTCACCAATTACTTAATTTTGTCACAGGTGCCCACGACTGCGCACACTTGGCACATGTTATGGATCTGTGATACCCAGCCAACGAAGTCATGTATGTGCATAACAAAAATGTGTGCCATTCATTTATTTTCTTCAGTTGCTGGAATTTAAGAACCTCCGCGGGTTCTCGTTGACCCTGAAATATGGATACCACACTCATCATACAGATGACTTTCAAGGTCTGTGCTCGGTTGACATGTGATTTCTTAGCACTCTGATGCGTTGCAGATGCTCTTCCTTTCGATGGTCGTCTTTGGGATATGCTGATCCGGCGTTCTCCGGACCTGGAGGAGCTGCATGTCTTGGGTGGACCATTGATTCTAGACGGAACAGTGCACCCGCTCTGCAACGCACGCTGGCCCCTCCTACATTCCCTATCTCTAGGCGACGTCATGTTAGATTGGTCTTCAGGACCAGGGCCTATGTCCTCCAAGCGCCCCTTCATAGCCTTTTTGGAGGCTCATCAGCGTCTGCGGTTTTTTCGTATATCCCGCACTGCACTGAGTCCTCATATCCTCCCTTCACTCGATCCATCCGCTTTACCACACCTTACCCATTTTACTGGTTCGTTGGAACACCTCCAAGCCCTAGCCCCCTCCCATCCACAAATCACACACTTAGCGATCGAGGAGCCGCTAATCATCCGTGATCTCGCACCTCTTTTAATCGCAGGGGTATTGCAGAGCCTGCACTGCCTCACTGAACTTCGCGTTGCCTTCGTTTTCCACTCTTCGTATGAAAATGGAAACTTGATTAGAAACCTTGTAAGCGCTTGCCCTGGACTGACCACGTTGGAGATAACGTGCGCAAGAAGGTCGTCCTTCAAAGTTGTATGTTTGTTTTTCTTGATTGCCACCTGTATACTAAGTTTTTCGATGTCTATCAGGACACACTAGCCAAATCCGTCAACTGCCTCCCTCGTCTGCGTCATCTACGGTTGACGCTAGTTCCGATAGCCACAGGGGACTCATTGCGCGTTTGCGCATCCCATGTCGTACAAGCGATCCCGCGCTTACAGTCATTTGCACTGACGTTCATTTCTGCCTCACTTCCTCTATCTCTTACCCCCGTCGATTTTGGCTTGTATGAGGAGAGTGGGAACTACGTTGTTCGTACCGATGAGCATGGGCTCCCTCATTCTCTGAGCTGCACCGAGCGAAGACCTGCGCTACGCCTGCCCTTCACACTTCCTAGCATCCCCATCCCACTAGCAGTGCCGCTACTGACTTTTTCTCCTTTCACATCCCCTTCCCCGCCAAGGGAGAGGAAAATGAGAATGCAGCGATACTTGCTGAACCTCCATCCAGGCACTTCCAAGCATGGTGGGTTAGGTCTTATTTTGGAGCGTAGTACAGCAGGGGATGAGGCGAGGGTGCTTACTGTTCTTATAGCCCTGAGCGGGCTTGCGCTGTGGGGTTTCTTTGCATAGATTTAGTCGTGATGGGTACGGACAACCTAACAGCCCCTCATTTTTATTATTTATTATTTATCGGAGTTAAAGTTGATTTATTGATGGACTTCGCTCGGACATGATATCGATAGATTCTGGAAGCCAAGAGACATGTCAACTTGCCTGTGTATCAGGAACTAACTTACACTTTCAGGGTAATGGAAACTACCGCAGCACAGGCTTGCTATCAAATTTATAACGCGTCAATGGTTTACTATACAGCCTGCGATATATGGCACATCATTCTCATCGTGGGGCGATGCGTGCGGTTGTTGGTTCCTCTGAGGGCTTGGTACAAGCTGTGATGGTGATTTTCCGGGAACATTGGCACATCATGTAGCTATGCGGTTGGTTATCGAACGGCAGCTGCATTGGGAAACACGAATAGGGTAAGCGAACTCCTGCCTAAGTCCATGGGGATCCTGGTCCCAAAGGTAGAAAGCGTTTTTCGAAAATAATGACAGCAGCTTATGATAATAATCAGGAGATTCATTGCGATATGGCATAAAATCTCACCGGAACCAAGCTGCATAATCTTCTCCAATGTTGACAACCCAAAGGGCTAGTGAACCGTTGAGATGAAAATCATGTGGATGAGCTGTGAACAATACGACATACCGAAAATTGTAACGTGGATCACATCTCATCTTCTTCGGGGCGGTAATGCTGATGAATCGTGATCAGAAGAAAAAAACCGGTTCAGGATGCATACTGTGATTATCAATACATCAGTGCTCCGGCTTGACATAGGATCAACACACTCACAGACTGTCAAGGGATCAGCAGCGTGTTCGGTCAGCGAGACTCGAGCTTGACAGAGGATTGACACACTCACAGACTGAACGTGTTTGATCAGCAAGGTTTGAGCTCGATAGAGGTTCGACACTCACATCCTGTCAAAGGATCAGCAAGGCCCCAGCTCGACAAAGGATCGACACACTCACAGCCTGTCGGGAGATCAGCGATGTGTTCGGTCAGCGAGGCTCCAGCTTGACACACTCATGAACTGCCAAAGGATCAGCAGCATGGTCAGTGAATGAGACTCCGGCTCGACAGGGGATCCATACACTCACAAACTGTCAAGGGATCAGTGATACATGTGCGGAATCTGGCATTATGCATGTAGAGATACTAGACAAGAAGATGACAGCAGGACTGACCCGCAAGAAAGACACTTTGATGACCAAGTGTCTTCACCATCCCTATTGTAGGCCTAAAGGAGTCTTAAATATGTGGGAAAATCGAAGAGTATCCTGGCGGTGGCCAGCGTGCTTCTGTGCTTCTGTGTTTTCTGGAATGTTCGTGTTAAAAAAATGTTCACATTCACGACGAGAAGATGTACTCCACAGCTCGAAAAACCTTGGAATCGTCAACTCGTTTAGAGGAGTGACGAGGATGAGAGAATACATTTACCTGCTATGAATGACTTTGATGAGTGTGAATGTCCACCTTGGATAACCATGTGTACTTTACAGACACTTACGGAGAGGTCAGTCATCCAACTTTGATGGATCAGCGGGGGATATTTTCGCGCTGGGTAATTCGCGAGTCCAGGTGTTATAGAGGCACCCTTTAAACTAGTTAGTACTATCTGACAGTGTACGCCACTTCGATGGACAGAAATCGGAATGAAAAAACCACGTGTATTTGAGGGTGAACGATGTGGCTCTGAGGTAGGCCTTAAAAGAAAAGAAAAACGTCACGCCACTGCAACAAATCCCTCATCTACATCTGAAAGGGCACCTCCCCCAGAAAAACAAATGCAGAAATCAACCGCCAGACCCTCAGCCGCTGTGCAATCAACAGACAATGACTGCGTCGCCAGTCAACGCAACACCATAAATCAAACGACCGCCCAAACCCATACACTGATTTGTGGCAGGGCCGGATGTCCGGTCGTTTTCGTTTACGATGTTGGCACCGACTGGCCCACGGTCAGTTGCCTCATCAATGACCACTCGTCGGTCTGCAAGGGCGGGTTTTATGGGCTCAGCCATTCACCTCCCCGCTGCGACACACACGACGCACAACAAACGCTCAGCCCTCCGCAGCTCGCTCCTGAGAGCTCGGGGGTCAATAACAGTAATCGCAATGACAAAGTCATCGCGGGCGGTAGCAAACGGAGAAAAAAGGAGGATCAAAGAAAACAGGAGCTCGAGAACGACGAGTACACCGAGGATGTACAACCCATATCCGTCAGGTGCCGCGGATGTCAGAAGGCCATCAGCCTCGACAAGCGCTCCAGGTACTATCCTGGACTATGGATCAAGCACAGGGGTAAATGCCCGGGCATCCTCAAGATAGAGGCGAGCTAATCTCTCTGACGAATGGAATGAGTAACTAACTCGAGTTCATAGGCATATAAAAAACTAACCAGGAGAAGAGACTGGTTTTGTCCGTCAAATCCAGAACGGCGCCCGCCAGCCGCTTCCTCATTTGCATTTGACGCGAGCGGTGAAGAGTCGGACGAGGATGAGTACGAGGGTGAATATGAGGTGATGGGATTCAGCAGTAAGTCAGTTCTCAATGGGAGTGAATTCTCCGATTCACCACGAAATCTAGCGTCGGACGTGCGATTCTTCCACGACTGCTGGGAAAAGGGTGAAAGGTGACGAGTGTACCGGTACGCCACTACAAAGGAATTCATGGACATCTTAAATATTATGGGTGAGCGTCAAAGGCAAAGGTTCAGAGCGTGTTTATCAATGACATTGGAAGTTATGCACTTACCAGTAGCGAACATCTACGTCCCTTGGGCCTTGTAGGCAACCCGTTGTGACTTTCATTCACAATACAATCCCCTTTTAAAGTCCTCCAGGATTTCTGTGATATGATCACTAGACAAACGAATGGGCATGGAAGATAACGATCCTTTGTGCTTGCTTTGTGCCCAATCAAGTTCAAGTTAAAGCACGCGGTATGATGATCGACACCTAGAATCCTGGATATCGCCGTGGCTGATTTTGAGTTCTCGGACTCGGAAGGAGCCGGCACACGTACAACTTGCATTCTTTTCTTTGTCTTTGTGGTTGCTTTGTCTCTCGGCGAGGCCGGACTGTACATTCGTTCCTCACTCAGCGCTCAGCCTTCGCAGTTGAAGTTCATATCGCGTTTCTTTTACTGAGGCTTGATATACCGATGGTTGAATGCGATATCCAGCTATCTATCTTGATACATGACATGGTCAGCTAGCCGTGCTGGGTCCCAGCCCAACTACTCAGGCTGTTTGCTAAACCTCGCTGTTTTTGCATTAGACGACGGCAGTTAACTTGCTGTGCTGTATTAGTCTTCCAAAATCTGCAGCCGACGGCGACAACTCGGCTAACTGTTCTTCGAAGCTTCAAGATATGGTCCTTACTGTCGCAAAGTCTGCACTTGAACATGAGTGCACCTATTTCTGCCTGCCTATCCCTTTGACCATGGCATGTCTTGTCTGCGTCCCGCCCACGCCATATCATCAACTTCAACTCTACAGCTGGCAATCCGACGTACTGCGTATGACATCGGTCAAACTCTGATTGCAGTCTGCGGCGTTGTTACAAAGATGTTAAAAACAGAGGTCCAGCTGAACAGTATGTTGTCCGTGCAGAAATGATACAGACGTTCTGGATCGCTGGTTACACAAAGTGCGACACCTTCAACAGCTCCGGGGTATTGCGTCGAGGGTATCTGATTTCGGGCATTCGCGCACCATGGCGCTTTCTCGCAGACGTCGCATTGACTGTTTTCACTGCTTTGGAGGGTTATTGCGATCCCTCAAAGGCTGAGCCACGAGATTCACGCGTGGTGATGTTTTGTGAACGATACCCACATCGGTGAGTGCAAAAGTCCTCTGACATTATATGTGTGGTGATCATGTACGAAATGACCGTCCCGTCTACTGATCCATTATTCTTTACGTCAACTTTTAACCTTCCGCTGCATCGGGTCTTTAAAAGTTGTAGGCCGCAATTATTCCATTATCTAGAGGTTCAAATTCATGAGTCAAGCATTACGCCATCACCGGGACCCACTCACAGACTATACTATCGTCATCGTCATCAGCCCAGGCAATTGTTTGTGCCACTGCGAATCGCGTGAATACCATGGACAAGAGTAAGACGTAGAAGCCGGTGCTGGATACGCTCATAGTATTGAATGATACTAAAGCTCACTGGTCAAGATGCGTTGCCAGATGAGATTAGTTGGGCCCTTTAAATGTCAGCTCGGCGAAGGGGGAATGCATTGGTTTAAAATTCGGGAATGGTTTTTTCCAAAACTTTGAATGTGTCAAGTCGCACGATGTAGTGCTAGTAACTGTCACTAGAACAAATCCATTCTCCCCCTTCGTCCACGTATGCTTAATTGCTTTATATCTAGCACGAGTTGCCGTCGGCTCGATGTCAATTGTGTCCACCCCGTCATGCTGGGCTGTTCATTTGCAACTTCCAAGTTGCTCTTCCATCATTTTCATTATCAACCATACATGGATACCATCTACACATGATTCCAGTACGCCGGCGTACAACACTGAAGTACTGACGCAAGCTCACATCCTGTTACTACTTCTCATTGCTCGTTTAATTTCGTTCTTTCGTTCCAGTGCTATATGGCAACCACCTGTACTTTTCATGGATTATCCCAAATGCATCTAGGTATCATGACAATACGACAATAAAAACTACTGGAAATAAAACAGATACATCGTTCTTCTACCTGTCACTGATGACGCTGTGAATCTTCACTACCATTTTCACCACGCGCTGGCCAAAGTTGCTTGGGAGTCCGTCGACGATCTCTGTCGTTTTATTTGCAATCGCCCTCATACAGCATTCGGAGGAAAAACCTTCGTCACCCTAGGAGATTTTCGACAAGTAGCAGCCGTATTCAGAGGAGCAGGGGAATCAGCATTGAGCAACGCAAGCAGCATCAGTGAAATCATCACCATTATGGCACAAAATGCGCGTGCTTTCATTCCACACTCCCGTGTGCATGGCCGCATATCCTCAATTCACTACATTAGTTGGCGAAATTGGCGAAGACCACTGGCACTCGACAAAGGCTCCTGCTCTTAAATAAAACAACAGCCTGAGATCGATGAAGCGCGTGCTTTTCTTTTCCCACGCACATACTAGCGCTCGCGCGTGTCTCGGGTGACCGTGCATTTCTCTCGCGTATTTGTTGACGAATTCAATGACAAAAATTCTGGACTCTCTACCTGGTGAGTGATAAATGATAATCTAAGTTCAGATATTTTAAAAGAGGCAGACTACGCACCTATCGACGCTCCTGAACAAACACCAGGTTACCTAGCAATGCTTACTGCGCCCGGAATTCCTCCCCATAGACCGGATCTCAAAATTATCGATTTATCGCTCAAGCTGGAATACAACTTGTTGTTGAAGGCTGCTGTCACGATATGTGTATAGTGATCATATACAAAACGACCGTCCCGTCTACTGATCCATTATTCAACTTTCAACCTTCCGCTGCATCGAGCTTTTAAAAGCCGCAGGGCCCCAAGTCACCAATTCTATCACTTACTAGAGGTTCAAATTCGTCAGCCAAGTCCTACACCATCACCGGGACCTACTCACAGCCTATACCATCTACATCGTCACTCAGGCTCCCGTTAGTACCATTACACCCCGAGTCACTGGGGACGGGTGCTGCTGGGATTTGCGCGAGGGTCACGGACAAGAGTAAGATGTAAAAGCTAACTTTGGGCAGGATCATGGTAGTGTTGAATGATACGGTTGGCTAAGACTTGTTGGTTAAGATGCGTTTTTGTGTACCAGCTGAGATTGTAGTTGGGCCCTTTTATACATCAGCTCGGCGAGGGTTTACCCAAGTGAAGCACGTTGCTTTGGAATTTAGAGATAGTATTGCCTCATATTTTTGTCAAAGGTAAGATGGAAGTCGGCGTTCAAATTCGGTGCACAGTGATTGACTGATGCGGACTTACCATGGCTGTATTAATCGTAAGTATCGCCTGGCGGTAAAGGTCTCAGAGTACCCGTACTGACCCATATCTGACGGCACCCGCAGGTTTGTACTGTTTTTGGATCCAACACCACAATGCTGATGCATAGCACCTCCAAGCAAGGACATGCCGTCACTACTTTGAAAATAACATGACTTTGAGGGAAATCTGTTTAATGCAGTTGCTGCTATGATGAAGTACTTCGACTGAAATAGTCAGCGATAAGTTCCCAAGTTGGATTGGAACCACTCGACAATATCTGCGTGATCCAGGCTGATCAGGCGGAGCCCAAGAGGTGGATTGGGACGTCATATAATTGTACTCGCTGGAGCCTCGAGCGGTTGACCAGTCGCCATATCTGACTGTATGAGTTGTTCTGTCAACACCACACATATTTTTTCACGAAAGAAGTTACATTCTACACCTGAATAGAGATACGTCCTGCGGTCCGATAGCCATGGATCATGGTGATTGGTCTAGCTCAGCTGCTCGCCTGTTATGTTGACTCATGAGAAAGAAATAACCTTACCCTGGATTGAGGACAGTGGTACGCCTCAGCCTATCAGGGCATTCGCGCACCAGAAGATGGCATAGATTATGATACCACAAAGCCTGGTTGCCACATGGGTGAGGTGGAAAAGCAGTTCGTTGCATTTCGATTTCATTTCCGTTATCCATCGGTGATTTCCTAGGCGCCCAACATTGTGGGCGTTACAGTCGCTGCGATTAGGCCATCGGCATCATCAGAATCATCATGTGGCAACGCCACCATGCAGCCCACAGAACTTGAAGGAGTTGATTCCTTCTGTCGGTAAATCCATTCTCCGACTGCAAGCTAACTAGACATCAACACTTCAAAACAAAATTTATCGGCAATCTCCTTGCAATTTTCGACAACCCTACATGTATGTGCGGGGTGCTCCAAGCTGAAACTCCAACGTCGAAAACAAGTTTTAAACGTCCATATTAAATGACACACATGGGTCCAACTGTTGTGGCTACTGGCAGGCTGCAGCACATCATCGCGATTCGCAAGTACCTCCCACCCTCTGTCGATATCAAGTTCATCTCCGAGTCAAGCAGCCATTGTCATGAGTCTTCACGAGAGCGTGCATTCTAACCTCGATAAATATGACTTGGAGATTTATCTGCATGGTCGCAAGCGTCTAGCTATTTGCTAGTAGTCAGCACCGAGTTGAACTTTTGATGTTGATCGACTCCGCTGTTTAATCATGGACGTTGCAGCTAGCCGCTCTGCTCGACTCGGACTACATCTCAAGATATGACCATATCATTTGGCGTCTCTATCAAATGAAAGTATTCATTTCCTGGCTTTTCGTCGCTCTGGCGTTTCAGATGTACCATCCAACAATCTCACGCACATGTCGTTTTCAGTCATCCTTGGCAAACTTTTTACGAGCCCACATACACAAACTCTCGTCCAATTTGTGCAGATACATTTATTTTGGCCTATGTAAGTACAATTGTGTGTATACTTCAGTACGCACTGTATAGTTCTGGAGTGCAGTCTGTACAGGTATCCGTTCAAACCTCCTACACATCCGAAGTCATTCCATTTAGCTTATCCACCTCCTCATACACTTTTGTCCAGTCACGACAAACGGTCTCGTATCCCCTGACGGCGGTCCCCAAGTTATTTACGACCGGCTCGATTTTGATGTTGGGGTGGCACAAAATTGATTGGCGAAGATAATTCATGCAGTGACGAGTAACCGACGACGGGGGGCGCATTTCCGCATAGTTGTCACGGATAATTCCCAGGCACTTGAGCTGGTGAAAGAGCGTCACCGTGTAAATGCGACTTTCACCCGTCTCCTCATCTTTGATGGGAACGGTGTGCCCTCCCCGTGGAATGAGTTTCGCAAACTCTTCTCCGCCCTCATCTGTATCGGCGCGGTAGTGTGCTGTTTGGTCTATTCGCATCCATACTGGTTCTCCGAAATCTATTTGAAGGGATAGATCTGATACGTGGAATTGTCAGTCAAGTCTGTAGGACATGCTCGAAAGCTTTGTAGTACCATGGCTGAGAGCAATTCCTTTGAAAAGACTGCTGTCGGACAATCGAGGCCTTCGTGCAATAAGATTGGCAAGGCCAATGCCTACGACTGTGGCGAGTATCACTTTAAGAGCAAAGAAAAGTCGTCTCATCACTACTAGTATGTGCAGGGAATTGTAGTAACTTTTGGCGCTTAATATCCAACTACAGATAGTACTAGTAGCCCCGTGGCAGTACGCTACTAGTGCGGTACTCACGGTGTGATTCCCGGATTGATCAATCAGAGTCGCCGCATCATAATGCGGAATACGGCCAGTAGTCACCTGTACGATTGATGCCACGACAAGGTACGGGGACTCATCCTCATCGTGGGGTTGCTTCGGATACAGATCACTGCGTGGCTCGTAGAAGTATTTAGGTGCCGTAAATTTATGGAAGACAAAGGTTAGCGTAATGAGGACCCGGTGGTGGGGCTGAAAGGCAGTCCACCACTGGCAACCAATTACTTATCTGCGAATATTAGTTTGAGCGCATCAGCTCCGTGATAACACCGAGGCCAGCCCTTACTAGTGCTACATAGTGGGAGACCGATACGTCCTCTTCTGTTAATATTAACGTGTTTCCCTTCAGGCTGAACGACTACGCCGATGCAAGATTTCGTTACATAAATATGTTCTTTTGTGCAGTACAAAGTCCAAACAATACAATCCCGAGACCGGTCTACTGTCAAAGTATACTAAATAAATATTCGTTTTACATGTACTCTGACCCGGGGCATTCTACACTGTTATCTCAGTATCCAAGCGACCTTGCTCACACAGTCGTGTCTGCTGACTCGTGGTCATTGCTCTTGTAGTTCGCATGCACTCTAATGCCAGGGGAACTAGTGAACGTTTTGGAGCCATCCTGCAAACTGTACCCGAAATCGCCCATACGGATTGCTTGCATTGATGGCTTCGAGGTCATGACCCTGGACATGGTGTCCTGAGACCAACCCTTTCCTTGCGCGACCCGGAAAACTATGAGCAACATTGCAATCACCTGTGGCATGTCATAAGTAGCGCGAATGCCTCTCTAATCGCCAGTACTAACCTGAATCTGAGGTAGCAATTCAATAAATGCTGCAAATATGGGATTGTTTATAAGGAAGAGTATCAGGAGTGCCAGCGAAAACGCGGAATAAAGAGCGGCAGATTCGACTATCATCGCGGCAATCGACGTGTACTGAGTGCCGTAGCCAGAGCCAAGAACTTTGGAAATTCGATGACGATATGTGAGTAGACGAAGTACGATAACGATCGTGATGATGATGTTCAGTGCGAGTGAGAGGCCGAGATATGGAACGGTGTAGTTGATGTTAGTCGTGAAAAATGGGGAATTGCTGGTTAATTGAAGCAGCCACAGTATGCCCGTAACTATTGGTTGTGATAGTGAGCATCCGATACAATCAAACAGACATGAAAAGTAAGCAACTGACCGACAGATGCAGCCAACATCAGACAAGGGAACAACATGATGATCCACGCTGGCACCATACACCCACGGTAAATTACCATGCAACGCCAAACCTGAACAGATATATTAGCGATAACATTTCAACATCGAATATCTTTACTCACGACCAATCCATCTGAAAGAGCCATCATCAGAACACCACAGACGTTTCCAACCATGTCCACTGGAATGCCGAACATGTTATTCTCAAATGCGTTCGGACCGCCTGGATAATCGCGATATTGAATGAATGCGAGTTGCGTGAAATCAGCCAGCGTTGCCATAAATAAGGTGCCGAGGATAAAATCTATGGTGATGTATATGAGCAGAGGCAGGCTCTTTTTGTAGTTCGTGCGGGTGATTTGCCGGATGAGGGAGTAGAAGCACATAAAGAACAGTGTAACACCAATGCCATATGCAATGGAGCTGGCCACTGCACCCTGCAACCAGCCTTTCTCTGCGAGAAGCACTTCAGACGATTCGTCTGGTGTCCAACTAGATGACATGATGTATCAGATGGCGAACAGAATAACCTGAAGGATCCTCAGGCTTCCGGAGGAGTAAGGAGATATCTGGGGAGAGTGGGAGCGAGTCGCGACCATGATGCGAGCACCTCGTTAAATAATGCCAAAACATATCCATTGCAAGGTTCTTAAGCGGGTGCGATAAACCGTGTGGTGCTTTCAAGCATGACGTGGCGGGATTAATCACTACAATTGCAAAATCAGAACCTTTCAAATGACTAAACATTTCCTCTTCAGGAAACGAGGGCGCATGTTTGAACGGTCCACGGAATTGGAAGTCCAGGGAGATACGATGGTTCCTCCCAGCTAAGGCGCATCCGTAAGTAAGCTTGATATCCGAATGAATATCAGAATAGACTAGTAGAATTGGGAGGGACTTACCTCATAGCACAGCATCGATGCTCGATTGTAAGCAATTAGTGCCTTCTTAGCGTTGAATCCGAAGTAGATCGGCTCCCAACAAGTTTACAACCATCGAAACACCGCCATTTCGGCGGCGCATGACACAGCCGCGATAATTCAAGTTGAACGTTCCAACTTGGTCCTAACGTTGTCATTTTCAAACGCATCAGCATTTATCGCGTATCAAGCCTCATTTGGTCGACAGCCTGTAGTAGTATACCTCCGACGCGCCCCATACGTTGATCTTTGAATGGCTGAAGTTACAGGAAAAGTAGATTTCAAAGTCGGAGACGATACGTACCAGACTTGGTACAAAATCCTTGGCGATCTCACTTCAGGTGCACACCCTCTCATCGTGCTGCACGGTGGCCCTGGCGTCTCACATGAGTATATGACACCTCTCGCCGAAATTCACAACAAATGCAACATTCCCGTCGTTTTTTATGACCAGATCGGCATCGGAAAGTCCTTTTTTGAAGGTGTGGCGGACAAGCCCAAAGAGTTTTGGACCGTTGATCTCTTCGTGGATGAGCTGGAAAACCTCGTTGCCCACCTTGGTATCCAGAATGGCTTCGCTCTTCTAGGTCACTCTTGGGGAGGGATGCTTGGGGCCCACTACGCCAGCCACAGACATCCTGTGGGTCTCAAACACCTCGTCATCACCGGCGGAGCGCCGTCCATGGCATTGTGGGAACAAAGCACCCGCCAGCTGCTGAAAGCGCTGCCAGCGAATATGAGGGAGACGATTGAAAGGCACGAGAAGGAGGGAACGACAAATAGCCCCGAATATCAACAAGGCATGGAGATCTTCTATGAGAAGCACGTTTGCAAGACCCCCTGGCCGAAGGTGATGGAAATGTCCTTTGCGGCTATGATGCGACATCCCACCGTATATCATACGATGTAGGTGATGTCTCAATGCATCTTTCTGATATGTACTGATCATGGTTGCTAGGATCGGACCGTCAGAGTTTACGATCACAGGAACACTGAAGTCGTGGTCATGTCTGGATCAGATTCACACAATCACGGCTCCAACTCTGCTCACCAACGGTGTGATGGACGAAGCGCAGGACGTCTGCGTGAGTCCTTTCTTCCAGAGAATCCCGCATGTGAAGTGGGCGCAGTTTTCGCAGCGTCATATGCCATTCTTGGAGGAGGAGAACCAGGCGAGGTACCTTCAAGTGGTGGCTGATTTTCTTAATAGTTAATCCTGTAAAATATAAGTAAGATTTAATGCATGGGAATGGAATAACCAGATTATCGCAGCGATTTCCTCCTTCCACGGGTACAGCGAAGCATTAGCCCAAAGAGGGATTGTTCTACCCAAAAAATCAACATTGCGAAGACGCATAAGTAATTTGCAGGAGCCGGTTTGCAGGGCTTTCCCCTCGTCTGGGACTCGTGACAACTCTGGTTATGCAACTCCGTAATATAAGGCAGTACTACTAGTAGAGACTGAACGATTTTGTTGGGTTGAACAGGCTCGGATACACATTTAAAACCTAGTACAGCCATTGAACCACTCAGTAAAATAATACATAGTTCTGCGGATACATTCAGCGAACAGGTTGAAGCGTACGAAGTAGTGTATCAATTCAGTCCCAATGCGTCCTCCACTGCAACCACTTCTCATGGTACTCTTCAGATACAGAAATGGCCTTGCTCCAGTCCCTGCACACTAATGTGTCCCCCACTCTGTCCTTCTCATAATCGACATTCAGAAAGTCTCCCATTTCCAACGTATGTGCAGCATCACACATAAGAGTCTGCCGAAGATAATTGAGACAGTGATGTGCGTGATGAAGATTGGTCAAGGGTTTGTCACGGTTGTAGTCGAGGAGGGCTTCCTGCAGTATCCATAAACAGTGAAGCTGATGACCGAAGACCAGCACGAAAAGTCGCTGCTCTGGTCCTAGATGGGTGCGACCAACTATTTTCGGCCAACTTGGGAGGCTCTCCCACTCCAGTTGAGATTCTGTATCAGATGCATTTAGAGCAAAATGCACACTCTCGTGAAGAGTCATCGCGACGGCGTCATGGGTGAGATCGACAGGAAATTCCCATGGGTAATCGTCACCAGCGTAAGTGTATTCTATAGATTCTAAAGTGCGGAGGTCAGTCTATCATGTTTTTGCTTCGACACATATGGGAGGTACTTGCGATGTTCTGCCGGTTGCAGTCGGATGTGAGTATGCCACATGGTGGCAAGTATAGTAAACATCCCGAACATCCAACCAACTGCGAGTTCTACTCGAGACATCATGGATACTGATTGCCTGATTCTGCTTGAAGGTACTGGTAGTAACGCAAGATTAAGCCCAGGCATCCTGTTGATATATGATTAGCACTGCCAACTAATCTGCCATAGCCCTAAAATACTTTACCCCGGTCAAGTTAGAGCTCCTCGCGGATCTCGCATATGGACTGGTTGATTGTCCGGCGCGGTCAAACCTGTCCTTTCGTATGATTCAATCAGCACGTGATTGCGCTGAGTCCAGAGACAATTTCTACATTTATGAACCGCAAAAATTGTTAAGACGCGGTGCTGTACGTAGTATATATACGAGGGGGAGATTGCCGATAAATTTTGTTTTGAAGTGTTGATGTTTTCTGGCTTGCCGTCGGAGAATGGATTTACCAATAGAAGGAACTAACAGTCGCCTCCTTCAAGTTCTGTGGGCTGCATGGCGGCGTTGCCACATGATGATTCCGATGATGGCCTGATGCTGATGCTGATTGCAGCGACTGTACATAACGCCCACAATGTTGGGCACCTGGGAAATCACCGACGGATAACAGAAATGAAATCGAACTGCTTTTCCACCTCACGCATGGCAACCAGGCTTTGTGGCATCATAATCTACCGACATCTCCGTCATCCTGAAAGATGTGTCGTAAGGTACTGAGGCTAATTCTCTTTGATAGTTCTTAATGTGACAGGTGAGTAGCTCAGCTAGACCACTTACCATCATTCATGCACACGGCTAGACCGCATGATTCAGATGTAGAATGTCAACTTCGTTCGTAGAAATATGTGTGGTGTTGACAAAACAACTCATACAGTCGGATCCGATGCGGTCAACCGCTCGAGGCTCCGAACGAGGAGAGACGAGACTCCAGTGAGTGCTGTTATATGGCGTCCCAATCCACCTGTTGAGCTCAGCGATCACACAGACGTATTTACGGCTATCTTCGCCGTATTGATAGACCAGAATTTGAAAAAAAATCATTTAGCCGCCTTATGTGTTATTGGAACAACACCAAACCAACAGGGGCGCTCATACTTTGCTAACTACTTTTTACGGTAAGTCGTGATAACCTTAGTTGTATGGGGCGGTACAAATGCTGTAATGAGACATTAGAATCGTCGCAGCACACGCACACTGATCTCCGACCAGCTGCACATGGTGATGGTAGTACCGTGCTACTAGTACTTAGGTGACCTTCATAGTCAAGCAACGAATCCATCGTCGTGCAGGACACTACAATGTTGTCAATGGTAAGTCGTGCTCCTCCGAAGAGACTCCGCCATGATTTTGCTCGCAGGTCCTATGCTGCTCTGCATCAGCGTCGTGGTGGTGGATACCACTCCAAAAATCGTTACGAACCTGGAAGTGCCGTCGTGCCGGCCTTAAGATGTTCGGTGCTAGTACTTTGACCATAAGGCACTGGCAATACTTATGATTAGTACAGCCATACTAGTAAGTCCGCATCAGTCAACTATCGTGCACTGAATCTGAGTGCCGAGTTCCTTCGTACCTTTGACAAGAATACTACTATCCCTGAATTCCAACCAACGCACTTCATTTTAGGTGACCCCTCGCCGAGCTGATTGTTTAAAAGGACCCAACTACCAATATCATCTGGTATACAACAACGCATCTTAGCCAGTGAGACTTAGCCAACGGTATCATTCAACACCATGATCCTGCCCAACATCAGCTTTCACATTTTACTCTTGTCTGTGGCCTTTGCGCGAATCCCGGCAGCAGTCGCTACTAGTGGCTCGGCATGTCGCAGGACCGGTGACGATGTGGATGGTATAGACTGTGAGTAGATTCCGGCGATGGTGTAGGACTCGACTGATGAATTTGAACCTATAGCAAAAGAAGGAGCGAGCTGCTTTTAATAAAGCCTCAATGCGGCGGAAGGTTAAAAGTTGATGTAAAGAATAATGGAACCAGCAGCCGTCATCATTTTGTATTTGATTACTATACACAGTGACAGTAGCCTTCAACAACAAATCATTTCGCCAGTTTACGGAAACCGTTGCTCTACGGCCTATCCTGGGACTGTGTGCGACATAAGGAAAATAGGCAAGTATGGCACGAATAGCCGATAAAGTTTGTTTTGAAGTATTGATGTTTTCTGACTTGCGCAAGTCGGAAGGATGGATTTACCGCTATCTCGATAGAAGGAACTACTCGAACAGTCGCGGATCCTTCAAGCTTCAAGTTCTATGGGCCGCATGGTCGCGTCGTCACATGATTACATGATTCATGTCCGCTCGGAGGTGCTGTGCATCAGCATTGTGGTGTTGAATCCAAAAATAGTACAAACCTGTAGGTGCATCCCGGCCTTTCAGTACTAGTGCTCTGAAACCTTTACCGTGGCGCCGCCAGGCAATACTTGCGATTAATACAGCCATGGTAAGCCCGCATCAGTCAATTGCTGTGCACCGAATTTGAACGCCGACTTCCATCTTACCTTTGACAAAAATATGAGGAAACACTATCTCTAAATTCCAAAGCAACGCGCTTCGCTTAGGCAAACCGTCGCCGAGTTGATGTATAAAAGGGCCCAACTAAAATCTCATCTGGCACACAAAAACGCATCTCAACCAACCAGTCTTAGCCAACAGTATCATTCAATGCTACATACCATGATTCTGCCCAAAATTAGCTTTTACATCTTACTCTTGTCTGTGGCCTTCGCGCAAATCTCAGCAGCACCCGTCACCAGTGACTCGGAGTGTAATGCTACTAACAGGAGCCTGAGTGACGATGTAGATGGTATAGCCTGTGAGTAGTGCCCGGTGATAGTGTATGACTTGGCTGATGAATTTGAACCTCTAGTACATGATGGAATGAGTGACCCCTGCAAAGTCTTTTAAAGCCTCAAGGCAGCGGAAGGATATAAGTTGATGTAAAGAATAATGGCACAGCAGCCGGGACGGTCATCATTTTGTATTTGACTACTGTAGTGCACACATAGTAACAGTAACCTTTAACAACAAATTATTTCGCCAGTTTACGGAAACTGTCGCTCTACGGCCTGTCCTGGCACTGTGTACGACATAAGAAAAGTAGGCAAGTATGGTTGGGCTCGTAACCAGCCTGGCGTATAAATTGAAGCATAGTCAGACTGGTTACGAGTCTAAAGTATGGTACGAATAGCCGATAAAGTTTGTTTTGAAGTGTTGATGTTTTCTGGCTTGCGCAAGTCGGAGAATGGATTTACCGCTATCTCGATAGAAGGAACTACTCGAACAATCGCTCCTTCAAGCTCATCGTTGACTGTTTCGATCCTACTTCATTATGGCAGCAACTGCATTAAACAGTTTTCGCTCAAGTCAGGCTGTTAACCCGAAAGTGACGGCATATCCTTGCTCGGAGTGCTACGCATCAGCATTAATATTGTGGTGTTGGATCCAAAACAGTAAAAACCTGTAGGTGCCGTCATCCCGGCCTTGAGATATGGGTCAGTACTAGTAGGTACTAGTACTCTGAAACCTTTACCGCTTTACCGCCAGGCAATACTTGCGATTAATACAGCCATGGTAAGTTTGTGGTAAGTCCGCATCAGTCAATTGCTGTGCACCGAATTTGAACGCCGACTTCCATCTTACCTTTGACAAAAATATGAGAAAATACTATCTCGAAATTCCAAAACAACGTGCTTCACTTGGGTAAACATTGGGTAAATCCTCGCCGAGCTGATATATAAAAGGGCCCAACTACAATCTCATCTGGCACACAAAAACGCACCTTAACCAACAAGTTTTAGCCAACAGTATCATTTCAATACTACCATGATCCTGCCTACAATTAGCTTTTACATCTTACTCTTGTCTGTGACCTTCGCGCAAATCTCAGCAGCACCCGTCGCCAGCGACTCGGAGTATAACAGGAGCCTGAGTGACGATGTAGATGGTATAGGCTGTGAGTAGGTCCCGGTGATGGTGTAGGTCTTGGCTGATGAATTTGAACCTCTAGTAAGAGAAGTGGGTAACGAGCTCAGCCCGGCCGATATCTTTTAAAGGCTTGATGCAGCGGAAGGTTGAACGTTGATGTAAAGAATAATGGATCAGCAGACGGGACGGTCGTTTTGTATATGATCATCACTATACACACATAGTGACAGCAGCCTTCAACAACAAATTGTATTTCCAGTTTATCACTTGAGTGGGTAGTGAGAAATTAAGTATACTACCACGACTATACTTGACGACGATGGCAGAACTCTATGTAAGACAATACATTTTAATCTAGGGAGCCTGTGTCCTAGTAGGTACCGCACCTACATTCAAGGTTCGTGCAGTTAAGTATACGTGGACGAAGGGGGAGAAGGAATTTGTTCTAGTAACGGTTACTAGTACCGTACGTCGTGCGACTTGACACATTCAAAGTTTTGGAAAAACCATTCCTGAATTTTAAACCCATGCATTTCCCATTCGCTGAGCTGGCATTTAAAAGGGCCCAACTAATCTCATCTGGAATAAAATAGCGCATCTTAACCAGCGAGCTTCAGGCGACGGTATCATTCAATACTAGAATGAGCGTGCCCAACACCAGCTTCTACGTCTTACTCTTATCTGTGGTATTCATGCGATTCACAGTGGCAAATGAGTGTATCGGGGCTGGTGATGATGAAGAAGATAGTATAGCCTGTGAGTAGTCCCCGGTGATGGCGTAGGGCTTGGCTGATGAATTTGAACCTCTAGTAAACGGTATAACTGGTGACGTGGGGTCCTGCGACTTTTAAAGGCTCAATGCAGCGCAAGGTTAAAAGTCGATGTAAAGAATGATGGATCAGTAGCCTAGCGGGACGGCCATTTCGTACATGATCACTATACACATATAGAGACAGTAGCCTTCATGAACATGTTAATGTGACTTTCAAGGTTGGCGCAATCAAGTATGCGTGCCAAACTAAGGGGGAGAAGGGAATTTTTCTAGTAATGGTTAGTACTTACCGTACATCATGCGACTTGGCACATTCGAAGTTTTGGAAAAACCATTCCCGAATTCATTCCCCCTTCGCCAAGCTATCATTCAAAAGGGTCCAACTAATCTCATCTGGAATAAGACAACGCATCTTAACCAGCGAGCCTTAGGCGACGATACTATCATTCAATAATATGAGTGTGCTCAACACCAGCTTCTACGTCTTACTCTTGTCTGTGGCATCCACGCGATTCAGTGGCAGCAACTAAATGTGCCTGGACTGATGACGACGTGGATGTTATAGCCTGTGAGTAGGTCCCGGTGACGGCATAGGACTTGGCTGTGAATTTGAACCTCTAGTACATGGAGGAAAGAAATGCTTTTGAAGCCTCCTTAATAATGCAGCGACGGGAAGGTTGAAAGTCGATATAAAGAATAATGGAATAATAGACGAGACGATGACATCTTGTACATGATATAGTAGTGGCAGTAGCTTTCCTCAACAACAAATTAGTATACTACTAAGATTATACTTGCTGAAAATACATACCGTAGTATTCCTGTATCGTAACGGCGCTCGGCGGCCCCATAGAATCATCTTCTTGCGAGATAAGTCTATTTGATGTCCAACACCAGTTGGTGTGCACATGCTGTACTGAGTGTACGTATACCTTGTACTAACAGTCAGTGTAATCTCGCGCAGTATTCAATGCTCGTGCGACTTGGGGTGACAGCCACATACCTTCTTGCGATCGTGAACGATTCATGATGCTGACTCGGATGCTTAGCAACAATATTTGTCGATGCTGCTCGAAGTTAGTATTCTGTGACAGCCTCGTGCCTCGGCTGTCACAGAATTTAATCTACGCGTGAGTAAGTAAGGTGGCGCTAACGCACCTTGTCCTGACCCACGTCAGTAGCCAATTCTCTAATCACTACGTCAGTAGTAGTTCCCCCCATTGTCTTCTTTACCTTTTCTGTCGTGTATTTGCAAATTTCACGTTCCCTACTATGCCTCTACCAATGGCAAACCCAAACCTCGCTATTGCCCCCGACTTTCGAACGCCCGAACTAGTGCTGCCGTGGTCCAGTTCCGAACCGTGGTTCGAACCTGACCATTGGTCAGGTTCGTCCTTGGTTCGGTCCATGGTCCAGCATTTTGCACGGACCGAACCGGAATGAGGTTCGTGGTCCGCTAACTCCTGTGCGGTTCATCTATAGGTTCGGACCTTCCCGAACCGTTCCGAACCCCGAACCGAATCTTCCTTGCAACACCTTCAAGGCTCAATCACACGCTTATGGTCATTTTGACTTCTCGATCCTCAAGATTCGCCATGGTCACTTTGACCTTTGGCATTCTCAAGACTTTTTTTGACTTATCCTGTCCGGAGGTTCGCATCCCGCACACCCTGCTGTCCGATAACGCCTACCTGTTCAATCAAGCTCAAGGTATGACTTTTCCGTCAAATCAAGCGCAATAAACTGATTGACATATTATATTTCTTAGGATCCTTCAACGCATACTATGAGTTAGTAGGAGATTGGGTATTCACATATAAAGGGAGCAAGGTGAGTGATATATTTTGACTACCGGTACAATGTCTGAACCTGAAGCACAGTGTGCCCTCAACCCAGACGGGTCTCTAAAGGACGCCAAAGACATCGTTTTTTACAATGATCCTGATGATGCCGTCCCCATTTCCGCTCCATCCTCCTCTGCCCAGCCACCCACAGACGCCTTCTCTGTGCTACTGCAGACTGGACACAAACCAGTGCCACTTACTGCAGGTGCTCGACGCTCCATTCACACCTCTAAACCTTCTGCGCGCCTTCGTGATTCCGACAACGCTTGTTCTTCAACAAGCCGCAAGCGCGCATTATCTAGTGCAACCGAGCAACTAGTTAGGAAGAAGGTTGTGTTACAGCTCTCCGCTCCATTATCTGACGACGACACGGATATTGATACTGACCATGGTAATTTAAGTTCTTGATCCAAACTATAAGCTCGCATACGTTGAAGGCCGGTGGGATTTTGGAGATGTTGCAGATGGCAGAGCTCGTCTGGAGGCCGTGGTGAGTACTCGTCTATGTTGTTTTCCTGCTCTAATCTTTTTTTTTTTGTAGTTCGATGACTATTATACACCGCCAAGTCGAACACCTACTACCAATGAGCAATCCGCTCCGCCGACGAGAGCTGCCAGTGTACGCAAGCACTATGGTGACGATTGGATGCGCGAGGCTATTAGGACGCGTAAGACATCAGACCACCTTACTCACAATCCTCGTCAAGAGCTCAACATGTACTTGTCTTCGCCACTAGAGGAGACTGATGACATTGTGGCCTGGTGGGGGGGTAAGTTTTCTTTTTGACTTGTTTTTTCGCTACTAAATCTACTGAATAGCTTCACTCGCTGCAATACCCTACACTCGCGCGCATCGCGCGAGACTATCTACCCATTCAAGGCAGCTCCGTTCCTTCCGAACAAGCATTCTCAAGCGGAGGAATCACTTCGACTATCCGACGCAATGCACTCGCGACTGACACGTTCACTGCACTACAACTACTGAAGGGAGCATATAGGAATGGGCATCTTTCTGCAGGAGTAGAGGCTGAGGGACATGCGGCTTCATTGGACATGTAACTACGAGTACAAATATCTTGCCTATGTTTTTTTTTCCTGGCTGTAATTTTTTTGCGTTCAGTTCGCGTTCAGACCGAGAAAAAACTGAACCTGACCGCTGCGAACCGTTCGCAAAGGTTCGGTCTAAGGTTCGTTGAAATAACTAGAACCGAACCTTGGTCCGGTTTTTGGTTCTCGTCCAACCACCTCTGAACCGAACGGAACCGGACCGCGGCAGCACTAGCCCGAACACGCGGAAGCAAGAGCCGAACTCGTCAACGAAGCCATCAACGACCTGCAAGCAGCTACCATCTTAGCGAACCTCTGGCGCATCCAGAATGACGCAGAAAAGCGTCTCTGGACGGTCAGACTTGAAGGCGAAGCTCGAGAAGCAGAAGCCGAGCGCAGAGAAGCCGCAGAAGAAGAAGCCCAGCGCCAACAAGCTTTAAAGGCAGAACAAGAAGCAGCCGTCAAAGAGCAGCGTAAAAAGAACAAAGCCAAGTACGCTCCAGTCAAAGACGTTGAAATCCCTTCGGACCCCATCATCCTCCCTTCTCAATATGCAACGCGGAAGATGAAGTCCGGCGAGTACTGTGAACTATTCTATTTCACTAACATCGGTCTCGAAGAAGCATCCCGATCAGCGTTCACGGCTGACGAAGACGCCCTGGTAATGCTGCCCTCATCCGACGGACTACACAAGTGGATTCCTGCCGGCGCTGCCAAAGACCCCAAAGTCCAAGTCGTCAAAGACGAAAACCTCACCTGGGAGCAATTCAACGAATCAGCTCCGCGCATGGTCACCTTCATGAAGGACAACGACTGGCCAGACGACCGAGTGAATATGCACATTGCATTCTGGTCCGCACTACAGAATCACAGATGGCGCCACGATTTCGACACTCACAAACAACGCGCGCTGCTGTTATATCAAGCCCAACAACGCAAGCGTTGGCACCTCGCCGTCGGCAGCTCCAATAGTTGGAGCATTGCGAAAATCAACCAGGACTTGCTGAATGAAGCTCGTGAGACGATATTTAACCAATTCAGAATGCAGATACTGTCTAGCCAGGTACGCTTGCCCTCACCATCCTCATACCAGAATCGCAACTAAACGTTCTCCACGTTGCTCGCCTACCTTGTACCTTTCTCCCCCCACTCTCGTTTGGCATCGCGTCTGAACAAACCCTACCCACCGGCGGACATCACGCTCCGCCACCACCTGCGTTAACTGGACATCATGATCCATACGCTACGCGACCTCCATCGTCGCTGGCCATCACGTGCCTCCCACTCCCAAACCAAACCCGGCCATCATGCGCCAACCACACCAGTCCCGTGCCATCGAGGCAACAGGGTCAAACAGGAACCAACAGCAGCACTCACACTCTGTTAGCTTCCAGAAACGAGGCCTAGCAAGAAGAGCAAGTCCTTTCGAGACCCCAACACCCCCCTCCCCTGCTGCGCTATCTGCCTCAGCCGCAGCCCTCACCGCACCATTGACTGCTCGGCCACCCACACGTGGGACGGCAAGCACAGCACCATCTCCGAACGCATCCATAAAGCCCTCTGGACCAAGGAAGGCAAACAACTCTGCACCGCCTGGCAACGCGAGGAAGGATGTGACAGCGCCAAACACGATGCCAAGCACGTCTGCTCCGGATGCGGCGCTGTCACCCACGGGGCCCAGCGCTGCCCTAGAGCACAGAAAGCGTAGCCCCATCACGCCGTACAAAGCGGAAGCGTGGCACAGAGAACTACAACGCTTTCGACTACTGCCACGCTTCGCCAAAGTTCCTGAAGGTTTCCGTTTCGGTTTTTCTCTAAACTTCCCTACAATACTAGCCACACAAACCCCACCTAATAAACAGTCTATATCTACCTACAAATCCCAATTCGACGCCAACCTACACAAAGAACTTACAACATCGCGATACTTAGGACCTTTTTCAACTAATTCCCTTTCGAAACTTATAGGACCTTTCCAGTCGTCGCCGCTCTCCATTATACCTAAGCCCGGCAAGCCGGGCAAATTCAGACTCATACAGAATTTTTCATTTCCACACTCCTTTGATCCGCTCTTTCCTAACCCTTCCATTAACTCCTACATTAATTCTAGCAACTTCCCCACTACTTGGGGTAAGTTTTCCATCATTTACCTACTGATTTCGAGACTGCCACCAGGTTCGGAAGTGGCGACACGAGACGTCGCCGAAGCATACCGAACCCTCCCCTTGCACCCTTCACAATGGCCCGCAGCCGTCGTCAGAACCTCAGACACAGAGTTCTGTGTTGACACCTGCACGGCCTTCGGCGCTACGCCGTCAGCAGGAGCCTACGGCCACGTTGCCGATGCAGGCGCTGAGATATTCCGCCACCACGGCATAGGACCTTTAGAAAAATGGGTCGACGACCACATTTTCTTCAGAGTCCGGAAAGAATTCCTAAGGGAGTACAACGAGAAGCGCGCCATTTGGCACAAAGACCTAGCCGAAAGGGGCATCCACCAGACCGGAAGCAGACTCTGGTTTGGCGGCCGCGTTTTCGACAACGGAACGATAGAGGAATTCAGCGAGGACTGCTCGCAGCCGATAAGAGACCTCTCCAGCAACTCACCCAGATCAGAGCACGACCGGCTCTTTAGTTTCAATCTCCAGGACGTCGACGACGTCTCGGATGACTTAGGTATATTTTGGCAGCCGGACAAAGACCAGCCATTCACATTGCGCACTATCTACATCGGTTTCACATGGAACCTGTACCTTCGCGTAGTTTCGTTAAGTGAGAACAAAGTCGACAAGTACCTTCTAGCTATTCACACTTGGAGAAAGAAGCCGGCACACGTGCTACAATGTCACGAGTACCTCATACGAACCATTATTCTTTTCTGAACTCTAAGTCCTTTAAGCGCCCAGTCACAGCGCCTGTTACTAAGAAAGTATTTATAGTCGAAGATGTCCCAACAACGGCGTCTATTGTAGAGTTACCTAAAGAACCTATGAACGAGTCACGTGACTTATCGGAGTATGCCGGACTAAACTTTATTCCAAACGACCCTGACAGAATGTTCCAGAACCTTACGGTTGCTGCGGCACGTGTCATGACATCATAGTTATATATAGAATCGTACGATATCATCTTATTATTTGATTGGTAGTTAGTTCAGACTCAGTTTCGATCTCAGTTACAAATATGTGTATATAGGTAGTGTCTTGTAGTCAGTAGTTCTTTAGTTCAAACCTCTTGTATCTCCTAGTGAGCAATCCGAGACGTACCTGCTGCCTTATCCTCTTTGTGATTATTCTGTTGTTTGAGTCCTAGTCTCTGCCCAGCGTTAATTCGTTATTGGGTTGTGACATACAAGAAGCTCTACAGCTTTACGGTAAATTGATGCATGCCTGCTCCGCAGCCATAAGGGGCAGAGCATACCTGACAAGCCTAGAACGCACAATCGCCCTTTGTCGTGGGAAACCGTTCATGCCGCATCGACCCGACGAAGAAGTTCAGAGCGACTTAATCTGGTGGTCTGACACGCTTCAATCCGGCGGCATTTCTCGACCTATCTACCCTCCTACGCCTTTTGCCATCCCCCTAGCCTTCTCAGACGCCAGCTCCAGCATTGGCATTGGAATCGTTGTGGGAGACCGTTGGCGCGCCTGGAGACTCATCCCAGGCTGGAAAACCGCCAACAATGCCGCAAGAGACATTGGATGGGCCAAAGCAATCGGCTTCGAACTCCTGGTACGCACTCTCGCCTCTCTCCCTGGCATTAGCGACTGTACCGTCGTCTACGGCGACAACACCGGAGTTATCGAAGGGTGGTGGAAAGGCTGCCACCGAAACAAAGCCGTCAACGAAGTCTTCAAGCGCATTCACAACTTCATTCTCTCTCTACCCAGACGTTTCGAAATCCGCACAGAATACGTCACAAGCGGGTCAAACCCCGCAGACGGACCTTCAAGAGGAAAACTCGGACCAGAGCACCTTCTACTCCCTGAAATCCACATTCCCTCTCAGCTCAAGGACCTCATCGTCGACGCAACACTCCCTCTCACTCCCACAGAGTACCGTCTATTCCGCGACGGGCAGTACGCCCCTCCCGCCGCCAAACTCATTAATAGCACACTCATACGCCAACAAGCCATCGAACGTGCCAGAGCAGCCCGCGCTGAAGAAGACCAGATTATCATTAATGCCATCGCCGACTAGTACAAAGGTCCAATACTCTCGTTTCAGCGCCCCGTTACCACCTCCCCCCCAACCCGCTCCCTCACCGCAACCATATAAACCCGGCCTCACTCCTCTTCCCTCCCCCCTCAGACCTCACTGCCTCGCTCGCGAAAGACTTCGTAAGTGGATCCCACCAGGAACAAGCACCCGCCGGATCATCCGAAACGTCCATATCGGACGACCAAGTAGATCGCATCCTGGAAGTTATGGGGTCATCCTGGGCTCTATCTACCAAAGAAACGTACGGTGCCGGTCTCCTAGTCTTCCATGTCTATTGCGACTCTCTCAAGATACCAGAGGAACAACGTTGTCCAATATCCCCTACTCTACTCCTCGCCTTTCTTTCTAGCTGCGCAGGATCTTATTCTGGCACTGCCCTTGCCAATTACACCGCAGGGTTGAAAGCATGGCACCTTTTGCACGGTCGCCCATGGATCGTCAATGCGAAGGAACTCAAGGCCATCCTAGACGGCGCTGCAGCCCTAGCGCCAGAATCCTCTAAATGCTCGAAACGGAACCCTTTCACTGTCGATATCCTCAATACTATGCGCTCTTTCATGAACCTAAACGATCATCGTGACGCAGCAATATTCGCCTGCGTCACTACAACCTTCTACGCAATAGCGAGACTCGGAGAGTTCACCGTTCCCACAATCAAGTCCTTCAACCCTTCCAAACACATCTCCCGTCGCAACGTCTCCACCGCTACCGACCGAAACGGTCTCCCCGTCACCAAGTTTCACATCCCTAGCACTAAGTCTTCCCCTCTAAACGGAGAGGATGCTTTCTGGGCCGCGCAAGAAGGCTTGTCAAACCCTAAAGCAGCTTTAGATAATCATCTCCTAATCAACCCTGCCGAAGACGGCGCTCACCTCTTCGCCTGGAAACACCCTAAAGGTATGAGACCGCTATCGAAGAGAGAAGTGTTAAAAAGACTTGCCACAATCGCCCAAACAGCCAGCCTACCTGATCTCAAAGGGCATGGCATCAGGATCGGCGGGACGCTCGAGTATTTGCTGAGAGGAATACCTTTCGACGTAGTAAAGTCCATGGGCCGATGGTCTAGCGACGCTTTCACCATTTATTTAAGAGACCACGCAGTCGTCATCGCACCTTATATCCAAGCCTTATCCCCAGCACTTGAACCTTTCTCGCGCCAAACGCTCCCTCCGGTGCGCTGAGAAAAAAAAAAAAATCTTCCTAGGTGAGTACAGCTCCTATCATCACCGGGTGTCAAGCTTCGCAGTCCGCGTCGCTACTCTCCTACGTTTTATGGGATCACAGCTCACCTTGAAACCATAGGTTCGGACACATGCGCCGGGCCGAAAAGCCCTTCGGGCTTTTACCCAAACCTTTCCCCATCCTTCCTAATCATTAGAACCTCCATGTATATTCGTACTCCCTTCGAATACATTCCGCTTGCTACTCTCAATTAGCCACCGCTCATCGAAAGCATAGACTCCCTGTTGGAACTTGAACTTACAGAACAGGTAAGTTAATCACCGCTATAAAGTAATACCGTAGATAACTTACCCACGCCGCGTCAGTCACATCAGTGCAATCGATGGACCATCATGGAAACAAGCTCAAACCTAAGGCCTAAGGGAACTGCTCAAATCACCGCGGAATGATGGACGATTTGATTGAATGGTAATACCATATGGCTACATGCATATTGTAACTCCGCGCTCACATCACGATGTGCATGGCCATCAAGTACTTGAGCGCCCATTTCATCCAAACTCCATATCAGCCTCCATAGAACAAGTCCACAGCTTCAAGATTCTCCATACTGATTAATGATTTAACGCCGCATTCACGTGTTTGAAGTTTTGGATGAATATATTTTCCAAGACCGGTTGTGAAATCAAGCCTCGAAGAATCATATATAGCGCTAGCACGACTGATTTGATGATCAGCCTCCCAAACACCGCCGTTTCATTTCGGGCGATGGACAAACAGCCGAAATAGTCCAGTTTGAACGTTGAAACATCCTTCTCAGGTGTACATAAAGGGTTGCGTCCTGCTCGTTGCTAGCTCGCTCTCGAAACACGCCCCATACGTCCAACTTCCAATGACCGAAGTTACAGGCAAAGTAGATTTCAAAGTCGGACATGACACGTACCAGACTTGGTACAAAGTCGTCGGCGATCTCACTTCGGGTGCCCACCCTCTCATCGTGCTGCACGGTGGCCCTGGCGTCTCGCATGAGTATATGACACCTCTCGCCGAAATTCACAACAAATGTAACATCCCTGTCGTCTTTTACGACCAGATCGGCATCGGAAAGTCCTTTTTTGAAGGTGTGGCGGACAAGCCCAAAGAGTTTTGGACCGTTGATCTCTTCGTGGATGAGCTGGAAAACCTTGTTGCCCACCTTGGTGTCCAGAATGGCTTCGCTCTTCTAGGTCACTCCTGGGGAGCGATGCTAGGGGCACACTACGCCAGCCACAGACATCCTGTGGGTCTCAAACACCTCGTCATCACCAGCGGAACGCCGTCCATGGCACTGTGGGAACAGAGCACCCGCCAGCTGCTGAAAGCGCTGCCAGCGGATGTGAGGGAGACGATTGAGAGGCACGAAAAAGAGGGGACAACGGATAGTCCTGAATATGAAAAAATGGTAGGGATCTTCTTTGAAAAGCACGTTTGCAAGAGCCCCTGGCCAAAGGTGATGGAGACGTCCTTTGCGGCAATGATGGAACATCCCACCGTGTATCATACGATGTAGGTGATATCTTGACCGACCTTTCTGATATGTACTGATCATGGATTCCAGGAATGGACCATCAGAGTTTACGATCACGGGAACGCTGAAGTCATGGTCGTGTCTGGATCAGATTCACACAATCACGACTCCTACTCTGCTCACCAACGGTGTGATGGACGAAGCGCAGGACGTCTGCATGAGTCCTTTCTTCCAGAGAATCCCGCATGTGAAGTGGGCGCAGTTTTCGCAGCGTCACATGCCGTTCTTGGAGGAGGAGGACCAGGAGAGATACTTTCAAGTGGTGGCCGATTTTTTGACATATGCTTGAATAGTTAATCCTGTAAAATATAAGACTGAATGCACGAGAATGGAATGACCAGTGATTTGCACCTTCCACGGCTTCAGGGAAGGATCTTAAGGCATTATCCTGTCTTAGGTGAAGGATATACGATGAGAGGGCGGCCGTCTGCCATATGTTAGGAGAGCTTGGAGATACCAGAAACAAATGAGGTGGGAAACTGTTACTGGAATATCGGATGAGATGGGAATCCGGATGTAGACTTTGGTTTGTGTACGGGATTTGCCGAACACACAACAATAATATTGTTATTGAGCTTGACACAGTACTTATGCATTCACCAAAGACATGGAAAACATACTATCAATCGGGGCAGGCGTCGCTCTGCGCGTCGTGCTCGACATTGCAACAGGCAAAGATCACAAACTCGTAGGTTGGTCTCGAGCGGTCTTTGATTTTTTTTTCAAGTATATCTAAATTAACTTCGCTGCAAGGCATACTTATCGGACTCTGGGAAGGCGTCGTACTCTCGCACTTCCTCTCAAAACACACCCGCTCTCGATCGAGGTCAAAAGACCCATACCTCGCCCTTGCTACGCGCGTAGCAATTGACATTTACTTATCACAATCACTTTCTCGCTTTGCCCTCACATGCGCATGGACGCTAGTCGGGCTCCTCCTTGCAGACGTCGCTCCCGGGATATGGCGCGATACAGGTTTGAAGAGTGTCTATAAGACACTTAGGAAGGAAGTGAAATCCATAATGAAGACCATGCCGCGATGGAAGGTCAAGAATGACTTCCGGGTACCGAAGATTTCCATCAAATATCCCGTGCGAAGCTTGTTTAGACGTGCTCCACCATCATCTGTTGTTTCGAGTACCCGCGCTGCACCTTCCGCTTCACCCTCCCAACAAATACACAAAAGACGCATGCCACTCGGGACGCACTCTGGCCGTCCTGCCCTTTCCGAAACGAATTCTGAGCTCAGTCGCGTCCGCGAAGTCGTCCCAGGTCCATCCCCAGCATTCATATCAACCGCCGTCGATCCTGCATGTCTTCCACCTGTCGACCTGCACTCTCAACATATTTCACACCTCTCCGATGCTGGGCCTTCGAGACACGATCCTATAATTATCCAAGATGACAGCTGGGTGCACGTTAGTGTATCTACACATTCTCCAGAACAAGAGGAGGACCCAGAGCTAAGTGTACTCGACATTCCTCCACTTACATCTGAAAGCCAAATGATCACCGCAAATATCGAAGTTGTTTCTCCTACACCTCGCATGCATGTCAATGCCCTCCCTAAAATCACTGCTCATCAAGTGCCACTGCCAGAATCACGGCCGGCATCCGTCATGGGCAGCGTCCTCTCCCTATTTGGCGCGAAGAATATAATGAGCCGCGTGCGAAGCGACAAGACTACCTCGGACGTGGGAATCGATGCCACTCAACATCAGGCAAGCACGGCTGAGTGGGAGCGTCCAATTTCCAGACAAGGACAGCCTCAGCCCAGCGCAGTGACAGGACACCGCCGCGTGGGTTCAGGCCCTGGACCCTCAATGCTCAGGCATGCAGACGACGATGACGACGACGACGACGACGACGACGAATCGGTGGTGGGTTCAGTGGTAGGGAAAGGCGCAAGAACTGAGCCGATCTTCGGCGGTAGGTCAGAGTCTCTGTTGGGTACTGGTACTACAGGAGGAGCAGCTTTCGGGGGCGGACTTTCTGCCGAGGTAATTGCACCCGAAGCTTTTGTGGGTGGGTTTGCAGTGGAATGTACCGGGAATGAGTTTGCCATCCACTCAGACATTGCGTCTCAAAACCCACCCGTGCACCTCTCTCAAACACCCACCCTTCCTGACGCTCTAACTACGAGGTCTACGATTACCGATCCCAAACCTCTCGACGGGGTTCAAGCATCGAACACTGATGGTATCACGGGCACCAACATCAACACCACCGCCGACAATCCCCTCCTGAACACCATCCCCGATGCAGACGACCCTGGCAGCAACCATAATCCTGCTCTTACCGCCACTCAAAAACAAGACAGACCAGGAAGGAAGAAAAGAGGACCTAAGAATGCTATACAGCCAGCCATCCAGAACGCCACACCCGGTGCACCTGAGACTACCCCCCAAGACCAGCAGAGCTCGGCCCGTGCTCAGACACCAGGTCCTGACACTCAAAACCCTGCAGGCTCTGCATCAGACCCCCTTCCCACTCCAGATGGTCCAACGCAAGATGCGGCTGTTCCTGTGCAGCGTACGACGGAGATAGACACAAATACAACAAAGCATGGGCACATCCGTGGGATGCAAGGACCCGACTTCCCTGACAGCAGCCCTAATTCGCCGCCACCTCCCTTCAAGGAGGTAGGGACGCCTATTGAGCCGACCCTTCTTACCCCAGAGCAGACCGAGCGCGAATCCCTACGCGGGGAATTCTTGATGCGGGAGCTGAAGCAGTTGGAGGTGCTTATCTCGAAAGCGGAGAGTGGGACAGGGCGGGGAAGTCCAAGTGCATTGAGTGTGGAGAGGTTAAATGGGCTTAAGGAGAGGCTTGAGATGGTCAGAGAGAGAGTCGAGAGGAGGGTTTATGAAGGTGCTTCTTTGATTTGAATCCTTTTGGTTTTGGGCACGGTGCTGAATCTTCCACTTTCTCTTACCATGCACAGACCTCTCTGGCGAACTTGAAACCCCACCCCAACTCACCCTTTCAGGTATCGACGGCCCGTCAGCCGTTGACCTTGTACATACCGCCATTGTAGATCTGCTCCTGGAAACACCTCATGCAGAGCCATTAGCGGTCGTTGGATATATCAACAAGCAGAAGAAGGGAGGCGGAAAGGTAGGTGAGTTGAAGAACGCTGTTGTAGATTGGGTGAAAGAGTGAGTTTTTTTACCGCGTTGTTCCGCCCGCTTTTTAGCAGATGGGTTTTATGCTATTCTATTTCTTCTTTTCTATGTGGCTTCGCACTAATGCCTTACATTGTAGGAACAAGTTCAAGGTCCGGAATGACTCGGGGACCCCATTTATTCTGAATATCACGTTTTGAATGTTTATGTATTACACGCCCATTGATTACCATGTCCACAACGCTTTCACCACCAGTGTCGTATTTCGCAACTACCCCACGGATGTTTTGTTCATGTGGATTTTATCACGATTATTCAACCATGCGAGTACCCTACTCCACTAATCATGCCACGATATCGATATCTCACCTATACGATTTCATTACCTGGATACAAACGTTGCTGGACAACGTTGTCTCTGTTCTTTATGCTCTGATTTATGGTCGCTCACATATATGCAGTACAAGTACTGTGTTCTTTTGTATATAGTTTTTTATGTTGGGCGAATAATTACTTCAATGTATGTCCTGTATGATTTACGGGACTGCTGGGCATGCGATTCATTGCACATGGGCAATCAAACACTTGGTACTCCGGAGCATCAAAACACCCGCGGTGTGGTTCGAGCATCATGAGATGGACAAGGAATTTGCGCATGCTGCTCCGGGCTCCGCGATCATCTTGGTCTTCAGTGTCTTCAATTGTCGGGTCATCCATTAGCTTCCCGCCAAATATCAGAGTAACTTCAGGTCCAGACACTGAGTGTCGAGAAACATTGGCGTACTTCTCCTACGTATTGAAAAATTACAGAGATGGGGTTTAGGGCTGATATATAAGCCTTAACGCAAAACAAGGAAGACTATCGAAAGCCTCTTTTCAGTGCAGAAGGTCTATCAGTCTGTGATTATTCGCTTGCTTGTTGTGTCGATAACACGGCGTGTTCTGGACATCCCAGCGATTATGGTACTGCGGTATCCCGAGAAGCTACTCTCACACCTCTCGAAGCAGCTGAGCTTCCCATACACTGTGCGCACTTGCTGTGCTCTGGCAGCTCGCTTCAGCACCGAAGCGCAGATAATGTGGGTAAGGCCGGGGCTGATTCTGTAGGCCTCTTGGAGCAGACCTCTATCGCTTTTTTCAAGGCTACGAAGGCCCCACATCCATGAGGCGTGCGGTTCTGCTATAAATTCAGCTTGTCCATGCGTATTCCATCAAAATCGTGGGGCTCACCTCTCGCAAAAGTTTCACAATGTACCCCAACATTCCATCCCTCATTTACGTTTTATTGGTACTTCATATTTCGTGTGCCGCCATCATTGTTAAAGACCCAGGTACGAATTATGTTCCAGCTCAGCTGAGTGTTGATAACCTGTGCAAAGACGTTGCCCCGGGGATGGCTGGTGTGGATCTTCAGATATTGCCCGCAGCTATTATCTGATGCCTGTGATAGTTCCCGTTGCCGACACTCAGGATGGAAGACTGTGGATAACAGCCGTCCACGACGAAATAATCCCAAGTAAAGGCAAGAAGTCACAGCTCGTTACGCAGCGGCCTAGTAAACTGATCGCCCGCAGTCCGCGCTGATGGTCGACATACGACAGAGGCTCAAATGAGTCTGACGCCCCTCGTCGGTGCTCTTTGGCAAACAGGCGTTCACCAGGAAGTGTCACCCAGCCGAGGTAGATAAAATTGCTTGACTTGTTCCTAAGCTACCATTTCTGCTTACTATAGCAGGCAAGAACAGGGCAAACGAGCCTGAACCGACACCGGCTGCTATTTCTTTTTGGAAAACGGAGGAAATAGCTTCAAGATTGCGTCAGTCTATATGAATATGAATGATCGCTTGACTAGTAGTGCTTACTAAAAATATAGTGGCTGTTCAGCGTGCTGAGGGACCCGTACCTACGCACGTCTTGGGATTACTATTTCAAAGCGCAGTTCACGAGAGGATCTCAGATCCTTAAAGCAAGCAGTCTAGCAACCGGATGCCCTTGCGCAATAGACTGACAACGATCAAAGAACTATTTCATTCGTGAAGGGTATCACAGCAGTTGAAAAGCATTCCCCGAGTCACAGGCGGCTCTGGAAAGGTTTAGTCAATGGGAAGATTCAGTGAATTTCAACTACTCACTATGTACAACATTTCCAACCAGTGATTCGAAAATGAGTTGTCTGCATTAACGTCAGCAGCTTAGGACAGTTGAAGATGCAAGAAATTACAAGTCTTACCACTTTGAAGTGCTGACATTATCTTGTTCGCAAGTCTAAGTGCGTGTATTGGGGAAAGATCATCTGTGTCAGTCCGCAACTATGCACTGTTTTGTAACCTCTTGTCACGTTGACCCCGAAGATCGCGTTTCAAAAATAAGCTGTTAAATGTTTTCAAAAAAGCGCATGACAGAAGATAGAGACCGACACATGGCACTCAAGGACGAGAACATGTCCATTAATCAAATGACACAAACTGCTGGTTACTAGATGTCTAGACTTGCAGACGAGAAGGCCCGGTGAGTCAAGGTTGTATTTATTTTCCCCGTGAGTAATGACCAATGTGTAGCCTATAGACTGTGACATAGTCTTAAAGTGATCAAGTTGAAATATTTGGATTTGGAAGAGCGCCGAAACACGGTATTTCCCAGTCGGCTTTCTAACGTCACTGCATGCGGCCGAGAATGATGACCGTATCAATTTGCTATCGATGGCCAAAGTACTCAAGATGAAGCCTGCTAAAGCACCCCGATTTGGCTTGAGAGAGGGCGCATAGTCAAACAGGAACAGTGCTTATCCCGCTCGGAAGGTGTACATGGTGCGAACCCCAATCATTGTTTTTGGAAATCGCTAAGTGTAACTTGTGCGGTCTTTCTTTATTGATAACCAGCGGCCTGGACCATGGAACGCGGTGCATACTACACACCAGATGCGTACAGGTGTTTCCAATGAATTGGTATGATTGTGCGCTGATGGCAATGACAAGTCAATACTCCAAAGCCCGGCAGGCTGCGGGGCACAAACGACACGATGACCGGACATGACATGTACACACTGTGGATAGTGATTCCAATCAAAATCATTGGAAAAAGTACTGATGCTGAAATTTTCATTGGAACTTCTACTGAAACGGCAGGTAGTTAATTTCATTGGAGTGCTGAATCCAATTCAGCACCAAATTTCAGCACCATTATCCAATGAATCCAATTCAGCACCACTTTCAGTGCTATTTTCCAATGAATCCAATTCTCCAGCTTCGTCTGGCTTAGGAAGAGTCGGAGGCACAACCTGATTGTGTCAGGCTAGTCCAAGCATTAGCTTGGGGAGGGACACAAGCTGGTGGAGCCGCTGGGAGGGCGGGAAACCTGCTTGTGAATTTGGTCGTGCGCTAACTCTTGTGCGGCACAAATGAAGATAAGCATCTTTATACATTCTAACAATTATGATAACACTGAAATACGCTCAGGCTGCAGTAACAGTCCACAGAGATAAATAAGAGGGAGTGCTGGTGGGGGCAAGGAACAGGAAATAACGAACAACGAGATGAATGTCGTAGTAGGTAGTAGGTCGAAAAATGTAGGAAAAGGGTGGTATATATCAGGATTTGTAGTTAGCCATATCAAAGATCCTATGGCTTAGTGGTAGCGATGCTACGTACCGATGGTTAAGGTCATGTGTTCAATTCCTGCCATTGCTCAATTCCAAATGGGTAATCAGTGACACATCGTATCATGTAATCTGTGAACTGCATGTCACAGTGGTTAGCAATATTCATTTTTGTCATTCTTGAGCAGAATTTCAGCACATTATTTCAGAGTAAAAATTCAGCGCAATATCACTGAAATTTCAGAGTAAAAATCGGAACTTTCAGCACCTCGATTTCAGCACCTTGTACTATGAATTTCATTACATTATCACCTGATTTTACCTAATGAATTTCATTGCATTTACTACCCACAGTGTACAGAGTCCGAATGAGCAACTTCCTGAAGTAAGGATGACAACCGAAATGACGATGCGCCACTGCAAAAGACTATCTTTTCACCAAGGTAGCAGTCTCGAACCTGTTTGCACAGGTAAGTAGTGAAAACGATACAATCATGAATGCAGGGATCAGTTACGAGTCTAGCTGATGGTTCATCATAGTACTCATCCTACAGCGAGAGGGTCAACTCTTGGTTTCTCCTAAGAAGATGAGAGCGATGGGACAGTTGTCCCACCGATACTCAAAACGACTCCAAGGACGGGCTGCACGCATCCGGGAGAATTTTTGTTGCAGTCTCGAATGAGCGGCGAGTACAGTTCTCTATTTTTATTTTTTCAGCTCGTGGTTGTTGCAATGACTACCACTAACTTTCAGGCATCAGCACCGGTCACTCACTCATGATAAACTAAACATAGGATGCTCGTAGTACACCTAAACTCTCTTGCGCGGTAGGCTATCATGAACCATACTTGGACGTGAGCCGGTACCTCCCTTTGCGACGCCCAAAGTTGCTGTATCAAAAAATAAACATAGTTTCTGCACTTGGTAGGACCTCCGCCTATACGGCCTATTCACCCCCCCGGAATTGAGACGGTTCGAAACATTGGCGACGCTGACGCTCCTTGATACCGACTCGCGGGGTTGCCAAGGAGTGATCACTGCTGGATAATGAGCCTAGTTTTCACACCAGCCTCATGCAGTGCATATTCAGGGGAAATAACATACCGTATAAATTGGATCAAGACTCCACGCAGTCCTTTTCTCATAGTTTCTCTGCGTGTCCCAACATCGTCTATATAAACACGTCTGTCTCATTCAATCTCACTAGTAATATGTTGACCTTGCCTCGCTTCACGGTTGCTCTCGCTCTCGCATCCTCTATCTTCGGTGCTACTATTCCTGCAGTACCCTCACGCCGCTCCGGGGAGCTTTGGGAGGGTTTGGAACATGAAGAAGTAGACCTAAGAGGTCTAGCACCCTCTCGCCGCTCTGGGGAGCTCTGGGAGGGTTTGGAACACGAAGAAGTAGACTTAAGAGGTCTAGCATCCTCTCGCCGCTCTGGGGAGCTTTGGTTGGGAGCGGAACATGAAGAGGTAGACGCGTCTAGCACTCTTGCACTGATCTGAGGAAGGAGGTTTTCCCTTACATTGATGTTTGAGGTTAGTTCCTGCGCGAGCCTCACGAATCTAGTCCTGAAGCACTTCTTACAGCTATAACATGTCGTCCGTGGTTTGATATTGGTTGATCATGAGCGAGGGGCTCCGTGCTGTTGTATATACAGCATGTGGGTAGCTTGGTCCGACAGACAGGCCTCTCTTAGCATTTCCGGCAACCCTCGTATAATTCTTTTGTCACTTTCATTCTACAGTTGCGAGCACCCTATATATCTATACTAGTACTGACATGGAACGGGAACGAACGAACTAGATGACGAGACTATTTATGTAATATAACTGTATGTAAATTTGAACTGTCGCAGGCACTTTTAGCCCTCGTTGGCATAGATAGAATTCTCTGTCGTGGTTTTGAATGATCATGAGTTAAATATTGTTTGATTTTCATGTACCTGCTGTGCGATTCAGAGTGTCGAGTGCTGAAGCGCTGAAACTTTGTGTGATGATGATGTCTTGGGTCAATGGAAAAGATATCTGAATTAAAGTTCCCCCAAGCTGGAGTACTTCAAGCTGAAGACGGGAGTTGCAGTCGAAATGGCAGTTACCTGGTAAGTATGTTCAGACTCAGTCAGAAGCTCCTGCCTTGTATAGTAGAATTTTTGCTGACAAACAGAGCGCGGTGGTCCTGCCGCAGTCACTGCCAGTGCGATCGGTAATGCACCTGACATTTCAACCTCATTGAGCACTATCCTACTCAACATCCCTTGTAACTTGTTCTACATAAAAATACGATTCTGCAAAGTGGTTGCCTTGTGTACAGTGTCGCGAGTCAACACGTGAAACAAGTCTTACTAGTAATCATAGCGGTGTGGTTCAGAGTCCCTGCGTACATCACATGGTGAGTTTGACATGATTACATTCAGTGTGACACAAGGCTTACGCGCCCAGTTACCACTGGCTTGCCTGGGTCTGGTTCTGGAGTCTCTTCCTGAATACATTGTGCGATGAGTTTGACATGATGAGATTTGGTGTGAAACAAAGCTTACACGTCCAGTTACTATTGGCTTGCCTGGGTCCGGTTCTGGAGATTCTTCCTGAATAGACTATGTGGTGAGTTTGACATGATGACATTCGGTGAAACAAAGCTTACACGCCCAGTGACTACTGGCTTGCCTGGGTCTGGTTCTGGAGTCTCTTCCTGAATACATTGTGTGGTGAGTTTGACGTGATCAGATTTGGTATGAAACAAAGCTTACACGTCCAGTGACTACTGGCTTGCCTGGGTCTGGTTCTGGAGTCTCTTTCTGCGTACATGTTATGGTGAGTTTTACACGTTTGGTGCGAAGCAAGGCTTACGCGCGCAAGTGCTAAATAATTAGCCTATGTATATTGTAAGCTCAAGGTGATACTGACACGAAGCCAAGCTTACTCGGGCCGTCACGACAGTGCTACGCTTGTCAAGAAGAGCAGCGTGGCGAGCAGCCTGCAGACATTGTGTGACAATATGATAAGATTTGACGTGATGCGAGGCTTACTGGCACTCCAGCGTTGACAAGGGCCGTCAGGCCGAGGAGAACAACGAAAGTAGTAGAGAGGTGGATAAACATGATGGTGAGTTGATTTCACTTGTAGAGAGGTTGTTGACAATTGATTGTGGATGCTGTCTGTTTTATATTCCACAGAAGAGGACGTGAAGTCATGTTTTGGACATATGCATATGATAGTACTAGTGATGAAATTCCTCAATGGTATTTGTTCAAAGGGGTCAGTTGTCGAAGCATTGTACGTGTCCCAAGTCGATCCGACAATTGAATACTGTTCAAACTGTTGTAGGGATGCAAGATTCGTGACATAGCCGGACCCTGAACACATTGCAGACTTTGCACTTTTGTTTCTATCAAGAAGCCTCGACTTCCAATTCCAATTTAGTGGGAAGGAGGTTTTGTATTGAAACGATTGTGCTCCCATCTGTCCTACCATGACTCACTGTCCAGCTGACCGATGTAACATAAGTCGTCAACAACCACCGTTCTGGCACCAGTTGTAGCAATGCATGACAAACGTTGAGCGGTAGTATTACCATGTCAGCGGGCGCGAGTTACTAACCTTGTGTGCTGTATGCAATCTACATATACCGGGTCACAGAATAGGCATCGAGCAACGTGTAGCGCTGCGAAGATTGTACGCTGGACAGCAGAGCAGGACCAAGTAGAGCTATTTGTTCTTTGAGTGTCCGAGCAAAAAAAAAAAACTAATCTGATAAAACATGAGAGTCAACAATCAGATCGAACGTGTGCATTGATTCACGGTAGGCCAGAATGAGATAAATAATCTGCAATTCGCCTTGAAGGTTGCAAAATAACGTCCCCGCTACGGCAGTAATGGGTTTTGTGGTGCTACGGTCGAAAAAACTCGTAGTATATATACACGATACAGGAAGCCAGCTACGAACATCTACGTAAACCCAGTATTGATCGTATCATAACACCCATCTCCCTTCAGCTTGCAACCCGGATGCCCACACTTTCTGCCAATCTGGATGAAGACAAGATAGACAAGTCATCTCAGTACAAAAGTGCACCGGGTGATCGGACACCACAACATGAATGTCGTTTAAGGAAATAAAATACTCATCGGACACCTCAGCATCAACGTCTTTCAACCAAAAATGACCCTCTTCAGCATCTTTGGACCCTTGTATTTCGACGGGTATGCGGCGGCCCCTGAGCATGGAACCAGGGAGCGTCAACAGTTCCGCGTGTAACTTCAGTTCCATGCTAGAGTCGTACATATCATCGAACGGGAGTTTGACTTGGGGGAAAACCAAAGAGACTCTTTCGAGTCTCTCGAAAGAATCCCACGGAACGTACTCCATCCACAGAGGCGCAGCGTAGCCTTGAGATCCAACACCGCACCTAGCCCGAAAAATGATGTGTGAAGATATGTCATCCTCGTCGGGAGGGATGGCGATAAGGTGGGTGATGGATGCCAGGAAGGCTGATCCTGAGGCAAGCCTCGCCATGTCCCATGAATCACAGGTGATCCTCGATAACGTTAATGTTTTTATGTTCCACGGAAGTGGCAAACATCCACGGTCTATGCTGTCATCCATACGGCCCCATGCGAGCTCTACGGAGAATACCAGGAGGTCTAGACACGAGAACTCGATCGCTAGTGACGATGCACTCAGGAGTACTGGAGCGATGAGCTCAATGTCTGACACAGGCTCAGAGGTAAAGCGGCTGTAGACGTGAGTGTCTGAGGGACGCCCACCCCAACGCTCTCCAAACCAGATGTTGCGTATGTAAGATGTGTACTCGAAACGGAGAGCAGGATACGTGTGAGCGTATTCGTTCTGCATATATAGAGCATGCAAGAAAGCTGGCATGTTACGAAAATCCAGTAATACTGTGTGCAACATTATAGGCAGTGCAACGTGCCTAAAAGCGTGGGAGACGAGACAAAGTTCACGAGCGGTTGAGTACAGATTCATCAGCTCATATTCCTCGTCTTGAGTAAAAGTGGGTTCTGCAGCATCTTGTATGATGATGGCGACGATCTCGGCGGGAAGGTCGTTAAATGAAGCTCGGGGGGTAGTCTCCATGGTGGCTGAGTGACATGGAAAACCGGTCTGAACGAGCCCTCATTAATCATTTAACACCTCGTGAACAATGGCAGAAAAAGTTGAACAACAGTGGCCCGAGAATAAAAATATGTGTGAGACCACAAGTTATGACAGTTTGTGCCAGAGTTGTTGTTCCATTTAGTCGCACAATGTGGTCCGGCTCTGTGGAAATACTGGTTATTACATGATGCAAATGTGGGACGAACCCTCGAGAATCTACGTACACGAACTCATTCGGTGACCGCATGGCACAACTCTTACATGGTAGTCGATTGGTTGGACTACTCCAGAGCAAATTCTACTGCTGCTTGACTAATGGAGCAACTGCGAAATCCTATTGATAAAAAGAACACCCACCACCAACAACATCACTGGAACGATGAATCCACCCCGTCCGATTGACACATGGCTTGTATGTGTCGTCACTGACTCCCAAGGAGGGGGATTCTGGAGTGAGAGCGTCTGAGGGTAGCAGAATGCTTGGTTTTTCAATGTGCGCCTAAATGGAGTCTATGGTTCTCCGACGTACGATTTACGATCCATCGACAGAGTTGAAAGTATCGCAGCCTCTGTACCCTTGCTCCGTTCAGTTACGCACAACTACACAGGCAGTTGTGTGACGAAAAATCCTCTTCTCCAAAGGTATCAACAACTTGAAGTAACATACGGCGCTGATCAGCTACTGCTCGAGTGTTGTGAATCATGTCAAAGAGCGAGGATTTGGCCGAAGGGCATTGTTGTAGCAGGCCATGATGCCGGTCTCCAAGCTCCAGTATGCATGCTTTATTCTGTGATACTTCCGCCTCGATCAGGGGTCTCGCTGAGTAGAGTGGGCGCTGCTGTGAGCTACAGAGTCCTATCGTATCAAGCGAACAGCTGAGGAGAAACAGAAAAAGGTCTTGACCTCGCACTGGAAAACGATTATAATTGAATATCAAACATACGACGTGATATCCCAAGAGCAATGGTCAGCACACAGATGAGTTCGAGGCGCGCTTAGAATAGAGTTTGGGGTGAATCGTGGGGCAGGTGGAACGTGAAGTAGAGTATGTGGTCGGCTTCTGCAAGTAGGGGATTGGCATCATCTAGTCTTGGGTCTGAAGAGCCAGTAAATGGTGTATATCAAGTCTGATATATTGGCTTTCTGAGCTACCAGGCATGATATTGCGATGGAGCAAAATGATGAGGATCAAGGATGGGCTGAGCGGTGGACGGAATGAGTGGGAAGGGAAGATTGGGGTAAGGATATGGGGACTGCGGATAGAGTTCGGCTGAGTGGGAGGTTGAGGCTTGGGATTCAGGTCATGCTGCATGTGTATTTCCACAGGTCAACGTTCAACCCTGAATACAATTGATCACTGCTATGACAAGTGGCGATGTCCCTGTTAGCATCCGGTATCGACATTGTCGAGGGCTGTTCGGCACGACAGACATTGGTATGACTTGAACGAAAGCACGCGAGTCGCCCTCGGATGTCTTATTGATTTCTAAACGTTCCTGTTCCTTTCAGGTATAGCTATTCAATGCCCGCGTCCAGTCCCCATCACTTCGTGCAGCAAGAAGGAATCCAGGTAAGGAGAGGCAAGAATAGGAAGATGGTGCCGAGAGAATAGTGAGGGAATGAGATTCAAACACTCTGATGGCGAAGAGAACGCATAGTCTAACATGCTAGCCAGGGCCCAGCAGTCATCGTCGCAATTATGAACGCGGATCTATGAAAGATGAAGTCAACAGTTTACGAGTCGAATAACGCTCAAATATTTCTTGTACCATAGTCATGCGAGCATCCTACGCGGTGAGTGTGGCAGAGGCAATAAAACATCTGTTGTCCGTCAAACGACTTCGCCGCAAGCGTTATAATTTCAACATGAATTGAATCGACGTTTTCGGATCAAGACGGCTTCGTTTAGGATCGTCACATACTAGTCACACGTGACTTCACCTCTTGGATCTATGCATCCGCATATATATGATAGTCCCTCTATCGCCCAGCCAACCATTCAACTGGTTACTCTTCCAACGACTCGGTTTTATACTACACGAGCCCACGCTCAATCTTCTTGCTGCCTTCCGCGCTGTCCTGGGCAAGTAATGGCTGAATTGCTAAGGCCAACGACTTGTCGGCAAGTTACATGTGTGATACAACAAGTGTAATCTAACATTCCCATCACTCATCGAGAAAATAGCAAGAACAGCAAGGAGGGAGGGTATCCTTGTCGGGGGTATCGTATCTTGTACAGTCTCCATTACACTGTTATCAGAGTCGAAAATTGCCCATTCTCAGAACGAATCGAAAATTTGTTACTGCACCGTCAGCGTCAGCATCACAATAACAGCCATACATGTTATTGAAGCCGAATAAACTCACTCCGCATTAAACTCCTTCAATACCTTTTCCACACTCCCCCGCCTGTTCTTCGTATAAGATACTGTGACTTTTATCGGTCCAACGTCCCGCCGCTCAAGAAGCAAATCGATGATCGCATTCGTCAGCGCACTGGTGAGTTCCTGAGGACTTTTGCCGGAAGAGTTTATTTCGAAAGTAGGTGGTGGGCGTTTGGGTGGGTCTGGTAAATATAGTAAGCAAGACAGTGCGAGATCTACGGAACACGAACGTACCAGCGAAAATGATCCTTGAAATTCTTGCTTTCACGGCACTCAGACGAGCCTGAATCTCAGAAGGGCACTGATCATCAGAAGAGTCCATTATCTCCCGTTTGCGTGATTCCTCGAGTCGGGTCACTTCTTTAAGTAGGAAGGCATGGCGGTGGGTTTCAGCCTCTTCTTGGGCAGGAGTGAGACGCGTCGGCTCTGGTTTGGGGCCAGAGTCTGGAGGTAAAGCTTTGGCTTAGTTCAAATCGCCTTAGTGGACACACATACCTGTATCTTGGGAATCATCGCCTGCGACTTGGGTATCACCACTTGCAAGGTTGGCAACTTGACTATCATCGACCGGTCCCTGATTACCTTGTTCACTATTTTCTGGCTCTTGACTATCCTTGCCGTTCTCTCGAGCACAATCCTCTCGGTTCGGGCTATCCGCACCTCGGGCATTGTCCCCAGCGTTTGAAGTCTCAATGTTCCCTTTGGTATCCTCACCGGAGTCTTGTCCACCCACGCCATCCGCATCTCCGATATTCGTGTTTGTAATTGCCTCTTCTCCTTCCCCTTTGGAGACCTTATCCTGCTCTTCTCCTTTCGCATCACCCTCGGCAGCTGGCGGCTTGGCAACAGCACCCTGACCTTTGGAACCCTCCGTGACCTGTTCGCCTGGTCGCTTCCCATCACCAATGCCTGCACCAAAATTCACCCCACGCGGATGCACAGGCGACTCGAATTCTTTGAATGGTGGTGGTGGATCATCATAAATATCAGCACCGCTGGTATCTAACGGATTAAACACCCTCGTGGTAGATTCATTACGCGCTCCCACATCTGGGAAAATTGGGTCTGGTTCGGTAGATGGAGATTTGAGGCCTGGCATAGGACGAATTGGGTTCGCAGGGTCGTAATCGGTATGGTTGCGGACGGAAGTGGATGTGAGACCTGGGCTTGTACACCTCGATTTGGACGTGGGCATCGGTGTATGGGTCCTGGAGAGAGGTGCAGGTGTGGGGGTCTTGGATAGAAGTGCAGGCGTGGGTGTGGTGAGTGGCGCTGGCGTTGGCGGTTTAGTTAGTGGCGCTGGCGGCATCGGTGTATGGGTCCTGGAGAGAGGTGCAGGTGGTGTAGGGGTCTTGGATGGAAGTGCGGGTGCGGGTGTGGTAAGTGGCGCTGGCGCTGGCGTTAGCGGTTTAGTGGGTGGCGGTGGCGTTGGCGTTGGCGGTTTGGTGAAGGGCGCTGGCGTTGGCGGCTTGATCTGGGGTGCTGAAGCGGGCGTTAGGTCTGGGAGAGTGGCGGGGGTCTTGGGCGGGGAGAGTGGCGTACTCAAACCAAGCACTGAGCTCATGTGCACACCGTCACTACCAGGATGTGCTTGAGGCGTGCCGGAATGTTGAGGCGTCTGGCCGTCTGGCCGTATTGCAAACCCGCCGATTCCAGCAGCACTATCGGACAGGATGATCTGTTCAGGATGACGAAGCATCGAGTGTTCCCATTTGCTGCTGTGTCCTGTCGAATTCGGCTGATTACCGGAAATAGGCTTATTTTGTACCGACACCCCCGCTGAGCTCGCCCGTTGATGAGGTGGCGTGCGTGATTTCCCAATATCAGGGCCTCGGTCCTTACCAACTTCCCTGACACCGGTGCCAGTGTTTTGGTTCGATATGCCCGCGCCAAAGGTGGATGATAAATTCCTTACACGGGAAGCAGGACGTGATTCTAGTGGTAGAACTGGTGGCGCATGGATAGAAAGATCGATCTCAGAATCTGAGATGAGAGGGAGACCTTCAATATATGAGCGGGGGGTAGGGGAGATGATTTTGGATGTGAATGCTATTCCGACTGCAGCTACGGGTGGAGTTAAGTCGAGCACGCTGAGGTCTGCACCCTGTTCCTGCTCTTGTTCTTGCATGTGAGACGGCACGGCAGTGTGTACCCGGTCGTCATCTTGAATCGGTATAGCCTGGTCGTGCCTTAAAGAATCAGACGTGTTAGAGAGAAGGGACGAGCGAGGAGAGGGTGTGTCTGGGTTGAAAGAAGGAGGAAATTCAGGGTCGACATCAATGTGAATGAGGGCCGGGGAGGGTCCTAGAACAACTTCACGCGTAAGAGTGTTCGTCACGGAAGAGGTTACTTGGCTGGAGGGCGAGTTTGATGTTGAGCGTCTCTGCAGGATCGGAGTTGGGGAAGCTGGCGGGGCAGCACGCGTGCTCGATACAATGCTGGATGATGGAGGACTAGACAAAAGATCCGGTACACGATTTGAAATAGATATGTTTGGGACCTGTATATCGTTTTCAATCCTCCATCGTGGCATGGATCTCCTCATGGCTTTGACATCTTTCCTTAGCGCCCTGTATACATGCCTCAGCCCCGTCTCTCGCAACACACTGGGCGCTACGTCAGCAAGGAGGAGCCCAACGAGTGTCCATGCGCCAGTGAGGGCAAAACGAACTAGCGAGTTCGTGAGCAAAAAGTCGATAACGAACCGAGTCGCAAGGGCAAGATAAGCATCATTAGGATTTCGCGGATTTTTATGGAGGAAATGTGAGAGTACAAATCCTTCCCAGAGCCCAACGAGTGTACCTTGAATGATAATAATTAGATGGGCCACTCATCAACAGTAACAAGACGCACCAGTAAGCCTATAATCACTGTCAGTCACGATGTCGATAACACTGCGTAGGGCGAGCCCAAGACCGATGGCGATGATATTGTCCATGTTATCACATACGTCGTGGAGGATGACGAGCCCGATTAGCTTAGCGGACCTCGCAGCTTAATTTGTGATCGAGCAACGATCGGATCGCGACTCGAGGCTTCAATATCAATTATCGCACGGACCTACTATGTGTGCAAACAAGGACAAATTACATGACGACCTTGACCGTCACGTTCCGACTCGCATGTTGTCACAATCCGCAACAGAATCATCGATTTGCTTCTATCGTGCCCTAGCAAATCCTCCCATCGACAGACTCTCTGGTACAGGCCCACCACAATCATACGTTTTGTCCTCCGTGACAACTATTTCGATCTCCCCACCCACTCTGAACGTATCATAGAAATCAACGTAGCATCTACTTTTCGCAGGCACTCCATTGATCGTCACATTTTTCACGTACGCGGGCACACCATCGGGTATCGGGTACGCCACAGACGCACCAGAGTAGTTGGTAACAGTTACCGTAGTGCTGGTGTTGAGGTAGGCATTGTGGATAGTATATTTTGGCGTGAAGGGCGAGACAATAAGGTAATGCGTCGTTGAGGGAACTGCACCCGAGTTAATTGTATGGATGGGTGAACGAATGAGGAGCATACCTGGGTACAATCCTAAGAGATGAAACCCGAGGAGTGTTGCCATTGCGGCCTGATCGTCGTTTCCAGGAAGACCCGCGGTTTCTGGATCTAATTCAGCATCACTCCATATCAGCTAGCTTCTCCAATCTTACCGATATTGAAGTTATTCATGACAACATCGCGGACACGGTCCACAGAACGCCAAGGTTGGTTTACATAGTGGTATCCGATAGGTGTCTGCTCTACAGGTCAGCATCGTTTCAACCGTGTATATTAGAGAATAACCTGGAAAGAAGGCTCGTTGCCTGCTAGATAATATCCTTCCTGGATATCACAAGTCAATATTAGTCAGGACGACCCGTAGGATGAACCTACGTCAAAGAAATGGTCGAGTCGACTCGTGAACGTTGTATTTCCTCCCATGAGCTCAACCAAGTATTCCGTATCGTGAGGTGCATACCTGTCATTGCCCCTCGTAAGGCATCCAGCACATCTTGACGCAAGAACAGAGAAACTCACCAGCTATACTCCCACGATGACGATTCGTAGAACCCGCTCTGATTATCCTCCTGAAGCGAGCACTCTTGACTGCTCCTGGTGTCCTTCGGCGAGCAGTCGACAGGGTCGGTGTTATAGAAGGTTCCATTGGAGAATCTCTTCTGCATGAACCCTGCGATGACAGCGTCAGGATTCACATCCCCATCACTACATCGACCCAACAAACCTTGGTATCCATCACTGTACACAGTTGCATCCCAGACATTGCGGTACCACTGTAAAGTTTGCGATCAGTGATTTTTGACGCCGCTATTCGCTCACATATGATCGGTTCGTGTAATATTCAACATCGTCCGTTTTGCCAAGCACTTGTGCCACCTGACGAATACCGAAGTCCTGGAATGCATACTGGAATGGATACAGCCGGGTCATGAGATCGTAACGCCAGCATTGATCACGGAGCATTCACCTCAAGAGTTCTACTTCCCTCCCTGGTCTGTCTACCGGTACTCCCAGTGTCTAGAACAGCAAAGGGTACATAAGAAAATTGCCTGCAAATCTAATTCAGCGCTCATATCTAATACGGTATTAACGAAGTCACGCACTTGTATACATTCACCTGCCTGCCCATTGTATTCCATTCGGGCGGATTCACCTGCCCGTCCGCGACAAGCGCGGCATACAAGTCGTTGAGGTCGATTCCCAGCGCCTGCGCCTCACTGTGATAATTCACCGCAAACTGTGCCACGATGCTGTCACCGCTTGACCCGCCCTGTGTCCACCCAGGAAGATTGTTCGCGCGGCATTCCGGCATCCAGCCGAGTTTACGCCAGCCATCGATGTAGTTGTCCACGATTTGTGCGAATTCGATTGGGGAGTGAAGAGTCATGAGGGGGTAAAATGTTCGGAACTACGTATGTAGGTGAGTCAAATTCTGACATCACATTATTGCTGCTCACCGTGTCCCAGCTACAGTAAAGAGAGTCAAAGTAGAATGATGTCGTGTTCGCAAACGCGCCTTGAGTTTCTAGAGTAGCATTATTCTGCAAAAACACGGTTAGTTCAACTTCGTTACGATGGTTTACACCTACAGGAGTCAATGACGCTCGGTACAACGAAGAATACAGCATCTCTGTCACATTAGCGGGCGTGTTTACAACATCGATCTCGATCTTGCTGAGCTTCTCTTGCCAAAGAGCCTTGGACGCCTTCTGGATTTCCTCAAAGGAACTTGTGCCGATTTCCTCCTCGGCATTGGCACAGGCCTGGTCCGTCGATACGAATGAAATACCCACACGAAGGATCACTTCCTTTGGGTTATCCTCATATGAGAAGAGTGCACCTGATTGGTAGGGTGTACCCCCTATCAAGTTCTGAGAGAGATTAAGATGGGTCTGACCAAGTCCTTTTGCGTCGAGACCGTACCTGATGAGCGTATTGTTAGTTAAATTATGACAGCAGTGCGCAGTGCTCACTTATCACCCGTCCAGACGCCATATTCACTCAGTTTTTGAGTTCCGCTGTTCAAGAGATCATAACAAGCAAATGCCTGGTAGTGGTACTCGCCGGGACCGAAACTAACGCACAATCAAGCTGATTTACCACATCACTGACCCAAAGGACATTCAATGCCCACCTGGAACCGTAGTGGCCGCCAATCGTGATACGACCATTTTCTGGGTCAATATCAAGGGTCCCGCCCGCAAATGATGCCGGCAAGTCATTGGCTAGGTCGAGTACAAAGTACGGTTTCGAGCCCCCTGGGAATGTGAAGCGTTCTATCCCAGCACGACGCGTCGATGTAGCTTCCATCTTGATATCATTATCTAAAGTCAGTGAAAAGTAGCCTGGGTACGCGTCTGTTGCGCTCATTTCAGCTCCTGGGACTTCCATACAACACAAGACGCCATACCATCACTATCGTTCTTCCTGTACCTCTCACGCGCCTCCAGCGTGGTCGTGCACGTGTCAAATCCTGAAGGACAAAGGAGGGGCATGACCTCGAAGTTACCATACGTCCCGAGGGATGACCCCGTGCCACTGTCATGCAGGGGACTCATTCCGCGAGCTTTCTGGGATGGATCCGAGATGTACCCTAAGGGCGATTCATCGTAACGGAGCGTGCACGACCTGCAGAACAACTTACCCGCTGGCGCGTAACCCGTGAAGTCGGTAGTGAATTTGACCTGGAGATAGGCATACGTGTTGTCGTCACGGTCATGTTTGAATTGAGACGTACCATTCCAAAGGGCACCGACGCGCCTGGACTGCATGGCAGGCATCGTTCAACGACTTACGACGCGTCATGGAGGGAACCTACCAAACATCCCCATAATTGGTATAATCTGGGAAATAGCTGTCAGTACACGTGAAGCTGCCGAAAGAAACCCGATCTACCAGTTCCGATGAAAGGATTCACGAAAGCAGTGTAGTCGATATCCGTGGATTTGTTAGATGCCTGCGCAGCTGCTATAGCAGCACTGATACGTGCTTGAACTTCTGGTGATGGTTGAGCATAGGTCGTGCCAATACACACCGCAGCAGCAGATGCTAGTAGCCAACCAACCATGATCACACCCGTAGTTCGCTTCGTGTTGTGGGGATTAACTAACGCTATATAACAGCGCTTATGTAGATCTTCCAAAAAATTTATATACTTTCATTTAATGACCGAACACTGTCGGACAACGGCATCAGTACATGGACAACACTGCACCCTTACGTGCCATCGCGTGCAAGTCGGTGAGGCTGAATCATACCCGTGACGTAGCTCCGACGGTAAGGTATCGTTATGGCCACGCCACGTAAAATACGTGATGTACATATGGAGACGAAAAGTACACGCATCAGTCTGCGAGTACTACGGGGGCGTTCAATGTCGGGACTTCGCTGGCGTTGAACGGAAATGAAGCCGTCACCACGGGTTTGCCACGCGTCGTGGCGAATACCCCATGCTTGTCCGAGGTCTAAGGCCAAAACTTATTAACAGATTAACAAAGCGCTGAGATATGAACCCACAAAGGTCACGGTAAGCCTTGGCTCTCAACCTGTTTGCGCGCAATACGTTCGAGTTCGTTACAAATGAGGTCGAGGCCTATACCATCGCCATTCCAATAGTATTTCTCTTCCTCTGAAAGCTTCGACAGAACATATTCTGCTGCATCACCAGGACCTCTACCAATGCCAATACGAAATCGATGAAAATGGGTTTCGCCTCCGAGTGCAGATATGATGCTGCGTACACCGTTGTGCCCATTGGCAGAACCACCTATTTTTGGAGACAAAGCCTTCGGTTTATGAGATAGTGAATCGTGGATAACGACCATTGCATCTGAGGCTTTGACAGAATTGCGGAGAGCTCCTGCCACTGATGGACCGGTGATATTCATGAGGGGCTCTGGCCGAGTGTTTAAAGCCATTGAGAAACTAGAACAGTTAAATCACTAACTTGGTTTCAGGAGTGTCAGAGATACAGCAGTTTGGCCTAGCGTGACCTTTGAACGTCCAGTCACGCCCCCCATCGTTCTGTCAGTGGACATATGTATATGAAATCTTGCAGCTAAGGCGTCAATTATAAGATGCCCGATGCTGCGGTTCCAGTCAGTTTTTCGTGTCAGATGACATCTGTAAGTAATGAGAACCTACCTATGGCGGGTCTGGGGAAACGGAAGGTTACCCAGGCCTACAACAAGCAGTTGGGGAAGTCCTGAAGCGACGGTCATCCTGCGAAATTTGTTGGGTATGTGTCGGGTATTGGTGTATACTGAAGGTCAATGAGAAGAGTCGAGTTTTAGTAAGCCTTCAAGAGCTCCTCGACTCGGAGTCCGAGTCATAGTAGCTGGCAGCCGGTGCACTCGAATTGAACGTGACCGTCTATTACCAAGTGTGTCCCAAATTTAGCAATAAGTGTGACAAAAGGCACAAAGGCAATTATGCCGACAAGATACCATATTTAGAAGCGTTTCGGAGGATGTATACTAATTCCGACGTCCTCACTTCTGACGGTCTACAGATAGGCGAGGCTCTTGTTTGTTCTTCCGTCTTCCGTCTTCCGTTTTCCGTTTTCCATCTTTTATCTTCCATCTCATTTTTATACGATGTCGTCGACTGCGACGGAGGCAAATATTGAACTCCGTCCTCGTCACAGACGTCGCTTTTCCACGAATGATCCACAGCGTAACCTCCGCCTGGCTATCTGCCAGCGCCTGCCTCATTCACTTGAGGCACTCGACCTCTCATCTAACTCAGCCAAAGAGACTTTTGCTGCGCTTCGGTACCTCGTCCTATCCTATTTAGAAGACATTGAGATGCGATTGGCCACACTCGAATCTCCAATTACTGACCTTCACCTCGCTGAGGCTTTGAAGAATAAGGGTGGTTGCTCTGTCGAAGAAGCCAGACAGTGGGTTAAAGATGCCCTCGAGATGCTCCGTAGTATTCGAATGGATGTTTGCTCTCACTTCCCGGACCTCCATCTTCCAGACATATCTCCAGTAAAGTCTCATCTCCCCGAACTCCCCGATGTCCCTTCCCTGAGCGACGTGCGCTCGCGTCTACCTGATATTCCGAACGTCCGTCCACATATGGCAGCCCTAGCTCCAAGCGATATTATATCGCTGTTAGAACATGCCTACTCCCGCTTTTCCGACTTTGACTTTTGTGGTTTTCTGCCAACTCTTTCCGCTCGCTTCCAGTCCTTCCATGCGCACCTACGTTCGTTTGACCCTCGCTCTAGTGAGCTTCCATCTCTCCCGGGAAATTCTCACATATCCGGCCTCATCGATTCCATCATGTCCTCCGAACTCATCACTGAACTATCTGATGATGTCACTGAAGCAGAGGCCATGATAGAAGTGGCAGCAAAGGACATTGCTCGTGCAGTAAAACAATCATTACAAGGATCACAACTAATTGAGTATGTCGACCTTCCGCCAAAATGGCGAAACAACCCCTTTGTCCTCGGAGGCTATCGGTATGTGGCAAATCCTCACCCTCTTTGCAACACGTTCATTCGTGCATCAGGTTCATCCCCCTAGAAAAGTGGCCGCTTATTATTATGTCACTGTTCGCTGTACACAATGAAACCCGTACGTTATATTTCTTATGAATATCGTTACATGCTGACTAGCACAAAGTGAACATACACACGCATCTCATTCCATTCATTCTTTGGCTCATTAACTTGATATCCATATTTAACGCATCAAATATCGTAGACGCTCCGGAGGTGGCATTTATTTCATTTGCTCTTTTGTGCCTTTTCAGCAGTGTGGTCTGGCATACCATGGCCGGCTGTGCACATCCTCAGGGCATGGAGCTTTGTGCACGGATAGATTATGTAGGCATTGGATGGTGAGTACAATTCAACGCTTCTTGAATTTGCTGAATCATTCACATCCCACCAGGCTTATCAGCGCCTCAGTTGGCACCGTCGTATATTATGGCTTCCAGAATTGTCATCCAGAAGTGGGAAACGCATTCCTTGTTTGTTGCTTGATGACTGGGATTGCAGGGAACGCATTCCCATTCTTTAAATGGTTCGATCAGGCCGAGTATAAAGTAATGACGTTTTTCGCTCTTTGAATTTCTTACTGACTTGATTCCTTCAGCACTGTCGCATTGCTTTCTTTTTGTCCCTTGCATTTACCGCCGCCGCCCCGATGACAGCCCTCGCATACCTCCAATCGCCTGCGCAGATGTTCGCTTTCGTTTGTGAGTCCCTTCTTCTACCATACCGCAAAACATCCCCCGTATTGATAAGCTTTTCTAGACCCCGTCTGGCCCTCCATCACATCGTACCTCATCGGCCTTGTCTTCTACGCAACACATATCCCGGAACGCTTCCTTTCCGAGCGGTACTCTCACTGGCTGGACTGGTGTGGCGGCGGTTCTCACGCAATCTGGCACATTTTTATTGTCATTGCTATTGGCCAACACCGTGCTGCGATGGCAGAGCTCCGACGCGGCGTTGAGTGTCATGCTGTATCGTGACGCTGATTTTTTAATTGGGCTGAATGCATTTAGAGGAGCATTACTGATCTGCGTGACTGTTTGCTGCCATCTAAGCATAAGTAGGGATCAATTATTCCGTCCTTAGGGTATGCTAGATATATACAAGAACACCCTTCGGCCGGCTCTTCGACGATATAAATATTCTATTTACAATAAAAACTGAGGAAATACAGCACTAGCATTACCCCTACAAATAGACAGGGTCTCTTACTCGACAACGCTGTATACAATTGACCGTGAGCGTTGAAGAGATCAATCAGGGTTCGCGCTGACATCACACCCAGATCTATATCCATTGAATGTAATTGCATATGTGGATCGCAGAAGAGACCGTCTTTGATTCACTGTCTATGACAAACGGTTTGGATGGAATGCGCGAAGTCTTCACCGAACTGGTCGTTACGTTGAAGTGTGAACTTACAGGGCAGGTAAGTTAATTACCGCTATAAAGTGACACGGTAGATATCTTACCCCCACCGTATCAGTTATCAGTGCAAAAAAATGGGCCACTGATGGGCCGCCAGAGTCGTCGTTTCGCCTGCAGGCTGCCCTGGACCTGACTGCAAGTCCCCAAAACGGTATAAGTATTCCTGGCCGATTGCAAATTACAACCTCCGCATGACGATAGCCACCAAGCCGCGCTAAATGATGCAGACACCGAGGCGAACGTCCTCGGTATTCTCTCAACCAACAAGGTTTGTACGCAGGCATGGTTTGAGATCTTGAGACCAGTGCGTATTCATCTTTGATAATATATTGTGTTTGTAGTAGCAGCTCAGGAAATATAACATTAGCACAATTTTGTCACTCGTTCATCTCTGCAAATAGACACATCGCATATGCGAGTTGCAGAGGGAACTATCTTCAATTCACTGTCCACGAACATCATTCTCCCGCCTACAAGGGGGTCATTGCACTGCTGAGCCACGAGGCGATTTCAACTCACTCCTCGATCGCATCGTGAATGTGCTCATCTTCTCGTTGACTGAAAGGCAACTAGAACTTGGAACGAGGCTTTATTAGCCTATACAAGGGCACATATTTTGCGGTCGGGTATCCTTCACGGGAAATGCCATAGGCAGACCATCCTCGAGCATTGACACCTGGTGCAGTAGGCCCGGTGGCGCAAAATGTCACGGAACATTTTTCTGGTCCTATGCTAAGTGAACAGCACAGAAGAATTTACACATGCCGGACTTACTATTGGGAGACAAGTACATCATAAATGCTGCGCAAGTTGTAACTTCGGAGATGACGTACTTCCCTTTGAGGACATCAGGTATGGAATTGAGCAGCTCGATGATGCGCTCATTCTTGGGAAAGCTGATGTATCTTGGCTTGTACATGACCAGCACAGCTGCTTGTTTCCTACCATCGAACTCAAACTCAACTTTGAGAGCAACATTCGCTGCACCAGGCACGGCGCTGCAACACAGTCAGATATGTACCCAAACATTGCATATTGTAGCACATACGCTTCAGTATTTGTGCTGAGGTCCCTGGCAATCACACCCTCCGATTTGACGATGAGGCTGTCTTCCCCTTCCTCCTCTACGGGGCATAGTGCCGGATCCGTCATATCGATAATTTTATCTGCGTAAATGTTCCCAAACACCTCGAATTCTCCAGTTGAATCGTTGTTCATTCCATAGTCGCCCACCTGTGCCTGTCAGGTTGACTGAAACCAAGTGGTATATTTACATACCCTTATCTCTATTGGTAGATCCCAGCTAACCTGGTAGTTGGATGTAACGCCATAAATGAGGTCGATATACTTCCGTGACTCGGACTTCATCGCAATGATGTTGCCAGAAGACGTGCAAAGTCTTGGGTACCATGGGCAGCATAGACTTCTTTATATGCCTTTGACTGGCGCTAAGATATGATCAATGAACAAAGGCTTAAGTGAACGGGTCATAACTACCTGTCTTAGTGCAAGCTTCACAGGACAATAATCGAGGTTACTTCGAGACAGAAGCCACATGCGGCGCGATAAGCACATGATAGTTCCCACGGTTACGATTCACTTAACACGCTGCAAAGGTCGATGCGGTTTTGTTATGCAAAACCAACAGATAAGCCTAGACTCCCTTGAACAAGATTCAGACCTCAAAAAAAGACATACCAAAAGTACTATTTGCTCTGGAATTCCATGAGGTGGAGCGTCCAGGGATGAAGCTTAAGTGGTGTAAGTGTCTGACCTCATTGACGAATTCATAAGACTCGTAACTGTCGTGACAGTTCCCGTCATGGTACCTACTGTGATGAGTGATGTCGTTCAGGCCGGCTCCTTCTCTGTTTATAGCGAGCTCCCTGGTGTCTTTCGCCCTCCATCCGAGTTCATCGAACTGGCTGTTGAAGCTCAAGTTAAAACTTACAAGACAGGTAAGTTAATTATTACTGCTTAGACATCTTACCCCCACCGTATCAGCTATCAGTGAAAACCAATGGGCCATCATGGAAAATGCAAACCTAATTATTGGGAAGATTCGCTGATGACTTTACTGATGGACCGCCAGAATTGCTGTTTCACCTGCTCTGCTGATGATGGGGCTGGCAGGCCTGTCCTATGAAGGTAAGTGTAAGTATTTCTGGCCGATTGGAAATTATACCTGGATACAATAGCCACCAATCAAGCCGGCGTGCATGAAATGCACCTGATGCCATGTTATCGATGGACTGCCACTGCCAGACTTTGAAATTTCGTCTGCAGGAATATCAAGGATCTACAAATGTGTCAGCCTGTGAAGGACAATCGCTGCCAAAGTCCGGTTTAAGCCAAGTCACCGACCCATGTGCATCTTCATATCACCGTGGCCAGCTCACTATAAAGCCCCATGAAAACACCGCCAACCGACATTCATCCGATTTACATCCTAACTCCCACTCAGACTTCACGCAGCAATCATGACGAAACCTCCGCGGGGCACCTATGTCATCGTTAACAGGGTTCTCTCTCCAGCTGACGAAAGGCTTGCGATCACCTACAACGGTCCAAATCAGCCTTTGACCGTGAATACCAGGACCGATTCTTCTCACCAGCGTGTATGTGCTCCACGTCGTTTTATGTGTACTGCTTGGGTACATATCACATTTGAAGTGGATCGTTCGGGATTACGACCAGAACACCAAATCCCTGGTTCCTGTCGATGCTACTGCCCTCCAAGTTGCTTGGGGTCCCGACTGCGCGACAGTACTTCCAGCACATAACTATGTATGGGCAATTAGAGAAACCAACTCAGGATACACGTGAGTTCCACCTCGTTATTTGTGTTTCATTTCATGAATGGGTCGAATTACTTATCAACCGAATCCTCCAGTATCCAAGATGGTGGAGTAACTGTGTTTTGGGGAGTTGCGGATGCAGTCAACAATGCTACGGTAAGGTTTATGGGGCTAACATGGATTTACCGTTGCTGAGAATTCAGCAGGTCACCATTGGAACCGGCACTGGTGACGAAAAGCAGAGGTGGTTTTTCGAAAGAGTGCTGTAGTCTGTAGACCTTGGAACGAGTTGAAATGAGCACTAGTTACATCAGTAAATGGTGTTGTCCCTCGAGAACCCAATCAATGTATTAGTATTATGACTGCTCAGGCTGTGGATTGGGATGCATATGATAACTGCAATATTCACCTTGCTCCGCAAGGTCATGTTCCCCAGTTAAATGCCGAGCCTCAGCGGGAAGTCACCTGACCTCGATTGCGCGTCCCGATCGGGCGGGAACATCCAAGTCTCTACAAGCGTGACGTTCACACCTCTTCTTTCTCCACTCCGTCGACCATTCATTCCGTGCATTTCGTCAGCTTAGCTTAGCTTTTCTTTTCTTTTCGCCACTTCGCTGACGAATGTGGCTGTCGGAGCCATTCATTACTTCAGCTTACCATTTTGTGCTAATTCATCAAAACTAATTCCATCAGTTGTTGGTTGGTTGCCAGTGAGTGTGCTTTTGTGTTCACCGACAGGCGTGACAATATTGTTGTATGTATATCCCGCGGACTTGGAAATTTCGTCTGTGGGCCCAGTGTGTCAAGCATCTACAAATGTTTCAGCCTGTGAAGGACAATTGTCACTGCCAAAGTCCTGTTCAAGCCAACCGACGCATATACATCTTCAGATCATTGTGACCAGCTCACTATAAAGCCCCGTGAAAATGCTTGCTAGTGCGCCAACCGACATTCATCCAATTTACATCCTAACCCACTCAGACTTCACGCAGCAATCATGACGCAACCTCTCGAGCCGGGCACCTATGTCATCGTTAACAAGATTCCCTGTCCAACTAACGAAAGGCTTGCGATCACCTACAACGGTCCAGATCAGCCTTTGACCGTGAATATCAGGACCGATTCATCTCGCCAGCGTGTATGTGCTCCACGTCGTTTTATGTGTACTGCTTGGATACATATCACATTTGAAGTGGATCGTTGAGAACAAGACCAGATCCCTGGTTCCTGTGGATGCTACTGACTTCCAAGCTGTTTGGGATGCCGACTGCGCGCGTACAATTCGGAAATATAATTTCGCATGGATCATTCAACCAACCAACTCAGGATACACGTGAGTTCCACCTCGTTCTTTGTGTTTCATTTCATAAACGAGTCGAATCACTTGTCAACCGAATCATCCAGTATTCAAGATGATACAGGAACTGCGTTTTGGGGAGTTCTGGATGCAGTCAACAATGCTCCGGTAAGGTTCATAGGCTAACGTGGATTTACTATTGCTAAGAATTTAGCAGCTCGTCGTTGGATACGACACCGGTGACGAACAGCACAGGTGGTCTTTCGAAAGAGTGCTGTAGACTTCGGAACAAGTTGAAATGTGTAGCCACCGGCCGTGACATCAGTAAATGGTGTTGTTTCTCGAGAAACCAATCGATGTATTAGTATTATGATCGCTCAGGCTGTGAATTATGATGCATATGATAACTGCGATATTCACCTTGCTCCGCAAGGTCATGTTCCCCAGTAAAACCAACTTGATGTCGAGCCTCAGCGGGAAGTCACATCCAAGTCTCTGAGCGAACAACAAGCGTTTACATCTCTTCTTTCTCCGCTGCGTCGACCATTCACCGGCACCCCGTGCATTCCGACAAAGGTCTGTCGGAGCCATTCATTAGTACTACTCAGCTTACCATTTTGTGTTAATTCATCAAAACCAATTCCATCAGTTGTTGGTTGGTTGAGTGTGCTTCGATGTTCACATGCACATCGCCCTCAGCACTTAACGTTATAACAATAAGGAAATACGGTACTGAGTGCGCCCCTAGTGGAGCACTCGTATTGTCTAAGCGCAGTTCCAAAATTGTGGCCCACTTCAGCCCACTTCTCGTCTAACGTAGTCGATCATGTCCATTCTCTCGTCAAATGTATATCAGAGTTAAAATATAGTGTATGTGATCATTTAACACAACTATTGTATCTGCGCGTGATAACATGTCCTTTAGAATCTAACAATATATCAGTCCATACCCAACATTTTTCATTCAAGTATATTCACCATTTGATCACGAGTAATGGTGAACATTTTCCGACTCTGGTCTTAAATTCTTAGTGCGAACACAGCTTTGTAGATATCAATAATTCGTCTCCGAATTTGAGTAGGACATGTTATGTTTGGCTGTGTCTCAGGTGTGAGGTTGTATGTATGCATCTGCGGGGGTGTGTCAAGGATCGGATCTACAAATGTTTCAGCCTGTTGTCGCTGCCACAAGCCAACCGACACATATGCATCTTCATATCACCGTGGACAACGCACTATAAAGCCCCATGAAAATGCTTGCACCAACCGACATTCATCCTAACTCCAACTCAGACTTCACACAGCAATCATGACGAAACCTCCCGCGCCGGGCACCTATGTCATCGTTAATAAAGCTCTCTCCCCAAATAACGAAAGGCTTGCGATCACCTACAACGGTCTAGATCAGCCTTTGACCGTGAACATCAAGACCGATTCTTCTCACCAGCGTGTATGTGCTCCACGTCGTTTTATGTGTACTGCTTGAATATATATCACATTTGAAGTGGATCGTTCAGGATCACGACCAGAACACCAAATCCTTGGTTCCTGTCGACGCTACTGCCCTCCAAGCTGCTTGGGGTGCAGACTGCGCGACAGCACTTCCAGCACATAGTTATGTATGGACCATTACAGAAACCGACTCAGGATACAGGTGAGTTCCGCCTCGTTCTTTGTGTTTCATTTCATGAACCGAATCCTCCAGTATTCAAGATGGTGTAGGAACTGCGTTTTGGGGAGTTGCGGATGCAGTCGACAATGCTCCGGTAAGGTTCATAGGCTAACGTGGATTTACCGTTGCTGAGAATTTAGCAGCTCGTCGCTGGGTCCGACACCGGCGACGAAAAGCACAGGTGGTCTTTCGAAAGAGTGCTGTAGACTTCGGAACAAGTTGAAATGTGTATAAATGGCGTGGTTTCTCGAGAACACGATCGATGTATTAGTATTGTGACCGCTCAGGCTGTGAATTAGGATGTATATGATATTCACCTTGCTCCACAAGGTTATGCTCCCCAGTTACATAAACTGACTTGATGGTTGAGAAATTTACGGCTCAACGAGAAGAGTCACATGTCCTCGATCGCACGTCCCGATCGGGCGGGTTCAATATTCAATCCGGGCGATGGGTGGGCTTGCGTCGGCTGAGTTCGCGTCTGCCACGGCGTTAGCATGAGAGGTTCTCCTGATGTCGCGGGTCAGTATCTGGGGACAAACGGCGTGTTCATGCGATCGATGCTGGGCCTATATCACCTTCTGCAAAATCTACACTCACCAGTTACTCTTATTTTTTGCCTGACAATTTAGTTGCTTTGTTTGCTTGATTGTTTACACTTGAGCGCCGAGCCATCGATGTACTTAGTAACCTGTGCTTGCATGAGCGTAAATGGTCAAATATAAATATATTACTCATGCACGTCAAATCCAAATTTACCAGTCCGTCTATCGACGCCTTGCCTCATAGACGGGGCTGTTCGAACACCCTATGTCCGAGACATAGCCCTATTCGATGGCGGAGAGCGTGCTCTTAACTTTCAATCATCAGCGCAATGTTACTTCCATACGTGCACGCCTTGGCTCTTTCCTACATGATCTGATGGAGATGTGAAGAGCGGAATTTCTCGTCCAATCGTTTACTCACATAATTATGAATGTCCTGCGGGAAGCCTGAAGCCGACGACTGTGGCATCATTCCCTTGAATATCGCCTCGGGCAAGTTGCCCATCAAGCCGCCGTCATCTGAGCCGACGTCCAGTATGGATTGTTCATTCAGCGAATTTTGTGAGCTGTCTTCGTGCGACTGAAGGCTCTCGTGATTTGAGAGGTACGAATGTATAGGGTGTCTTTGCGGACAGATGGGCTCCAGTGAATTGTGATAAGCACGAGCCGTGTTTACGATGAAAGGTGAATTAGCTTGGTATGGACGACGTGGTGTCACAGAAGATGGGGGCGTGCATACAGGGACCGAGTACCGAAAGTGGTATATAGCAGAGAAGATAAGAACAGGGCGTCGACGGCCTAAGCACCTTGGCAGACAAGGTGCCGGGTCTGCAGGACGATACACATCATGAAGGATGGTGTATATGGTGGGGTCTTGTAGGAATAATTATACGTCTATTGCGTGTCAAGGTCGGAAGGTACGGACCTGGGGATTTGCACAAGAGTTCCCAATACCTGGGAACCAAGGCTGTTCCGTAGAGTACTGGGTTATCATCCGGTGGGTTCACAGAACCGGCAAAATATGGTCCAATACATTCGAGTTTCGTGTCCTCGCTGTGTATGGGTGCGCCATCCAATAATATAATATAGGATGACTTGCCAATGACGACAGAGGTCGAGACGAAAGTTACAGTGGGATCAATATCCTTCATGCGACACGGCGTGTTCGAGTGGTAGAGCCCAATGGGGGACTGGTATAGAGTCGAAGATGAGCCACATGAATATGATGAGGATGAGCCCCAGCGCGAACTAGACTCTGGTAAAATGTCAATGTATACTGGAGTACGTGTGTCAGGAAGCTGGTTACGTCTAGATAATGGCATGGTAGAGCTGTCACGGTATTGCGGGGAAAATAGACGAACGTGTAGTTCTCAGGTCTCAGCGGTTAAGAGCTGGAAGATAAAAAGCAAATGGGTGAATTTATATCCGCCCTCAAGATGAGGAGAAAACCTCCGTGACCCGACTTCACTCCGCATAGGCAGATGTCTATCACTTCCAAGAGTAAACCAAAAATAGAATGACGCCTCGATGAATGCTCAAACCGGCGTCGGGGCAGATATGAACATTAATCCCATCCAAATCGGGTGCCTCCATGCCTATTTGTTATAACGATCTGTGGTTGCCCGCCTCGTGAAAGATATACCTGAAGATGAAGCGATAATCGATCGTGCAGGAATCAAGCTGAAGTTCGCGTTTCGCACGAGTCACTAGAGGGGTTTTAATTATTGGAGGCCTGGATTCGGAAAAGGGCCCAACGTGAGAGGCCTGGTAAGGCTGTGAGCTGTGATCTGCAAAAGGTGATATGGACCTTTCAGCATCATGATGGCCTCGAGATAAGGCGGCCATACAGGTTCAGTTACTATGATAACCCTTCCGAAGACTCAGAATGTTCTTTTGTCTAGAAACTTCTTGACTCGATGATTTTCAAATTAGCTGCGGAGGATTGGAAGCATATTTTGTCGCGCTGGATGGAGATGAGCAGCATTCAAGCTTCAGAACGCACCACTTACATGAGCATGACATCGCGCGAGCAGCGAGTGGTTTCCAACAAGACCACTCAGCGTGACACTGTCACGTACTAGTCTGTACATGCGGAGCCCCAAGTGTGCATACCAACAATTATGAGGTTAGGGTTCGAATTCACGCCATTCACAAATTATATCAAGTGTGTTACAAGTTGATTGCACCTAAATATGCGAGACTTTTCGGTCAGCTACATAGGTCAGGCGCACAGTGAATGAAATCAGCACTAGGGGGGAAATAGTGGGCAAATAAGTAATGAGGTCGAAGATACCGTAGGCTGCGGTTGGAAGGATAGCTACTGATATGTCTCAGAGTCTATCATATTAGGTTGACCTTCCTTGGCATCGGATCAACCCGATTGAGAAAATAAGTGTAAATAAAGCCAACAATGGAGTATGAATACTTGTACAGGTGGAAGTGAGCATATCCTCGGTGGATGGGTCCGAAGAAATGCCATGCTAGATGAAGATATACTGAACCCACAGGTGTGCGTTATGCGATGTTATTAACATAGCAGTGTCAAGTGATAGACCAATATGATTTACTGATGGTTATACCAAGAAACTGCCGGAACACGCCGAGGAACGATGATACGAAGGATCTGTCCGTCAAATTCTGCGCGCACTTGCGCCAGATCAGCGTCATATCCGAATAACACACGACGTTCGAAGTGCCCTGCATTAGGAAATAAGTACACTATAAAATGAATAAAAAGATCGACAGCTTACCGCCTTCAGGCTCCCATGAATCAGCAACGACGTGAAGGATGCGGCGCCTGCGAGTAGCAATCGTACTGAAAAGGTAATCAACGAACTTCCCATGAAGCACAAACCATCAAAAACTCACATGCCATCCCTTCTGAAGCCAGGGAGTCGCACAACCAGCCGATACTCCGACGACGAAGTCTCCACAGCTATCCAAGTATCTGGGGGAGGAGCATGGCAAAGAAACGAGTCGTAAGGAGCACGTCTATCGGCATCTTCTCCGCAGCGTTCAGCTTGTGTTGGCGGTGTCAAAATCACTGGTGCCTCGGGAGCAGGATACAGGCTTGAATTAAAAGATGATGCAGGCGGGTGCGTCTGGCTATCGGAGACATTATCGCGCGAGTAGGCCGGAGCAGGTGACGATGGGATGGGTGCGTTGGACAGAGAAAGGTGTTTAAATTGCAGATCATTGGGTGCTGCATTTGTTTGCGGAGGCACGGGCAGCGTTCGCCGCTCGGATGCCTCCGACGGTGATTGGCTGTTACTGGGGGAGGGCGAAGCAACAGTTACTGAACCATCCATCCGGGGCAGAACATTGCAAGGAGTTTGCGATGGCAAGGGCAGCCTCGCTATGGGATCATCATCTAGACAATTGGTAGGTTGCATAGACAGATGACCGTCAGGTAATGACGGAAACATAGGCGCCGCTGGTGCGGATTGAGTTTCCATACTATGTGACGAGAACTGCTGGCGAATAGTTGCTGAGGAAGTATCTGGAGTATCAGGTTGCTTGTTGCCCGAAAGATGCGAAGTGTTCATGTCTGGCGATGAGTCAGGGCTTGCGATTCTAGCCGGTGTATGTGGAATAGGCTGCAACTGTATTGATGGTGACAAATGAAGCAACCCGGTGGAGCTATGATCCAATCCTGTAGAGTCGTCACTGTCCGTGTAGTGTAAGACCCCGGTAAAGGATTGAGAAACATCAAGATGTACCCTTTCGAGCCAAATAAATTTGGTCTTGTGTTGGAAGCCGTATTCGGGAATGTATAGCCCGTTAACTGAGAAGGTAGAGAAACTTCTCTGGGCGAATGGAAAGAGGTGTGTCGCTTCGAAAAGGACAACCTACGAGATGGTGGCAGCGGGGAACGAGGAATGTGTAGATATTCTAGGAAAAATTGACATAACAACAGTTGAGCGAAATTTACTATTTGAGTTGAAAGTTACGAAGACAAATTGAATACAACATTAGGTCTTTAACCGTGCCGTATGACGATAGCACGGATATATCCGGTTCCTGGAGAGATCCGGAAACAGGCCCCATGGGAACGAACGAATGCAGAAGATCCCGGGGATTAAACCGCCACGAACAAATAAGAGACTAAGTAATAAGCATGTCGACGATACACGCCAGTAGTATTGAAAAATCAAGAAAGCGAGTTTGAGTTGAAAGCAGAGCATCGCCCAACGTCGATATGGTTTTGTTATGTGACCAAAAGAAACCAGATTGCTCAAGACTAGTGGCGTCCGAGTGGGAAACGCCATTGAGAGCATCATGACCACGTAACTCGCGGCGTAGCGCAAGTGAACAAAATGGAAAACATTGTCGATGAACAGACAGCGCCGATAGCGCTTCAGCGTCAGAGACAGCAAAGACAAGAAAAAGAAACTATTTAAAAGTGAGAGTTGTAAATGGTTCTTACCTGATGTACTACGTTTGTGGTTCCGGAAGACTGGGGATTTCTCTGAATGAGGGGGAGCGTCAGACGATGGGTTTCCATTGCTGCGCATCGTCTGGAGTAAGTTGACAGAGCGTCTCTGGAACAAAGGGTGGGCGTAGTCTGAAGATCGATGCTGGATGATTTATGCGATCAGCAGGTTATGAGCGTCAGAATCGAGGCCGGTAAAAAGGAGCGAAGCAGGAAGAGATGGGATTCTTGTGCGGCTTTGTCACACTCAGCCACTAAGTAGGTCAACTGTGGTAGTTGATTCATATGCGGCGAAAGGTGGCAGCATTATAGCGGGTGGAGCAGGTTTATGATAGGTGGCGTGAGATCCCGAGGAATGTCGTAGTGACGTCACAATCTTAGTCATGATCGAATATTCGGAAATGTTGGACTCATCCAGCAGATGCGATTTTGTACGGATGCATCATCATTTCAATTCTTCTTATCGAACCGATGACGGTAGAAGAAACTTCACATTAATGTATACATTGACGCGAGTTGGCCACGAAAATATTCAGGAAACGGTCGGCGTTTGCCGATTTAAACTAACTTGAGGGAGCAGCGCCCTGGTTGGACCCATCCGTCTGGTTGAATATGGTTCTGGCTGATCAGTCTCCCGCGATTAGTATTTGATTTTGACCCCGGCATTCCAAAAGTAGTTTTCTAACCACAACCTTTAGGTTTAGAAGAGAATCCCTCATTTTTTTCACTCCTTGCTCCATCTAAAGCCGATCATCGTAGGTAGCTTATCAACCAACCCTCAGTCTACCCACTCACTTGCTCTTGGCTGATTTAATTTTCATGGCCGCTGCTTCAGTCAATCATTGTTCGCGTACAAAAAATGGAAAGAGGAACTGATACGAGAACATTAATTCCATGTCGGTTCAGAACTCCTTCACTCCCTTGCCAAAATTAGGCATGCAGCTACTTATGTTCAGGTACACTACTTGCTATGAATATTCTCGTACTAATACCTAACTTCTCTGCGGACATAGGAGCTTACCCCGAGACATAACACATATTTTGGCATCACAGCATGTCTACTGCTCACACTTTTACTACAGACAATTAGACACGTGCGTATCACCCAAACGCGCACCTGCGAACGGTATAGGTAAGCATTACTGTTGAAAAATTTCCTTATGCGGAAAGCTTGCATGATATAGCTTCACAAGTCAAGCATGAGTTTCATAAAGTGGAGACCGCGGCGCTCTTTAGATGCGTATGTCTGGGCAAGACTCTCATATCAAATTGGTACGTTTGGTACCCTGAAGGAGGATGTGAACACATGTGGAACAATCAAGGTCCTTCTTGGATACGCAGGTTTCGCCGCTGAGCGGTTGAGTACTTCATGTGACATGTATTGCCTTGGCGCCAAGCTCAGGATTTGCGGCTGAAAAACTATCCCTTGCACGGTAAACTATGTTGAATCATCAATTAAATATGGGAACTCAACAAGGAGTTGCATCAGACAGCAATGGGAGGTGGATATTAGGAAGCAATCGCTATGCCGCCGAAGTTCAAAACGGAAGACGTTTTCCACTTCGGAATAAGTGCGGAAGTCGTGTTTATGTGTTCTGACGCGCATCTCATCTATTCGGGTGCGTTCCTCGCGTCTCCTGGAGCAAACATTATTGCCAATAGTCGTGCCTGGGTAGTTGCCGTCGTTTCGCGCATCTGCGTGTCCCAGCGCGATGTGAACGAATATTGCTCTCAGCACTTATGCACATACCTGAGTGGTGGATGTCTCAGCTAATACCATGACACGTCTTCTACTCCACCACGGTGACAGATTTAGCTTCTTGCCATCACATCACTATCTTAGGTCTCAGTTATAGGAGCTTGCCTACATGCAGCTAGTCCGACAGTTCAGAACGTTCATAATCCGGTGACATCATTCATACTACTGAATCTTGAACGTGCTAGCTTCCGAAACCGATGAGACAGGAATCCGAGTACATCGTCTTAGGGCCTGGCATACCGATTGCACTGCTCTCATGACGGCAAAGGCCGACCGAACAGCGCGGAATCATATTCTGATCGGAAACTTGAGGTACAAAAGAATTTTGCTAATCCGAGCGGATCTAAGAACTTTCATTTGTGAATCCGGCAGGAGCCGATAAAACGGCTTGGGACCATCATTTGATGAGGGGAAGGTGTGGGGATACCCTAGGAAAGGCATTCTCGTTGCAGGAATTTCCCGTCTTAGTGTTACGAGATATCGGTGAACGACAGGTCATGTCAGCATGACATCCCTCGGACTGTTTGACGGGAGTTATGCCATGAGATCAGTGCTCAACTCGGCGTTTGTTACCAGAGCCTTGGACCGTTCTCACTTCACCAAGGTACATGGGTGAAAGGTTTCTGTGGAACACTCACTCAGTTACGGTGCCAGTGTGTTCTATTACTCATGATCTTGTACTTACTGAGGAGCAGTGGCCGACACGGGGTTCTTGTTGACGTCTTGTATCCACCGTGACTGTCGGTACTCTGCAGTCTTTGTGAATGATACGTACCGCAGAAGTCGGGCTTTCAACGTTCCAACGCTGGTTTCCAGCTGCGCATCGGTTCCAATGACGTCATGTGATGCGAGGGGAGGGATCAGTTTTGGAGGTGTTCGCGATCAGGTGGAGGTGATACTCAGCTAGCAGACTCATATGTTCCGTATCCAGCGGAGGGGCGACGCTCGGCAGTGGCACTGGTCGATCCATCGAACGGGTTTAGAATTATGCAAAACTTCAGTGGCGTCGGCTAGGGTCAACTTTTGCGCGGTCTGCTTAACTCCATGGTGCCCGGCCATCAAAAGTGGACCAGTATTATGAACGAACATTTTCCTTCGATTGACTGGCCTGCTAGAAAATATTCTGGTTCATACCGGAGTGCCCTGGAATTTGAAAACGACGTCACCGCTGAGTCTTGACCGCGTTGCCGACAAGGTGCTAGAAAATCGAACATGGAGGACAATCGCGTGTAGTGCCGAGTAAGTTTATGTATGACAGGCTTGAGCTGGAACTGGAACGACTTTTCTTCTGAATTATTCAATTGGGGTCTGGGGATGACTGTAGGAGCCAATTTAGAATTTTGTGCAAGTCGATGCGCAGTGAAGTCGTTGCAAACGCGTAGAGTATAGCTACTGTATGTAATCACCGACGTTTTAAGGTTTAAGCCAAATTTTCGGCTGGTTCCGAGTCGAGCTAACCAAGTCCAACAGCCAAGAGCTCACACGTCAACTTGACAATTGTCACTGCCGTAACCCACTGCCAGCAGCTGTATGGCACTCTCGGAAACCGTTATCTTGATATGCATCGTGAGGACCGTACCAGAGGTTATACTATGCTAAGGAACGACTGCCTTCTTTCGAGATGTCTGGCTGGGGGAGACTACAGAAAATATCTGTGATACACAGTGACATTCTTGCCCTGTAAGAAGTTCCATTACAGTATTGATTCAACTTGTCGAGCTAGCAGGCGTTCTACTTGCGTTCTACCACCGCCACTACTTCAAAGCTGCCAGTAACGTCTCACAAACGGGACTCCGAGTTGGAGCGCCCGCCTATAATTGTACTTTTCTAGGCGGTCCTTCACCGGCACAATATCGGCTGGTGGTAGATACTCGACTTGGACCGTTCTTGGAATGCTGTTCAACGTTATGTGATACATATTTATATTTATGTCTGGTGCATCTAGTCAACTGTTTTTCTTCCCTTCTGCCGCCGCCCTCCCGCCATGGTTCTGCTTACTTCTCCCAAGCAGACAATATCTGAACTCGTGTTATACCTTCTCTGCGCTGCTGGATATGTGCGTGCGGCGAGGAACGCACCTGGCCAGCCCAAACAGGCAGTGACGGTCAACGCGTTTGAGATCGTTGGCAACAGCATCGGCAGTGGCCAACAGGTACGTCGGCCCGCCGGTCGCTGCTTCACTTTCCTTGACTAACATTTGACCTTAGGTATTCTTGGGTACTGAAGACAAGGTCTATATCGTTGACAAAACAGAAAACAACCCGACACAAATCAATGGCCACCCTGCATGGGCTGCAGGTTTGTATTATTCTGTGACGTTTAGTTCTAATATGTTGATTATCTCCTCTAGAATGGTCTGTCAGCTCCGAACAAACGCGTCCCATGGATGTTATTACGAATACTTTCTGCGCGGTGAGCTTATCCTGTTTCCCCCTTGATCCGCATAAATATTTACGATAATCGGTCAGGGAGGAAGTGTTTTAGGCAATGGGACGTGGCTCAATGTTGGTGGTAATCAGGCGGTTACTTATGGTGGTGATGCTGCCACGAGCCAACTCGGCGGAGCTCCCTATGACGATCCTGATGGCCGACAATCGTATGCAGTCTTTTTCTTTCTTATATATCAGGCTAATGGTCATGCCACGCTGCACCTCAGTATTCGGTACAAACTTTTTATCTGACATGGCAAATTATTCTGAACCATTTTAGGATGCTCAACCCGTGCGATGGCGGTAACTGCGATTGGTTTTTGGCTGCACCCATGACTACAAGGCGTTGGTATCCTACCCTGTGAGTATCTTTGCCAACGTGTCACCCCGCACTAACGTCGCGAATGCAGTGAAACGCTTCAGGACGGAAGCATCATTATTGTACGTTTTTCACACTTCGATGTATTTTTGATTTGCTAACCCCCATAGGTTGGAGGATGCATGAATGGAGGTTACGTTAACGATGCATCACAAAACAACCCTACGTACGAGTTCTTTCCCAGTCGTGGTCAGCCAGTTCTCTCGCCCATCCTTCAGAATACGCTCCCTATAAACTTGTACCCTCTTTTATGGCTCCTTCCATCTGGAAAACTCTTTGTTCAGTCCGGCTGGAAAACGGTCCTGCTTGATATGGACCAAAATATGGAAACTCCATTGCAGGATATGCCAGATGCCGTCCGTGTATATCCTGCGAGTGCCGGAAGCACGATGTTACCATTGACCCCGGACAACAACTACACGGCGTCGATCATGTTCTGTGGTGGTAGTAACATCAGTACTGCGCAGTGAGTCCATATTCCAGACCGTATGTCTCTAGGTCGAATTAATACATGAATGCAGATGGACCCAAAACTGGGACATCCCTCATTGGCCAGCGTCTTCCTCCTGTGTGCAGATCACCCCCGACCAATCCCCGAATTACGTTGAATTAGATGCCTTGCCGAACGGTCGAACGATGGGAAACTTGATTCTGCTTCCTGATGGAAGGGTCTTGTGTTTGAACGGCGCGAAGATAGGTTAGTGCCAGAAGGCTTCTGACAATCATCTTGTAATCTTGAATTACAGGTACTGCCGGTTACGGAAACACCACATTTACTATCGGCCAGTCGTACGCTGACCAGCCACAATTGACGCCGCTCGTGTATGATCCAAAGGCACCAGCTACCGAACGTTGGTCTCTTGATGGACTTTCTTCGAGTACCATTCCACGCATGTATCACTCCACGGCTACCTTACTTCCAGATGGTAGTGTTAATGTAATCAGACCAGAGCTTCGCTAATTTTTTTCTAGGTTCAGTCTTCGTGGCAGGGTCGAATCCCAACAGTGACGTGAATACCACCGCCCCCTATCCTACCGAATATCGAATCGAGCAATTCTATCCTTCGTATTACAACCAACGTCGGCCAGAGCCTCAGGGTCTGCCGAACCAGCTCTCTTACGGTGGCTCCTATTTCAATGTTTCATTGACGCTAGCAGACCTTTTTGGTAATGTGGACAACATCCAAACAGCAAACGTTATTGTTATGAGGACCGGGTTCTCTACGCATACAATGGTACGATAGACTCAGTTGCTTATTTTTAAAATTGATTCATGATTCATCCGTTACAGAATATGGGCATGCGCTCGGTACAGTTGCAGAGCTCCTTTACAGGAAATAGCGATGGAAGCGCAGTTCTTCATGTAAACCAGTTGCCCCCCAACGCAGCCATCATGCCTCCTGGTCCTGCACGTACGCCTTTGAATCCTCTCCCTAATTTTTGGATGCTGAGCTCCCAGTAGTGTTATTTGTTGTCGTTAACGGTATCCCCTCCGTCGGTATTCAGGTCATGTGCGGGTCTGGCAATATTGAGAAACAGACGATGATGCCTGTGCAAAACCTTCCAACCTCGGGTATTAATTCACAGCAGGCGGCGGGACAAAAGCAGATCTCTGGTACAAGCTTCTTGGTCCATTCTGCCAGAGATTGGTTGGTCTTTATGATGAAATACGTTGGAGTGGTCTCCGCTATCTTACTTTTTTGAGCTAGCGAAGCTGACGCGCCTCGTGTTTGCTGTACCTTTGCATAATACTTTACATTACTTTCGACCATTTGCATGACTTTTTAGACACGGACGCTACGTCGCATACCCGTAGTCGTGTACATTGACCATAGAACGCCCGCGTATTTGTTCGTAATATGCCTGAGCGTTGCCGGTATTCGGATACCGGATCGTGCCAAGATGCTAAGGATGGTTGGTTGGAAATAATGAATATACATACTTGAGCCGACTTTTCCGAGTTCTCAGCTTCTCATGCAAGCAGTGCTAGTGAAGGTGCCAGTGCCTTGGATAATCTAGTGTAACTTATGCTTAAGCTTAGTGCTTAAATAAAGATTGCGGGGAAAGTCATAAGGTCAATAATTTTAACGTTAGTGTGGGGCAAGTGCGGCGGAAACATGGTACCAAAATAAGGTAATTTGATTATCTCAACGTCTCAGATTGCGGCCAAGTATTTAGCTGGTATAAATACTCAATTCACGTTCGTGCCAGCATGCAACGTTTGCAGCAACCACTATCACGGGCTCCTACAACTATACTCGAAGCTTATCCGTCACCTGCTCCACGTATGCCACAGTCACCTCTTGTGCAATCCGCCAAAATGCACGTCAAGAGGGTGACACTAACGTCCAAGAAGAACTGGTGGATGGGTGAGTCGCTAAGGTTTGCATATATAATCGATTTATTGACTTTTATGTTGCATTGCAGTCGAGCTAGATCAGGAGGATGAGAAGCCAGTGCATCCGTCTACCAAGTCGTTCGCGTCATCAGAAGAAACCACAGTAGTACCAGACAATGGCCTTTTCAATCAAAAGGTTGAGGGAGAGAAAGTAAAAGAAATACCATCTCCCAACCCCTCGATACCTGTGTACAATCCACCACGGCACCCAACTTCGATATTTTCCTTCCCTACGCCAACCGCTTACTCTGCACCACCAAACCCTACCGCGAACCTTGCTCCTGTGGCACAAGGTTCCGCTTCTGAGCTGTTCAAGTGCGTCGTCAAGAAACCTGACGTTGTACAGCTTGAGATCAACGGAGAGATGCAGTCAAATGCATCAGATGTGACAACACAATTCCTCGCCGAGCTGCGCGTATATACCACGGTATCGCGACACCGCAATATCACCGCATTTCTAGGCTGTTTGGAGAACGTTGGTATGGTGTTGGAATACATCGACGGACGAACACTATATGAGGTCATTCGCTTGAAACCAGCTTTAACCCGAAAAAAGAAAACCGACTTTCACAACCAACTTCTCGACGGCCTTACACACCTACATTCATTTAGACTGAGTCACGGAGACCTCTCACTGTTGAACATTCAAGTGACGCATTCCTCCGATACCATCAAGCTTTTTGACTTTGGACGTTCTGTGTCTATGGACTCGGTATTCATCTCGCCATCAGATGAACCTGTTGATCCTTTCCAATACATTGCACGGACAGGGCCGGCCGCAGCAGTAGCACCGCAAAGGAAGGTGGAGCAAATACACCCAGGTACAAGGCCATTCGCGGCTCCAGAGGTCCTCCGTGGGGAATGTCAGGATCCGCTATTAGCTGATGCCTACAGTTTCGGGATGATACTCGTCGCGATTGACCGCGTCGAGGTAGTTGACCTCAAGCCTTGGGAGCAACGGAAGGATGTGGTACCAGAGAGCCTCTTTGAGGGGTGCGAGGTATTTGAGGAGTCCGCGCGTCAATATCTCAGGCGGTGCGACACCAGGAAGAGGCTTTCAAAGCACGACATGATGATGTTGGTGGATGAATGAGTTTCTGTGCGCTTTTTTTTGCAGCTCCACAACCCCCCTCACTCCAACAGGACGACATCGAGCTCCGCGAGCCGATACCCCAGCACAACACCGCAGTTCAATTGCATCTTCGGTGTACTTGCACATTTTCCATTCTTGATGGCCAATATCCATCTTAAATTTACATTCTGTATGACTACTACTAATCTCTGGACACCACTCAATCCGCACACACTCATCACTGTATATATCACAATGATTAGCTACGTTCTGATACCGAATAATGGATTTTCCCTACTTTACATGCACTTTCCGTAACTTTGTAACCAGCCTTCCATAAAAGAAACTTGATTCCCACGCTTGTCTTTACATCCTTGACTTTCCTCTCCCGCATCTAAGTAGTCACTAAACATGGCGACCGTACATCCCTCACGCATGGGTTTGGTCCCACAAGACCCAAAAGATACTTCTCTCGCCCGCAGACGTGCACGCTCCCCTTCACCTCGAGCACGTAGCCCACCACGACACAGTGAACGAGAAAGAGACAGCGGCAGAAACCGAGCGAGGGACCGCAGTAGAGAACGCGAGAGAGACAAAAGGAGGGACAATAGTACGCATAAGGACAAGGATGGAGGGGATGTAAGAAAAAGAGACGATGATCCACGGCAGCAAAGCCTCAACCCTGACCGAGGACGAGATCGCGAGAGGGACCGCAGCAGAGAGCGGCGTCGGGGAAGCCCTGAGTACACTGACTACAAGCGCCATGCGACGCCTCCACCTACCGAGGCTCCGTGGCGGAATCAGGAGAATCTGTACCCCAACCGACAAGGGAGGGATCGACCACCGCATGCTGGTGGGTCGTATGGTGGCGGGGGGAGCGAGTATTTGGAGAGGTACGTTTCCAGTCATTGAAATCAGTAAGTGATGTATTGAATTCAATACAGTCGTCGAGCACAAAGAGATGCTTCGACACTAAGCATCTGGCCTCCTTCTCCCAAGGCTCCAACGAGAACACTGTACGTTCATTTTGCTGCTTAACATTTGGTATACTAAAATTACATTCAGTTCACCTTCTCGCGATACAAAATCACGCAAATCTAAACGTGACCAGTCATTAACCCCCACTGACTCCTCTGACAGCGAGGATGGACGCAGGCGGAAGGAACGCAAAGACCGAAAACGTGCGCGGAAAGAGAAAGACAGAGCTGAACGACGGGAGAGGAAAGAGAGAAAGAATCGAGCACCTAGCAGACACCGGAGCTACGACAGTGCAGAAGAAGACCGAGAGAGAAGCAGGCGAAGCAAGAGCAAGAGTTATCACCCTCGCAGCCCAAGTCCTAGTCGTACCCCATCGCCCCCTCGTGCATCTGAGGAGGACGAATGGGTGGAGAAACCCGCAGCTGCACCATTCGCCTCTTCGTCCTCAGTCGATCAGAGCCTTAGCTCTATGCCACCACCATCCACTATCCCATTACACTCTGGAGAGGCGATGGACGAGGACTCTGATGAAGATGTCGGACCCCAACCGCTTCACAAGGTTACGATGAAGAAGTTCGATGAACGCGCTTATGGTAGTGCTCTACTTCGCGGTGAAGGTAGCGCCATGGCTGCCTTCTTACAGGATGACACGGACTCGCGTATTCCACGTCGTGGTGAAATCGGTCTCACCTCGGACGAGATTGCTCAATTCGAGTCAGTTGGCTATGTAATGAGTGGAAGCCGGCACAAGCGCATGAACGCAGTGCGTATGAGGAAGGAGAACCAAGTCATTAGTGCAGAGGAGAAGAGGGGCATATTGAAGTTGCAGAAAGATGAGAGGCAGAGACGGGAGACTATACTAAGGGAGGAATTTAGTGAGCTTGTGACCGAGAAGCTTAAGGAGCCGCAAGTGCAGCCCAAGTGAAGGCTGTTATTTAGCTCATCCAAAGCGTTCGCGTACATGTATTTGACCCACTGGCACAACTAATATCAGTGCTTGCATGACCATTGACCATTAATTGTCTACAATTCTGAACGAGAATTTTTCTGCAGGCTAACAAGCTCGACGTCAAAGACTAAGGCGGAATGTGGAGGGATAACACTGCCAAATCCACGTGAACCTAATGGACCATGGTTGAGTATATACCTCACAGATTGCCAGAATAAACCAACCGTAAGCCATGTCTGAAGGAATCGTCAAGGTACGCCTTTCGTTGAGGCACATGCCTTGGAGACCCTCGTCCCATCCTTTGATAACCTGACCAACACCAACTGGATAAATAAACGATCAGCAAGGTACCTTGAACGCAAACTGAATGACTCACGTTTGATAGGTAATGGTTGGCCTCGGTCGACACTATACAAAGATGATTATAATTAAGTAAACGACAAACAAAGAGAAGGCCGTTGCCGACCTTGAATCAAACTTGCTACCGTCGGAGAACAACGTCCCAGTCTGTATTTCATGCCGCATGTTAATTCATGCGACATAGTCAACTCGCGAACCAAAACTCACGTAGTGTACCTTTATGGCATCACCGGTCTTGGCAGTTGTAGGGCAGTCCTCAGGCAAGTAGGTGACTGAAATCTGCAGCTCCTTCGGCGGCTCGGCGGCCAGCGTGCACACCGCCAAAGCCAACATTGAGAGCCAAAATTTGAGGAACTGCATAGGAACACACTAAAGTTCGTGTGGGTGCGTATGTACGAGTTTAAGTCTCGTCACTGTCGGATACCGGAAGCGTGGGGCGAAGAGCGGCTAATGCCGTGCATGCCGCTGAGTCAGCAACTGTATAGTGAGTTCACGATGATAACCTTATTTTTCATCACATCTCATCACAGCGAGGAACGACCCCCGACATCGACAATAATGGTGAGTTGTGACGTTGATCACTGCGCCATGTACTGACAGGTGAATTTGCTTCAAGCCTTCCCAAAAGTCCTTCAGAACGAAGCGTATCCTCGCCAAGGCCGGCCGTCAGAACAGGTGAGTGGGGTGTATTGATGCCTTTACGCCCCAGTCATAAACCACTTCCAGGCCTATCCCTCAGTGGTTCCGTCTAAAGACGGACACTAAAATTCAAGTATGTGCCGAGGTTCTTGGGAGCTGAGAGCGTTGCTGATACTTTGCAGTACAACGCTAAACGCCGTCACTGGAGGCGCACCAAGCTCAACATTTGAGCAGCCTTCTCTTTCTTTCATTCTCGATGTTTTTGGCGCTGTGAAGTTGAGGCAGAGACAACACGGAGAGACGCACCACACCAATGCAACGCAGCATGTATCACCCCTTACTGGCATATTATGGCTATACAACCACCTCCGCATGCAAATATCACCTTTCCTTCTTCCTTAAGTCATGTCTGTTTCCTTGAGACTCTCATCGCCTATAGTGCACTGTTATACTCAATTCACAGTTGACAAAACACAATACTGGCATTTCTTTTCTGTGTCATTGTCCCGAGCGCTACAGGTGTTACACGATTTTGAACAATTGAGTTAATGTCCGTCAGGACAGTAAATTGAGCAGCAAGATCAGTCCTTGGACTGCGATGTTGCAATCTACCAATTAGCGAACATGATGATCCGGTGCGAAGGCCGCAACGCCGCGAACGCCGTATGGCTTGTACCAACGTGTTCGGCTGTGTGCAGTGTTGACGTTTCTTTCAAACTTGCCGACTAGCTGAAGGCTTGATATTCAATCACCACCTGTACTTGCACTGCACATCCTCTCTTCTTTGCTATCAAGTGCGAGGCCCGTATTGATATCTACCATGTCACTCATCTTCACGATTTTTGCGCTCGTCTTTCTGACTGAGCTCATCTCATGGATTGGCCAAACTGCCCTCCTTGAATTTGTTGGTATTCTTCTTAATGCCTCATACGTATGAGTTTACAGTTTCTTCCTTCTAGGCATGGGATCTCTACAGCAGACTCTTCATGAATGCCTCATATACTCGACAGCGCCAGCTGAAAGCTGAGCTCCTTACGGCGAAGAAAGAGTTGATGCAAACGAGCGCACAAGATCAGTTTGCCAAGTGGGCAAAGCTGAAGAGAGGCGTTGACAAAGGGCTAGCAGAGCTTGAGAAGTTCAGTACGTGGGCTCCACGACACGTTGATGCATACCGATGGACTGACGTGTTTCATAGATGGAGAGCTTGCGTCCAGGAAGACTGCATTCTCACTGAAGTTCAAAACACTGATGTGGGTCTTTACGACAGGACTATCATTCGTCATTGGCTGGTGGTATAGAAAGGCTGCAGTATTCTACCTACCTCCTGGTTGGCTTGGCCCACTCGGCTGGTGGATGGCTTTCCCTTTCGCACCTAAAGGTCAGCATTCTCACAGTTATTAGCACGATCAGTCCGCGAATACTCAATGATTGACCCACGCCAAGGTTCTGTGAGCGTCGGGGTGTGGCAATTGGCTTGCCGCAGAGTCATTAAAGTTGGAGAGCGCACGGTGAAAAATATCCTCGGTAAATTCAGTCTACTTATATCCATCACTATCGAATACTTATCACAAAATTCCCTCGTCGGGTAGCGCCTTCGGAACCCGTCGCCGTCCCAGTTGAAATGGGAACCAATTCCAAGAGCTCGTGATAAGGAGTAGTGGCGGATCCCCGAAGGAGATCCAGGACTGATATTCTTATGGTGATCTGTATGCGTATGCTTCACGGATTCAACTGTCTGTACTCCGTGTTCAATTTCAGTTTCACGTAATTTCGTGGTTATTGCAGAAATAAACACATGCTCACTCAGAATGCATATGTCGGATCTGCGGTATGTCGGAGTCCCGAGACTAGTACATAACACACATTAATCTAATCTGGTTCCACAACTCCACTTATCTTTCTCAAACATGGTTGCAGGCGTTCAGATCCACACAAAGGTCGACATTTCTAACCCTCAATCTGACATCCTCACCGATGGTGCACTTACCTTCCTCGCTGCACTTCATAGGACGTTCGAGTCTACAAGACATAGCCTCCTAGTTGCGCGCGATGATGCGCAGCGCAAGTTTGACTCAGGAGTGCCTCTTGACTTTCCTCCTGAAACAGCGCACATCCGTGCTGAGCCCTCGTGGCACTGCGCACCACCTGCACCCGGTCTTGAAGACAGACGCGTTGAGATCACAGGTCCTCCTGACCGTAAGATGGTCATCAACGCTATGAACAGTGGTGCAAAAACCTTTATGGCAGATTTTGAAGGTTCGCATGCCATCCATGATACGCACAATTACGCTAACATAACATGTCTAGACTCCAACGCTCCTACGTTCGCAAACGTGATTAACGGCCAAGTCAACTTGCGCGACGCCATAAGGCGTCAGATTGACTTCGAGTCTGGCGGCAAGCAATACAAGCTGTCTGAGAAACCAGCAGTGCTTATTGTTCGGTACGTCGCACATCCTTTTTCTATTCGGTTGTTCATATTTCGGTCTAGGCCTCGGGGTTGGCACTTGGACGAGACGCGTATTACGATTGACAATACCCCTATTTCGGCTTCTCTCTTCGATTTTGCACTCTATTTCTACCACAATGCGAAGGAACTCATCAAACGTGGCTCGGGTCCCTATTTCTATCTTCCGAAGATGGAGCACTATCTCGAAGCTCGTCTATGGAACGACGTCTTCCTCTTCTCTCAGTCCTACATTGGAATAGCCCACAACATAATCAGGGCGACTGTCCTCATCGAGACGCTTCCCGCGGCGTTCCAAATGGAAGAAATTCTCTTCGAACTCAGAAACCACTCGGCTGGATTGAATTGCGGAAGGTAAGGAGCATTCATATGCGTATAATTAATTTGTCCATCATGTCATGGGTCAGTCGCTCATTTCCGCGTGTATTCTTAGATGGGACTATATTTTCAGCGCCATCAAGAAGCGAAGGGCGGACAAAAGCGCTGTGTTACCAGACAGGAAAGATGTTACTATGACAGTGCCGTTTATGGATTCGTATGTGCGCCTCTTAATCCAAACTTGTCATAGGTAATGCCACGTTTCGTTCATGACGATAAGGTACTCATCATGTTTTTAGGCGGAAGGTTGCTGCTATGGGCGGCATGTCTGCTCAAATCCCTATCAAGGATGACCTTCAAGCCAACGAGGTGGCAATGGAGAAGGTCCGAGCAGACAAATTCCGTGAGGTCGCTGCTGGCCATGATGGCACTTGGATTGCGCACCCCTTGATCAATCAGATCGCTCGCAAAGTGTTCGACGAAAATATGCTCGGTCCTAACCAGGTTCGCACAGCGATATTGTTTTACCTGTTCCTATTGCTCACGCATCGGTTATAGTACCACATCAGACGTGAGGATGTGAAAGTAGCTGCAGCGGACTTGTTGAATGCAAGCGTTCCCGGAAAGATCACGGAGGACGGCATCCGCTCTAATGTTTCTGTGGCTCTAGCATACTGCGGGGCCTGGATTGGCGGCAATGGCTGCATCCCTATCAACTACTTGATGGAGGACGCGGCTACTGCTGAGATTGCACGTGTGCAGCTCTGGCAGTGGGTGAAATATGGCGCACGTATTGACACTGGCGAGCAGATTACCACGCAGTATGTTGACCGCATCATCGCAGAGCAGGCGCCCGGCATCAAGAAGATCGCCCCGGGCGTCAAGGAAAGCCACTTGAAAATTGCTAAGAAGTATCTCACGGCGCAAATCAGGCAACAATGGCCAAGCGAATTTTTGACGAGTGACTTGATGCCATACTTGACGATGGCTGATGGCGTCGAGGACAAGTGGTACAGGAACTCTTTGTAAAAGCGTTGCGGATGCGTACCTCCCGGATATATTTTGCTCGGTGTACTTGTAGTATCATGCAGATTAATTAATGATTGAGTCGCCAAGATGTTACGGCTAATGTGCATTATGTCCTAGCATTCTCAAGGACCGGAATACGTGTGAACAAGTCGCAGGAAAAAAACAGTTCCTGGGGCCAGAGCCTGAAGGTGTACCTAATACCTATGCCTTGGAAACATTCACAACTGCGCCATGCATAAGTGCACGACTGTAGGGACAAGCCTGGGAGGAGTACCACGGTCAGCGGATCACAATACATGCTCCCAACACGCGTGAGTAGGGGAAACGTACCTCATGACCAGCCTTGATCAGTTCCTCGTCTTCCACGCCCTCAACCTTTATATCCACGGCTAACCCGAACCCCCCAAGCCCCTCCGCCTCTCCGAGATGCACGGTCGTGTGGATCACGGCGTGTCTTGCGGCATCTTTCTTTCCCGTCTTGCCTGCCATCATCTGCAAGGCTCCGAGGAAACACGCTACATCCGTTACGCATATATTCAGTGCAGATCACGCGATTTAAAATATATTAACGAATACGCACATGCGTATCCCATGGCGAACAGTTGTTCAGGGTTCGTCCCTTCACCGTTTCCGCCCATTGCCTTGGGCGTTCCCAGGTGCAGAGAGAAAGGGGTCTCGTCGAATGATTTGACCTCACCCTTGCGACCCCGCCCAGCAGCGGTAGCATGGACGGTGTACTATACACGAGTATTTGGGTTGAAAAGACGCGTTATTGTCAGAGATCATTCTCATTCAGTCTGTCAGTAGCACCTTGTGGTTCTTGAGGGCCACGGGGGCGGCCGCCTTGGTCGCGTACGACCGCGTTGCTTGGATTGCCCGCACGCGAGAGGTGTTTACGATACGTGCACCAATGTTCAACATTCTGGCTTTGCTTTGGCTTTCGAAAAGGCTTGGGATGGTTGAAGGAGAGATGCAGGTGGGAGTTTAGATCGTGCGGGGGTATTTGAGTCTCCCCGCAATCACCTGCAACGTCACTGTCCATCTAGTCAGCCGATTACATAAATCACAAGAAATAAAAAATATTTCAGTTTTGAATACAATACAATGATCAGTCTACAATATGACTGCAAACAACACCTAGAAACCACTAGCAGTCACACGCAACTGCTCTAGCTTTTTCAGCACCTCTCCCACTGTGCGATCAAGTTCTCCAGCAATCGCACTCTGCTTCGACCCTGGCAGCCGAGCATATGTCTCACACAAATCACCATCAACAACTGCCTTCACTGGTACATAGTAGCCTCTCCAGCTCAGGTGATCCCGGCCCACAAGACTGCCCTGCTCCGTACGCATGTGTTGCTCGAGCGTTGAGATGAAATCTACGTCCTCCTTGGACACGAAAGGCACGAGAATTCCAATAGTGCCATGAATGCCAGTGTAGAGTAGCACCTCGCGACCACCAGCAACGAGCGACACCTTGTGTATCGAGGTAACAAGATCACCAACGTGGAAGTGACACAGCATGTTGGTTTTGTGTGGGGCACCCATCAATATACCCTTCTCATGAAGGATACCAGCGCCTGTGGGGTCGTCATCCACTTGGTCAGAGACCTTTGAGTCCAGGCGGTTCACAAATACGTTGCCAAAGCGATCACCGGCTGCGACAGTGTTGTAATCTACCATTGTCGCCGCAGTAATCCATCTAGGTTGAGTATCATCTGCGAAGACGAGCAGTCGATTCTCTGGTGCCTTGTATACTGCGAAATGTATCGACTCCTGCATGTCGCCGACAAGTATGCGGGAACCCTGGGTGTTGAGGCTCACGATGGCAGTAGAAAATGTCTGAAATGTGAATGTGAGCAAAGCAGATTGACAATGTTGGTGTATGCTTACTTTGTTCTCTGCTTTCCGTAAAAGCTTCTTCTTACCCATCTCATATATCCGCAGAGCCTTTCCAACGCCAGCAACCAGACGTCCTTGGAATCCCATGACAGCAAGGGGGACATCGTCCGTCTCTGTCTAAATGGGTCTGTCAGCAAAATGAAGCATTCGTCAATATATTCCTCACCTTGTGAAGGAGCTCCAATCCCACGCCATCCTCGGTGAAACGATAAGTTCGCAAGAAACCACTAGTACATGACCGCGGAGACAATAAAGTATCCTGCGCCGTGCCTACGACAAGATGTAATTCATTGTTTCGTGCAGAAAATGGTACGAAGGCGAGGCTGAAGGCAGCCTCGTTGTTGTCTAGTGTGACAGTCGAAACGGTCTTGCCCTACAAAACGTAAATGTAAGCCCACGCATCAACCAGTCATGATATGGCCTTACCTCGACAGGGTCAATGATACGGATTGCGGACGCCCAGTTCCCTGCTGCCGCTTTCGGCCTTCCAAAGATCTCAGGTGGTAGGTCAAGCATTTCTTGATCAACGTGCTGTCCTGCTTGCGTCTGAGATAACGATAAGTCCGCAATAGTCACAACGCAAGAACAAATCTCACCATGGCCTGTAACCGTTTGTTTGCGGCCTCATCGCCCAAAACACGATGGTCGCCTTCAATGAGATAAAAGTGGCGATTTTTGGGGTGAGATATAAACCTCCTAGGGGTCAAGGACAGCGGAATTGAGTCTTGCTTCAATTTCATGCCCAGTTTTGGTATTTGAAAAATACTGGCAAGGAAACCGTAGTCAGTGTTAATTCGAAAAACAATAGAATAAGGAAATTTCAGTAGGAACAATTGGTATTCAAAAATATTCGGCATGTCCTCCTTAGAGGTTCATCCGGTATCTCTATTCTCATCTTCGACAAGGCATGATGGACGAGATCACTCACCGAAGAACACTACCAGCTATGCCAATGAGACCCTCAGGACTGAGCTCAGCGGAGAAGCTCCATGCATAGTCCAAGTTATCAAAAATCAAGGGGGTGAAATGCATGAGATTTTGATGTGTGTAATTCAACCAGGATCTGGAAGAGAGCGCTAGGATGGCCGGATTCCCTTGTATTTGAACACGAACCAATCTGACTGGTCGGTTCCCGAGGAACCTGATTGTAAACAATTAGCCGTGATTCTCCAATGAGCGAAACAACTCACCGAGTCCGAGTATCAGTTAGTTGCCCATTGATAGGATCAAGTACTGTTCGTAGGAGAACGCCATTTTGGAGACCAATGTTAACAAACATGGTAGGCTGGGTCTTGTTGATACTCGCATCCAGCATGTCGGCAATGCAGATAGTTGATGGCGGTGCTGTCAACGCTTGCAAACTGATCGTTTCCAGTGTGCTTTCTGGGTCAAGCGACACTATTCGAACGGTCTGGTCCTCGCACCCAACAGCCTAACAATATGTGAGTACATGATAGGATTTCAAGAAAGATGGCTTACCAGATAGGGCGTTCTTTGGCGTCCCTCAGGTACCTCAGCTATGCTTAGAGCCGTTATGGTCGAACCCATAGCCTTCCTATCTTGATATTCATTCAGCTGTCCATCAAGATCGAGTTCGAAGTAGACCAGTTCAGCAGAGCTCAGAGCAACAACCACCTGACGTTTGTTTGTCGTAGCAGTGACAATAGTCTTTCCTTGAGGAGCCGACCACTGATTGACGCGGTGGTCCGCAAGTATATGACGAATGCCTTGTGGATGCACCTGCAGGAGGGCGTCAGCACCAATTTGCTGAACAGCAAGAGTGGGCGCTGATGACAGGATACCAGTGTCCTGCACTTCTTCAATTGTTTCTCCAATGGAAAGGACGAGAGTTCCATTGACGAACGAGAGAATAATGTAGGTATCAAACTCATCTGCAAGCGACATCAGCGGATGTTTTTCGAGACATCTATGAAACAAAGACTTGCCGTCCTCGCGCCGCTTAGTTGTCCAGACGGCATTGGGAATACCAGGCAACTCTGAGCTTACGGATTCTTCAACGTCAAGACCGTGGCGAAGTGTTCTGAAAGAACTCCTTGTTCCACGTCCGCAAGCAGTAAAAATCTGAGGCGTATCTGAGTTTGGTAGTAGGTTCATCACCTTGGAATCTATGATGGGGTCCAGGGATTCCATTTCATCTGCGAGTGCAAGATTATCTAGCGGTCGTGGCCGGAAGTGCGCATGAGGTAAAGCAATGGTGGGATTTGCCATTCCGGTGCCCGGATACGACGTCGAGCTAAACTCAGGTTCATTGTCATCGTCACCCAATTTCTGGAACTGGTACAAATAACTGAAATCAATGTCAGAAACTTCTCGCGAAACGTTGAATTGAGAGACGCACTGATTTCCAAACTCGGATGCAACGAAAAGGAAACCAGATTTAAGAATACAAAGACTGGATGCCACAGGGACAGTGTCAAAATACTTGATTTTTAGTGCCTTAACTTCGTCCTCTTCATGATCAATTGTGACCTTAAAGAGGTCACCATCCTCGCTTTGAAGGAGAAAGAAGAAAGCACCCTACGAGAAATATTAATCAAAATAACAGCGACAGGTTGCAACAGACCAACCTTCATTTTGTGCATGACGGCTGTAACGATGATGACGCCTCGCTGACGGTCTTCCAGAGGGTGTTGTCTTCGTGGGATGGGGACACGGTGTTGTCGTCGGTCCATGTGTCGGTAGATTATATGGTCTTCACAGCAGACCAGAACACCAGATGGTCCATCGAAACGATCCGTAGATGCGACTTGGCCGCCAGGGACTTGAACCAGTAAATTGGCACGTCGATCTGTGGCTTCACTCCATTTTCGAACGACATGGTTGAGGCCCAAATCAAGTTCGTAGTATGTTAGCATCTGGAAACTCATCAGTCATCAGATACTACAAAATCACTGAACACACCTTCTCTGCATTGTTGAATGCTTCCCCTGTAGGATCTTGATCAGACTCAGAGTAGTCGACTTCGAGCGCAGCGAACAATGGGTTTTCAAAGCCCACATCAAGGCCGACGATATGATGAATGATCGCATTATTTTTGTGTGCTTCGAGAGGTGACGAAATCGTAAGGTTGGCTGCAGCATCTCGGTTCAAGATGTACACGAGTTTGGCCTTCTCTACTGATGAGATCATCACGCTACGGCCCTTGGGGTCAGTCGCAAGGTATTGTCCAGGTACAATGCGTCGCGCTCCAGACTTGCCAAAAGTTTCTTGATGTAGCTTCACGAAACTACTTGTCTTCGGGTCATAGTCGAGAATGATGATGCGCCCAGAATCCGAGCCTACGATTGCGTAGTCTGAGAATAGAGTATGAATAAAATGGAAACAAAAGATGATACGTACAGGGGCTCACCCTTGGTACTGCCTGTCAAACGAAAAGCTGCTAGAGAGCGAATAGAGCCAAAGACATCAGAGGCAATGACTGTTGATAGCTTGCCGGTCTGAACATCTGGGCGCAAGAGCTCCAGTCGAGTGCCACGAGAGATGATAATTTCCTGGGTTCGTGCGCCAGAAAAATTACCAACGATAGCTTGCGTAGCTGCCGTTGGGGGCTGAAGCGTCAAATTGTATAGATGCATCCTCCAAGTAGTCAAAGCCGACGACGACACGTCGAACTAAAACTATGTATGCAAACTGTCGACAATATTTTCAGCAGTTTGGTTTGTGGCTGAACAACACTTGAGCTGACATAATTGCTTGATTTTGGCAACTCCTGTTGTTCGCGAGTACACGCGGTCATTTGCATTCAACTACTATCGGTCATGCTACTTACTAGTAAATCGAATCGAATCTGTTGAGAAATGATGCAGATTGTGTTTTCAGCGTGGCAGTAGCAAAAATTAGATTCACCACCTGCCGTGGCTGCCGACGTCGGACATTAAATTTAACAGTGCGTTTCACTAGCTGCAGTCCTCCAAGTCGAGCAAGTGGTGATCGCTGAGTTGGGGCCATGGAACATTGCAGAGGCAAGCTGTCAGCATATACTGACCCCAACTATGAGTCTAGGATCCAGGCGGCTCTCGCGGACATCGCAAATGGCACCTGCAAGAATATTACAGTAGCTGCAAGAGTACACAAGGTATGATTATGTATTTTTGAAGTTCCTGCGATGCTCATTTCGTTGTACAGGTCGCGCGGCAGACTCTTAAAGACCGGAGCAAGGGTCTGCATGTGTCTCACAGAGATGTTGCCAAATTGCCGCAGCTCCTCCAGCTGTCTGAAGAGGAAGCTACTATCAAGGATTGGCCAGCTCATGAATCCGGTGCCGCATGCCCTGTGCACCCTCGTGATTTACGTGCCCAGGCTAAAGAGATCAGTGGAAAGCTTCCCGACAGTCCCGTAATGACTTCAGGGAGCTCACTCGTCACACGCTCAATTTCGACTGGGTTGCAATTTGAATTTGGATCTGCAAGTACTCCCGCAGTCCTGTCATACGATGAAGTGATGAAAAGTGACCGTGAAGACTTGTGGAAGAACATTCAGCTCCTCTACAGTCGGAACAAAACATTGTTTGAGATGCAACTGATGCAGAGTGCACAACTCGCTGCTGTAGAAGCTCACTGCACTCTCGTGAGCTATCAAATTTCGATCTGAATGAACAGTTGACTAATAAGACTCAGAAGAAGTGTCAGAAGTCGAAGAACCGTTTTTTCACATACCCAGAGTTCAAAGCAGCCTCCGAGGCTGAAAAAATAGAGCGTATCAAGAAGGAGAAGGTTGACTCGGAGAAAGCTGCCCAGAAAATAGCTGAAAACGATGTTGGACTCTTTGCACAGCATTGATGGTCTGCATAAATTAGCTCCGTATTTCTCCGTAAATACTGTATCTCACAGATTTACTACATAGTAGCATCCTAATCAATTGCTGTCGAAGTTCACGAATCAGGTCTTGGTCCACAAATGAATGGTAGATATTCAACCCGTAGAAGTTAACTATCATTTTAATGTATTGTCTAACTTAGTATTAAATGAGATGTACGATAATGGGATGTTGAAAAGGACAGTTTGGGTAGGCGTGCGTTTTATATAGCATATCTTAAACACTCAGATCAGCGAAGGTCGTGGATGAATTATGAATCTCACCTGAACAACGGACTGGCATCGCCCATATCCCTGAATTCATTTTTTCTGCTGTCAGTAAGACCTTCCGCCTGACACTGCGCTTCCTTATTTTTATTAAGCCGGCTACAGTCCCACATAGCGAACAGGCTCAGCGAAATTCTATAAGGGAAGTGGTTATCAATATTACAGTCCAAAAACCGAGAACACATACGAGAGACAAAGGAATCCCATGATAGTGCCATGTCCAATGTGGAAATTCGGCGGATCGATGTAAACGAATGAGGAGCAAATACTAAGACAAGGTTAAGCGGACGACGGATATCTGTGATGATATGACGCACCCTCCCAGGTTTCCAAGGCCAATGACCATCGCTATCACAACGCCACGCTTCAAGTCGCCTCCTGCATTTGAGCCTGCCCAAGCAAGATCGACTGCAATTGTTGGATAGACACCGATAGCAGCCAGACAAGCTCCAGTATACGACATGCCTGCTGGCCCGTCACAATAAAGTAAGATGTATCCCACAATAGACACGCAGGCGCCACCAATGATAAATGGGCCGCGAATTTGGTACTTGTCAGAGTAGATTCCAACTAGGATTGTGGCGAAGCATCCTGCAAGAAACGGTGGGGCTGAGAGCAACTGAGCATGGGTAGTGGAATAGCCGAGTTCATTGATGATAGTTGGCGTAAAGAGAGCGATGGCATAAACAGGGACGAGCAGCCTAAGGAAGGACTCAGCTTCGTCAATGAGAAATAATGAAACAAGGAGTACCCCATGTAGATAAAAACTTGAATGTAAGTCTTGTAATCTTTCATGGCCTGCAAGACAAATCGAATATGGTAGTGTGTGGCGAGATTATTCGCATCTTGTTTGAGCATATCTATCACGTATGCTCTCTCTGTCTCGGTGAGAAACGTGGCCGTTTCGGGATACTAAAAGGTCTAAATGGTTAGTGCAAGACACAACATATGCACGAACTCACATCATGCATGAAGAAAAACGAGAGACATGCTACGAATAGGGTGGCTGATTGAAGATGAACGTCTGGATTACCTCTGAGACCCAGCAGACTCACCAGCACCCTCTAATAAGAACTAGGAGTGCACATGAAATGAGTGACAACTTGACCTGAAAACATGCAAACATACAATCCATTGCCAACCATGCAATCCTCCGATGCTAATCAACGAATCAATGATGGACTGTCAATGACAATATGTTACTTACCCTTCCAAATGCTCGATACCATACCTTTATTAATGAGAAGGTCAAGCCCGACAGCAGGTTGTTCGAGAAGTTTGAAGACTCACGCAAGGAGTCCGCCGAAAGCACCTAACAACCAAAGAAAATGTGAACACGCATGAACTCGACGCTTAATGAAATGTTGCTTACCTGCGACTGTTGCTGCAGAAAAGAATATGGCAATGCGCTTAGACTGTTCAGATCGTGGATACCAGAGAGATATGTAGTAGGTCACTCCAGGGAATAAACCCGCTTCTGTCAAGCCTAGGAACATCCGAGCTCTACCGTTACATAGTTTAATGCGTCTGTTTTCACCATGTGGGTAAATTCTACGCACACGACAAGAGATCGAAATGAATCAACGAGACACATAAGGGTCATCACGAGACCCCATGCGAGCATGATAATTGGTACTGGGATGAATATTAGGCGACGGGGAAAACAAGGTGGAGGTAAACGTACTCCAGCGTGATGGTCTGAATAGCTTCAGCGCAATATTCCTGCATAAACATTGAGAATGGACATGTTATTCTTGACGCTAAACATACGAGGGGACCTCAGCAAAGCTATACAGTATCTAGAGGAGGCAAGTAAGTATTGAGTAGAGTGAGCATGTTATATCACGCACAAAAAAGACGGCCGCCGCAATGTTGTACCTGAGACCGATCAAATTCAGGTCTTTAGACATGCCAGCGACTTTCGCATTTCCTGCGAGTGGTAATGGTGATGAATAGAAAGTATGATACACACATCCCACTGCTTACCAACATTGGCCCGGTCCCTGAAGGTAGCATAAATAAGCAACACTAGACAAGGCAAGCGTTCGACAGACTCACAAGAATGACAACATGTATAATAACGACACGAATGGTAACAAATGCCAATCGAGCTTGCGCAGAATGCGTGCTCTTTCTCCCGGATTGAGCTCCTCGGCAATTTGTTTTTCCTCTATATGAAGGACCGTCGCGATGCCGCTCTTGTGCAGCGAGTCTGTACTACCCTGCGTTAAAGTAATGGAAAGGAATGACTGGTTAAATGAGTGGCTTGACATCTGGAGAGTCGAGATAAATCCCGTTCAAACAACTTGAGTGAGCGGTCGGTATGGTGGTACTGGAGTTACCAGTTGAAGAAAAAAAACTAGAGACAGAAAAATATAACGTTATCGATCTTGGACTGACCCTTGGTAAGTTGGCCAGAGGTCGGAGACTCGGATTCGACCAGACTATCAGGATTCAGGGTAGCCGTATGCTAAATATTCATTCCGTCACGGACCGAGGCCTCTTCGGTTTCACAGACCCTGAGAAGTAAAAAAACACTGCTTCATGGATAATGAATGGGTCGATACCTATGATAACTCTGTGGTAGTTACGGAACACCCACATCATTCATCAGATTCCGACCAGCTCAATCCCGCAGGAGTGCTGCCAGCTCTGCAGGGTGATGACGTAAAATTGTGCCACTGATGGCGGCAACTTATGTCAGACTTTCTCGGAGTGGCAAATTTGTACGGTGCCGCCGATCGACTGTTTACTACTACTACTTCAATTATACTGACCATGGATGACTTTCTTGATAGATTATCATGTCATAAGTATCGCCCAGCATCATGATTAAGGAGACGTGTCGTGATGCCGCTAACAGCTGTTCATTTCCAGTGAATTTGCAAACGCGCCCACCTCGAATAAACCTTAATCTATTTGGCCCGGGGGAGGGAGGCGAACAGACTTGGATGGTCGGACTTTAAGCACCACGCCAGCGATATTTGCCGACATGATAAGCTTTGCTCGATGTGCGTGGCGCAATCCTGCAGTGATACACCCTTTTGCTAATCAATAAACTTTTCAGATTGATACTTAGTGCCCCGTACGACATGTACGACCTGCTAAAGCAGTGTCTACCTAACCATGCTGCCACCAATCTGGCCCAATCTGTCATAGCGTCCACATTCGACTGATCCTGCTCGAAATTTTCCTTGTCATCCCTGAATTTGTCGGCGCATTCGCGATCCCTGCATTTTATGCCGGCGCGCTCACGTTCGACTGTTACCAACCCAGGGTCTTTGCATTCTGATTTATCACCGCAAATAATCCACACCCTCCGAAAGGTATAAATGATGTGGTTCCGGGTGTCAGTGCGGTGTCGTCGAGTTGCCTCGATCTCAGCAATGGGGGTTGCAGCTAGGACTTGAGCTGTGTCGTTGTCATCCAAAAGTTCTGCCTCATCTTCGTTGATCAAGCCTGAGAGGCAGGTGCTGGATTGCGAGATTGTCATCAAGGCTACCATCGCTATTGGAAATGTTTTTGAGACTCCGAAGTATTCTATTCTGCCTACGTCCACTAAACACTCATATACATGATGGTTTGTGCAGTTGCCACTCGCCGACCCAGGACAGATATCGTATCATCGGTGTATTGCTGCCATCTTGAGAGGACCTGTGGGAGTCCTATTGGCAAGACTTCGTGAATTTTGAATCCGTCCGTTCTTTCACAATGTAGCACGAGCCGGACCTATCGTTGCGACGGACTACATGGATTCGCCACTTGCATAGATCTGTTAATAGTCATGCTCAGACTTGGGCTACGTCACGGTACTCATGTTAGCAAACACTGAGTACAGTTCTGTGACTCATATTTTCACTTCCAAACGTTACTTCTGTCGAGATTTGGAGCAAGTGGATATGGCCCACGGGCCATGCAGTGACTTAACGGATAATATGGCTAGCGGAGTTATGTGGCACATAAAGTACAGCGGAACTTACCGAAATAGCCGCTGGGATGAATCTATCTCGAGCAGAGTTCCCGACTCCCAAAGGAGGGTTTTGTAGGTTAGAAACGTCCAGCTTCATCTAACTCCAGGGTTGCTGACATGTGCTAACAGGTTGGGCTGGGCCGAGCGTTAGATCGGGGTGGTGCGCGAGCAGGTGGAGCCGCTAGGAGGGCGGGATACCTGCTCACGAAATTCGAACATGTCAAAGACTTATCAAGCATCTATTTGACGAGATATGCAATGAAAGGATCTGCTAATATGATGACACTTCAGTAAAAATGGAGGGAACTAGTACGGTATGTGGATTAACAAACTAACAGACATTATGATAAGGGGAGTGATGGGTGGGACTCGAGAAAGCTGAAGGTGCGAGTGAGGAGGTGTGAAGTACGACGAACTCGACAGTGTGGAGGAACGACAATCGAACGAATGCTATGATGCGACATTGACGCGTCGGATGCAGGAGGTAGTGATTCGGAGGGTCAGGCCGGTCAGGAACAAACCAGAGAAGACAGGGACTAGAAGGTGCGGCCAGGAATTTGATCGCGGGAGACTCGGAAGCGGGGAAAGGTAGGTACCTACCAGAACAAGCCACAGGAGAATCAAGCGCTATGGGAAACCTTCAAAAGCTTCATGAAGCATCAAGTCACAGAGATCACAGAACTAGACACATTTGCATCAAGGTGTGTGTCTTATTAGATACTTTTATGTTTAAATGGCCTGATTGATGCTGTAGCGGCTTTAGGCTATATAGCGCTATATACCTATCACATGTAGCCTTAAGGGTGTCTACATGGCGCTATGGTGCCTACATGTGCCTATACCGTTGTCACCGTGGCTACGACGACATTGGTTTTTTCCTAATGTTTCTGCAATGTGCCATCTATAAAAGCGAACGCTTGATCATCAGTTGCGTTATTCTTTATTCTCATCCCCAAGTTCCGTCATGAGCAACAACGCTGAGCAAGAGAGCAAGACTCATTCTGACCCTCAACATCTGTCAGAGAAGACTCCTTTGTGGAAGTCTTTGTATGTGTCGTCGACTGCTCCAGGGGCAGCTACTCCGGATATCTTGGCAAATGTGCCTGTCAGCGAGAATCCTCGTCCACTGCACGTTATGGCCGATCATGCAGACTACTGGGTCGATGCAGAGGGTGAAGTCTTCACATTTACATTTCCCGCGACACTGGACCTCGACGGTCAACATAATCGGACAGGACCATACTTCAATCTTCCTCGAACTGACTCTTGGGGAAGTGGCTGTTTTTGGGCTCGTGCCACACAATCTTTGACAACTTATGTCACAGCTTGACCTTGCTGCATTGAAAAAGATGCGGGCCCAGTTTGAACTTCGGCCTCTAGACGACATGGCCACTGACAAGTATCCAATGGAAGCCATCCAATGCAGTGGTGACGCCCTTGACATATTGAATGCCCTATTCGGTGAGGTGGAGGAGGCCAGGAATGCACGTAGTAAGTACTCTCCTGCATTGTACATACTTCCAATTGCTTAGAATTCTTAGTTCTCGATAAAAATGCTTACCCCAAGGATCTGCCTTTCTGGCGTCAATATCCCCATGGTGAAGATCAGCGTTTTGCTATCATCGTGACCTCGAACGCCTTGCTGGAAGACTTCCCAGATCCGTCGCATGCCTCGGCGGTGCCTCGTTTGAAGCGGGCGGAAGTCGGAAGTAGGTTTTTCGGTCCACATTGCCTCCAAGTTGCCACAAAATGACATGTCCTTTCCTGTAGAAAGTGACACGATGCGTAGTCCCTGTGAGTAGTGATGTTTATTCTGATATCACACTAACACTTCCGCTCACTGAACAGCCAAAGCTAGAGCTAGAGCTGCTGCAATGGCAAGTGGGGGGTTTGGCGATTATGCGGAGGGATCCACTCAAATTGATGGTGCGATGTTATGCATCTGATTTACTACTTTTGGATTGCTCACAACAGCGCAGGTCATCGACGCCTGTCTGATTTGCCTGACCCCTTAGAGCGCTACGTTGGATTGATTAAACAGTTCAATCTTCGTGATACTAAGGTTGTGGCCCCTGATGTCCGTGATAGACAAGGCAATGTCATTCTGCCCGAAGATTATGAGGAGAAGCTTCACACCGGCGATGTCGTCACTGTGGAGGTATATCTCAAATTGTAAGACTTTCGAAAGTTCTGGCGCATTCTGTTGCTTAAATAGTTTCATAGATGGGATATCCGACCTCACAACAAAGGAGACAAAGGAGCTCATCTGGACAACAAGAATGGCTCGCGTGTCTATCATGTGATGTTGAAATCAATGCAGGTACTGCCTGATGCGTCCATCACGGCCACCACTTTTCCCGATGTCCACAAAGGAAAGTGCAAAGCTATTGACGAAGCTGGTCCTAGCAAGAAACCAGTCCGCGCGGATGATGCAGCTGACAGCGCAGGTGAAGAGGATCACGAGGAGGAGGAGGATGATTGTATGAAGATGCGACGGACATTCAAGATTGAACAATAGATAGATTAAAGACCTTCCAGTGAGTCTATTTCGAACATCATGAAAAATTGGTCTTCACAGGCTAATCGCACTCGTTTCAGACTCATAACTTCCTGTGAAATTGTTTCTTCGAGGCTCAACCTTATCTTGAATATTTATGCATAACATTGCCACACTTCAACGTTCAACGTTGGATGTGCGATGTAAGCCGATTGGTATTCGTTGTCACTAATCTGCGGACTGATTAGTTTGTTCTCTTTATTTGGTTCTTCGCTCCCCACATCTGTTTCTGATAGACGGACTGTTGTGGGCTTATGTTAAAAAATTGGTTATTTGAATGTATTTGGTTTGCTCTCAGGACGCCCGTAGTTGAAACGAGGCGAGACAGAGGTACGTTTACCAGAGGTTCGCAGAGTGTGCAGGGGGGACTGATACAGCCGGGCGGAGCCGGGGACTGGCGGATCACCACGTTACGATATGAGAACTTGAGAATTCTCAACTTTAACTTCAATTAATCCAAGCCGTTTCAAAGGTCCCGGGTCAAGATGTGCGAGCGGGATTCATGGTACTCGTACTCAGTATGAACCATTTCAGCACATGATTCAAGTTGTGTTGATGACGAAGCCATGGGGTCGTCGCGTCGTCTACTAACTTACATGTCTAAGGCTCACGTGAACTTGGTCGACAAACTTGACTGCAGCAGCAAAAACTTCGTTTTTAAATACGAGCAGGTTTTTGACCGTTCGACGAGATGAAGGAAATACTACGGGTCGCCACTACGTGGCCACTCCATCACCAGGTGATATTGGGACTTGATGCGCCCCAAGCATATTCGTTGCGCTTGCTGGTCTTCGTGGTCACTCAGGCTGGCAAGTCAAAGCTGCCGTTTAAGCTAACACTAGCGCGAATCCGTATTCGACTTTGGCACCCTTGGGTTCTTCTCTAGGTAAGACAATGGCATCGTCTTTGACCGGGGCAGCTAACGTCGTTGCAGTTGCTCCTGGCAAACTTTTATCTTTGGAACTTCGGGCTACTCGTTGTACATTGCCTTCTTGCTGTAATATGATTTGTCAATTGATCCTATATTTACTGAAACATTTCGTCTCAGTGCTGTTAGTATCCATTCTAGTGCCCGTGCGAGTGCTTTTGGTATCGTGGCGGGTGTCATCCATCCTTGCTATCTGCGCAGCTTTACCGTCTATTTGATTTTGAACACGCCGCTATACCAGCACTCCAGATATATGAATCGATGTGGTACCTGTATGGTGGATGATTGGTGACGGTTCATTTTCTCGCGTTTCCCCGGTATTTTTTAAAGTCCGCTGTACGCATTATTGCATTTATCTAGATTATTATTATTATGAATGTCGCAGGTCACACTACTTCCCAAGAGCGGACATGAGCAGACTAAATGGCAAACATTGTAACTTTTCTTTACGTGAATGACTTCAATTTCTGCAGTCGCAATACTCAATAAGGCTGAGGTGCTCTTTTTTAAAAGGGCAGACAAAGGTGCCACGTCTATCACTCTCTTATTGATTGCTTCCACACTCGAGACTCGGACAGATGCCAAATGCACTTGGTAAAAATGGTCGAGTTCCGGCTCGTGAGTGGCTAGTCTGCACTATGATCTGAATGATCACTGATTCCTCATGTTCAATCAACAGCCCCCGATGAACTTATCAGACCATTCATTGAAGAATTTGTTGCGAAGGGGTATCATAATTCTGAAATTGTCTCTCATCTACGCAAGCACTACGATACCGATATGTACAATGTTTCGTGAGTCACCCATCGACTTCTTATCAAACACACATTCAATACATAGTTTGATTACAGGATCGACCTACTGAAAAAGCGGCGATCTCAATGGAAGCTGAAGTCTGCACGCGGACAAGCACACACTATTGCAAGTATAGGACCTGCTATTGAGCGAGTGCGGGCACGCTTCCCACAACAAGGTTCACATGATATGAGGCAGACTCTTCTGCATGAAGAGAAAATCACTGTTCCAAGGTGCGCTTACCAGTAGTCATATTTTTGCATTGTGGTATGAGAAATTTTGCACACAGGGCATTGATACTTAGCTACATGAATCTCCATCATCCGGAAGAGGTTCTGGCTCGCAAGAGTCGACGACTGAAGAGAAGCATCTACTGGACAGCCGGTGTTAACGACATCTGGGTATTTGATCAGCATGATAAGTGGCGTCGATTCCAGCTGTTCTTGCATGTTGCAATTGAGCCGTTCTCGGGACGTATACTGTGGTTAAAGATTTGGTGGACCAACCGTAATCCTCGCCTTATTTTTGGATGGTACTGCAATACAGTACAAGCTCTCAGTGGTAAGCACACTAGTAATATGTCACTGCGTATCAACTGTAGATAAATCAATTTTGATTCTTCCAGTTATGCCCCTAGTCACTCAGAGCGATCCTGGAAGTGAGAACAATGGAATCGCTAATGGCCACACCTTACTTCGCCACCTGCAAGACCCAGCATTGGCGCGCACATTGCAACACAAATTCAAGGGTCAACATCGCAACATCAAGCCTGAGATTTTTTGGAGCCAGCTGCGACGGCGCTGGACCCCAGGTTTCCAAGATATTCTAGATTATGGTGTTAGCGAAGGTATCTATAATCCAGATGATGCCTTGGAAAGGTAGAGTACTCTATCATCACTTCATTCTCATCAAACACTGAATATCGGCTATTGAGGCTTGTTTTTCATTACATCTTCATCCCATGGCTCCAGAATGAGCTTGATCTCTTTGCGGAGAAGTTCAATAATGTCAAACCTCGTCACAACTTGCACAAGGCACTCCCACACGGCCGACCCAATGACATTTTCTATCATCCTGAAGACTTTGATTCTCGTGACTTCTCTGTGAGTATTGCGCGTTGCGGATCTTGTCAATGTTTCAAATTGATGGATAAAAATGATCTCGCTACTAGGTGAAAGTCGATCAATCTTCACTTGATGAAGTGCGACAGACATATGCTGTTCCTGACCACCCGGTCTTTCTTTTGGTCCCTCGTGAATTTTTCGATCAAGCCTCTATTTTCATGGTTGAACTTGGTGCACCGCCGGTAACTCGGGACAATGTCTGGAACATATATGCAGATCTCCTTATGTGTTTCCGATTGATTGAAGAGAATGCGCAGATTCGCGAGCTTCTTGCTGCGCAACCATCACTTCCTTGTGATGGGGATAAATTGATTGGAAGCGAGGACTTACCTGTTATAGATTTTCCGCCGTTTGTTGAAGGTAGTGGTCCTCATGGGGAGAATAACTCAAACGCTGATGGGTCAGATGATGCGGAATCTGATTTCTATGAGTTCGACTGGACCGACGAGTCTGACAAGTCTTCATAATGTATACATTGCATGTAACTGATATCTGTGAATGTCTATGTATAGAATCAACTTCACTTGCAAGTAGTAATGTGATTTGCCCCAAAAGAACTCCGGAACAGACGGAGGTGGTGATCAATGAGATTTGACACGCACTTGCACAGAATATTGCATTTGTTTCGCTAACAGTGCGCTGGCTGATCTATGCGTACATTAATATATAGTAGAGCCAGAAATTTACAATCGTCCTCTCGCCCCAACCCTACATCTATTTTGCACACTGGTCTTAAGATGGCTGACTTCACACCAATCAATCAATATGGTCCTAGGACATGTCAACGTTGTAATGTCAAATTTGACATGTCAGTGGCTTTTGAATATGTCCGTGGCAAGGATGGCTCAGGTCGTCTATGCTGTCCTGGCTGTGCAAAGCATTACGCTGATCGCAAGGCTGCTGAGTTAATGCCAAACAGCACAGGTGTCGGCAAGTTTTTACGTGTTCTTGCTATTTGGTATACAGTGCTCACCTACTAGTCAGATTTTACGAGTGGAATGGGAGCATCAAGGCATGCACTTGTAAAAGCTACATCTGCAGCACAGCGGGGTGGTAAGTAGTATCAATGGTGTCCATACCATTATTATATGTATTAGTACTCACTACCATCATTGTTGCAGAACAATTTTTCCCGAGTCAGCGCTTCAGCTCTAGCATGACTACTACCAGTGGCAGTGGGAAAATGCTTCCACCGCCTGCTCCAGTCTCCCGTGAGTACTATATTTTAAATGACCCCATTAGTTCCTTGTCTGACATGGAGTCAGTCAATACACTACTACGTCCGACTGATGTACCAGGTGGCTACACCTCCAACCATCGACTCTACAATGAGCATCGTGGCAAGATGCTTCTTGCGGCATCATCCACACGTGTCCAAACGGTCACAATTCGAGCTGCAATTCATCATTTGAAACCCGAAGGCAAATCTGGAACCTTACTGGTTGGGGTACGTCTCAGCTTTTAAAGATGCATCTATTGATTTCACTGACTCAATACACCATGACAGAACCTCGAGCGGGACATGCGCGTACCTTTAACAGTCACACGAGCAGGACTCCGCTTTTCTATAATACAGCACCTGCAGTCGCTATGGATCGAATGGTCACGCAACAACTCTCAAGTCACCCTGGAAAGTCTCGAAATGCACAAATCGCCCATGATGATTCTCTTTGACCCAAGAGAGCCCTTAAATGATCCTGACGCAATGGTGCTTCAGGACTTCTTCCTTCACTCGACAGCCAAAGATCCGGTTCCGAAGTTTCATGCTAGCACAAAGGTTGCTATTCTTTTAATTATGACTCATGCACAGTATGAAAGTGTTCAGCTTTGGAGGGAGCAAATTGATGAGTCAGTGAGTGTATTTCTATTAATTCAATGTTCAAGTGACTCGGACGTTGCTAAAACCATGTTTAGCGCTTTGATAATGTTGATTGTATGACCGGTGACATACAGACCAGCACACACGCAGCATCACATATCACACAGGCAGGTGTACATGTGTCATCACATACTACCAACTGACCAATTTTTGAAGAGCCAACATTCGAAGAAACTACGTAGCCCCAGCTCAACTAGCCCATCTAGTAGCCGTGTTTATAAACGTATTAAACAGGTATTAATTCAATTTTTAAAGGATCATCAAACTTGCTTATTCAATGATTGCACAGGGCACTGAAATATCTGTCATTCCTGAATCTACTAGTAGTCTGACGGACATGTCCACATCGGTCGTGACGACAGCCCTTCCCAGCCGCATCAGCAGTGCCATTGTGTTTCCTGAAGCTTCGCAGCTTTGCCTGCTACCTAGCCAACAACAACTCATGGCTGCCATGGAGGCGCAAGGCAGCATTCGAAAACAAGCCTCAGCTACTATTTGTATGTTACACGCTCTCAGCTGAGTATCTACTTACATAGTGATTCATTCAGCCAAGTATCAATCAAGCACTTTCCGAGTGTATGGCATTCGCTCCGTCAAATTCCATGACATTGTCACCACTCCACTCAATATCACACACTCTCGTTTTGACCTTGTTTTGATATCGGTTGATTCTGATCCAAAGTCGATGATCGGTGCTGCCGGAAGCTTCAAGACTTGTCATCCTGCTCTCTTGCACACAGCCTCATTGACACCAACTACATCCACGTCCGATGAACCATCCTTGCAGGCCACCATCTTCACAGCGAGGCAAGTGGTAGCTAAGCGTGTGTTCTTCCGAAAAGGTGAAGGGAAGAAGCGTCATAGGTTCTCCAAAGAAGATGAGTTGGGGAAGACACTTGATGAAGCTAACTGCCTATACTGGGCTACGTGCTTGATGTCCCTCGTCTACATCTTCGTTGATGAAATGATCGAGACAAAAACAGTAAAGGCTGCTGTTGCAGATCAGGTTCCTCGTCTTCGACTTGTGCATGCTGCAGTTGCAATCCCTGACGATACTTCTGATCATGCTGGAGCAGCAACATATCTATTGGAGGAAAGGATCGAGGGCAAGTTTATCAAGTATATCAATAATAACTCCGCTGTTCCCACTTATCATTTGCGGGGGTTTGAGGAGAAAATTGGACTGTTCCTGTGCTTTGCACAACACGTACAGCATCGCCTCACAAATGAGGTCGTCTATCTATCTGATTTTCAAGGTAATGCAGCCTTCATTTTTATTGATCGTGTTCTGAACAACTTTTTCAGGATCTGGGAATCTTCTCACTGACTGCCAAGTCATGACCGGACCGTCAGTTCATACTTCGCATATCTTTCAATTGTCATTAACTTGATTTACAGCGAATATTCAGCTAACTTTGGCGAAGGAAACTGTACCGAGGCATTTCATGCCTTCAAGTCTACACATAAATGCAACTTCTATTGTCGTGCATTCGGTATGCAACCCTTTAGCTCTACAGCCCCCAATTCATAGTAGTTTAGTGTATTATTGAAACTGGTATTATTAGCATACAAATGTCAAACGTATGCCGCATCCAGCGCACAACCAGGTTTCATTCAACGAGGAAACAGGTACAAAGCCTCGAGCCACATATAAGTATCTAGAAAGTGATAATGTAAGGTGAAACATAGGAATGAGACTGGGTATAGTGCGCCATCGATATCATTGCAGAGGCATCCTGAATACATCCTGAGGACGATTGAGTCAGCCGGCGGCGGGCGCACAGAATTCATACTACCTCGGTGCACATTGGTTGTAAAGTCGGACGGCTACCCGAGCTTATTGAATACCATAACACTACCATCTGCGAACTCGAGCATAGGAACAGAGGGAGATGACGACGAGCGGGGATCTGGGGAGGTATTTATGCTTCGTCAAGATAAAGTCTGAGAGGTGAAGGACTCACATCTGATTGGCCCGCCGCCAGAATATATGCTCATGCACATTCATCCAATCCAAGCTTGTCAACAAGCTCGGGTTCCTTCATGCGTATGAGAGGAGGCAGCCATCCTAAAAGGGAGTCAGATATTTGTGGTGGCTGCAACAACTTGCCGCCAGCCTGTGACAGCATACATAGGTATACAAAAAATATATAGAAATACATCGTGAATGAACAGACGGACTTTGAAAAATGCCCGCGGCAACGCGGCAAATCGAACCGTCACCAATCATCCACCATAGTACCTGATGATCGTTGGCATGGTCTTTGCCAACGGTGTACCTTCATGTTACTGACCACACGTACGTTGAGGATGAGGCCCTGAATGTCTAAGAAGACCAACGTCTATTATCAGTCGGCATACGATTGGATGCAAATTGCGGGCGTGGCAAAGATCCAACCTCCAGCGGCTGCAACGGTCCCTGGTCACATTTTCAGGGTAATCATTCATTCTTAGCACTGTGACTTCTTCGGCCTCACTAACAAATTTTACGTCAATAGCATTGCGGGCTTATGGTTCATGAATGATGATTCGATAATGCTTAGTGTGTGGTAACCATTGGACCACCTGGCAAACTTCGAAATCGTGTCATGATCTTGACACGAGTATCTTCCTTTGGTGAGCGCACCATTCATCTTCGTGGCTCACTAACCGGATGGGTTTCTACATATCATAATCAGACTTGGAGCGCGCCTCTAGTTCACGAAGTCTTTACAAATGCTGTGTGACTCCTAGTCCAGATTTCAGTGCACGACTTATTATCGTGATAGATTCAATTGAATCACATCGGTTCCTTCCGCGCCTATCAATGCTACTGATGAAATACATGTGTAATATGTGGGCTTTCGTCCCATTGTAAGTTTTAGTCAGGCATTCATTTGTTCAAGCCGTGCTAATATTTGACCAGGTATGTACTGCGTCTTACCTACGGAATTCCGCATGCCTGCAATTCATTGAGCCACTAGTAACCATATAAGAGGAAGATAGTAGTTCCTCCTTGATAATGAGCCCTCGTACGTCCATCTTCCAATTACTATGTCTGAGGTACACGCAGAAGTCGAAAAACTTGACAGCAGCAAGGTACCTGTACATCCGCACACTGAGCTTTTTAACCGTCCGACAGGATGGAGGAGGTACTACTACCACCCCATCACCCAAGTGTCGATGTTGGGATTTGTGTGTTTCTTGGGCCCCGGCATCTTCATTGCACTGACTGGTCTCGGTGGTGGAGGCCAAGTCAACAGTAAAGTCCAGGCTAACGCCAGCGCGATTTTGTATGCGACTTTTGCTTTTTTTGGATTATTCTCCGGGTGAGTTCAATTAGGTCGTCGATTTGACCCATGGCGACTCATGTCGTTGCAGTTCCATTAACAATGTCCTCGGTCCTCGATGGACTCTGATACTTGGAACGTTGGGCTACTCGTTGTATATCGCTTCGTTCCTGTATGATGTCTCGTACGTCGATCCTGTGATGTTACTGAAATGTTGCGCTTCAGTGTTATCAACATCCATCCTGACGCGAGTGCTTTCGTTATCGCGGCCGGTGCCATCCTTGGTATCTGTGCAGCTTTGCTTTGGACCGCGCAGGGTTCTTTGATGATGTCATACCCCACAGAGGCTCAGAAGGGCACGTTCATCTCTATCTTTTGGACAATCTTCAATCTTGGAGGGGTCATGGGTTCTGCTGTAGCATTTGGAACCAGTTTCAATCGTACCGTGAGTGATATATATGTTACGTTTGTGAATGGAAAGCCGCGCTCATGTCCTCCACCGTCAGACCAACAGTGGTGAGCATATTTTGGCTATGACTGACCGCGGAGCTGATTGATCTTGTCATCTTTAGTTGGCAATGGTACATATGTATGCTTTTGATAATCTCTTGTCACCAGAGATTGACACTAAACTAGGTTGGCTTCCTGATTTTGACCCTCGTCGGCGTATTCCTCCCACTATTGATGGCAAACCCAAACAAGGTGATTCGTACGGACGGGACTCACGTGAATCAGGTCAGCTACCCATCGTGGAAGACGGAGGTGTCCCGCTTGTACGTGGCGCTTAAGACCGACCCTTGGATTATCTTCCTCTTCCCGATGTTCTTTGCCAGTAACTACTGCTTTACCTGGGGTTCGTCATGGTACTGTTCTTGGGATCAGCGTGGTCGCTGATATGTTGCGCAGAATACAATAATTACAACGGCGCGATATTTACTATCCGTGCTCGGGCCCTGAATAGCTTGATGTCCTATACGTCGCAGGTCTTTGGATCTATCTTCCTCGGTTACTTTATCCTTGACCGAAAAAGGGTCCGGCGTAGAGTCCGCGCCTTCTACGGCTGGAGCCTCGTATTCTTTGTGGCTTTCGCTTCCCACGTCTGGGCGTATTTCTACCAGAAGTATGTCATCCTGCAACACCACAGCCTCAAATTACAATGGAAGTGTTCCTTAGGACATATACCCGCGCTGAAGCCATGAAGGATGCTTACAAGATCGATATCATAGAAGAAACCTATGTTGCACATGTCTGGGTCATGATAGTCCATGGCTTGCTGGATTCAATGTTGCAGACATATGCATACTGGCTAATAGGCGCCATGTCGAACGACCCCGCCAAGTTGGCCGTGTTTACTGGCTTCTGCGCGTATTAACTTTGTAAGTTCGAGTTCAATACTGATCAAACACCATACAGATAAGTCCCTGCAATCAGCGGGTGCGGCAGGCGCATGGAGTACTGATGCTGCTGGAATCCCGTGAGTTCTTTAGTCCTCTGTGTGAACAAACCACTGGACCAGTGCTTCAGATATATGAACATCTTCCTATCGACTTGGTGCCTAATGGTCGGCAGCATGATCTTTGCCGCACCAATGGTATACCTTCGCGTTACCGATCATACGGACGTAGAGGATGAGACTCTGTGAGTACCCCCTCCAGGGGTAGCGTAGTGCTGCATAGTTTAGTTAGTTACCGAGTGTCCTTCGGGCTTTGTCGTAGTGTAGTGCTTTTCACCACTTCTTGGACACGCAGGCACACAGTCGTGGTTGTACTGCCACCATGATTGCCAATATAATGCACCTGTCATTGGTGTTGATGTCCACTACAATGTGCGAGTCGCAGACGTAGAAAGAATCGCCCCAGCGGTGGCAACGACGGAGAAAGCATAGCCAAGCATTGAGGATAGACGTGAGTTCGACAGATGGATGTGTCACTCAAACTATTAGGACTTGTCAGATTGATTCGCCACTGATTAGGTCTTAAAATGTACAGTAACTGACAAACGCAAATGTGTATGAACGCTCCAATCAAGTCGGGTTGCCACTTTAAGCGGGTCGACAGCCATAGCGCATTCGCCGTTTAGCCTCAGAAATCATCTGGAGCGCCAAACGTTCCTCCTTTCGTCTTGAACGCCCCTTTCTTCCCACCTCTCTTCCCACCTCTCCCTCGGGAAGTGGTGCTCGAAGACTTTGAAGTTCTTGAAGTAGATTTTGGGCGCTTTGATGGCCCAGGCCCACCACTATCAGGACATTCTGTCATATTATGAATGAATGGGACGTCCATGTTCAGATACAGCACCATACCAGAAGTCCAATGCCCTTTCTGTCCACACTTGAAGCACGCATCACCGGACGCTGATCCTCCCGCCTTTGCTGCAGGCCTCGATCGACTAGTCATGTCACCATTTGGACACGCTATATGTATTTAGCAACCTCTAACAGCACATAATTTTACTGTTACTCACCAGACGCCCAATGGCCTTCTTGATCACACTACATGCAAGGTTAGTGTCTCAAGGCTTTGTCTTGATGTGTGCACACAAACCTTAAAGCACTTCCCGCTACCAGAAGCTGAATCATTTTGAGTTCCTGATCGAGACGACATGGGACGTGAACCAGCAGCGCTCTTAGGTTTTGGTGTTTCATCGTCCCACTCGAAGAATGCACACCCCCCGTCCTTTCCTTTGGGACATCCCCAGAATATTCGTCCTTTATTTGGCCCCTCCTTATTGACAGTACGCCGTGCCGCGTCTTCACGACATTGACATTGACGTGCAACGGCGTCGACCTGATTAAGCTCACACACCTCTGTATGAAACAAGATGTAGAACAAAACATGAACTCACTGAACGTTCGCTAGCCAATGCGCGCTTGGCCGGGACAAGCGGCGTGGGATTTGCTGGCATACCAATCGATCCGTCGTCGCACCATTTGAAAAACCCACATCCGTCACCGACTCCGCAGGCATAGAACTCCTTTCCTTCACGAGCTGACTTCTGTGTGACTGTTTTGCGCTGAGATGGGATACCACATTCACATTCGGGGGTCATACTTGAAGAAGGCAAGGGGTTGTGTCGGGGAGCAGTTGTCGGGGTAATAACCCTCGAGAATGTGGGTTTACTCCCAGAAGAAGTTGTCCGCGAGACAGGAGCACTGGGCTTTGATGGTACGTTGGATGCTCGTGAACGACTTCGAGGTGGTGAGGGAGGCGGAGGCATATCATCATTCGAATCTAGAGAACCATATCAATTCTCATATCTCATAACGTAAATTTACATACCATCAATGTCGTTGGAAGGTGGCGGTGGGGCGGCCCTAGCAGCACCTCGTCCACGGCCTCTTGGAGCTGGAGCTGCAGCGCCCCGCCCGCGTTCTCGTCCTCGACCGCGGCCACGGCCGGCACCTCCTGGCGGGGGTCCTCCATTGTCGTTATCATTATCATCATTATTTCCGCGACCGGCACCCCTTCCTGCACCCGCACCTCTACCCCTTCCACCGCCGCCACCGCCGCCACCATTGCCACCGCCACCACCCTGGTTTGCCCCTGCGTTACGTTCAATGTACCTGCGCACGCTCTAAAGTGCATTGTGAACGAGACGACAACAGTGTGTAAACCAGACCACCTACAGATACAACCTTATCGAACTCTCTCTTTGCGAGAACATACATCTCCCTGTATTGTTCGATGCTTTCGGTGAGCATCTCTGCTTTAGATTTCGTGCCCTCGCAAACTCGAACCATGCCGCGTTCGGTTTCACGCCTGAGCTGCGGCTTCGATAAGCTTCTTTCAAACCCAATTTCATTATATCCTTCTATAAGCCCAATTCCAAGGGTCGAGGGCATGAGATGTTTTGTTGCACCATCCATGCGTTCAATGACATATTCCCGGTCGACAATCGTCTGAATGTGCTGAGCAATCGTAGCATCAGTGCCTGCGGAATAATAAATGATCAGATTGGGGCGAATATCGTTGTATGTGAAAACCCACCAATGCCGTTTTTGTCCATGAGGGTAACCAAGTCCGCCTCAGTGAGGAGAGACGGCGAGGAAGTTTGACCGTCCTTGATTTCGCATACCGTAGGTACAAACTGCTCTCCTTCCTGAAAGTTCGGTATCTCTTTTGCCGACCACTTGTCATATGGGTATACTTCAAGGTAATTTCTCTGAAGGACAATCAATCCTACGAGGGTGTGAACGTGAGTCGTAATCGCAGCAGAGGTACTCACCGGTTGCATTAAACTCTTCACCGCCATAATCTACTTGCACAATTGTCTCTTTGCCTTCCGCATCCTTGCTACAACTCGCAAGAAAACGCCGAGTTATGAATTCGTATACCTTCTTCTCGTCACCAGCAAGATTCCCTGCATGAGCAGTGGGGTGAATGGGCGGGTGAGCCTTGTCGTTATTTTTGCCCCGCCTTGGAGTATTGAAATTACCCTCATGCAGGCTGAGCATGTATAAGTCTGGCGTTCACAAAAAAACCTTGGGAAGCATACCCAGTGGCGAATCCTCCCCAAGCAGGATCGGCGGTTTGCTTCTCGATGAGTGTCATAAAATTGAACTGAGGATCGTATTGGTCCGTTTCTGTGCGTGGATATGACAAAAAACCTTGTTGGTAAAGCTTCTCCGCAATCTGGTGAATATGACCACGGTCAGATGGAAAGAAATAAGCGCCTATATCTCGATTCAGCTCACATCGAGGACCTTCTTGGGAGCAAGCTTTAATAATCTGGATCCTGCTTTCTGTAGCTCTACGGTTGTCAATGGGAGTGGTTTGCTAGGATGTTCAGCCCGGTCTAGTACGGTTCAAACATGTAGAAAAACTCACTATTTTTTGACATCTTTCTGTGTCACTTTCACCACTCTGGCAGTGGGATTCTGCAAAATCTCCTGGTGTATATCAGCAACGATATCGGGTTCGAATAAGTGACCCCTTTTCCAGTTAAAGTCGACCTTCATATCATCACGATCCACAGAAAAGTTGATGAACCAGAAGTCTTCAGGAACGAAGGACTTGACTTGATTGTATCTTTGGACGACAAACCCGAGCGTCGGAAATTGACAGGGACCTGCTCGGAATGTGTCATAAAAAGACAAGTGGCTCGATGACGAACGAACCATACGAGACGACTTCTCTCTTTTCACGAAATTGGGCGAGCCGTGTCTGCAGTGTAAGAGTTTGCATACGTGTGAATGCAGCACCTATTCTCAGGTCAAGGAAGATGCGCGCCTCGACGGCATGGGCCTGAGCCATGTCAAGATCAACAGGGTGCTGAGCAGCACGATGAATTTGCCTGGGGTCATAAACGTCTGTTAGTGAAAAAACTCTGGCCAAGAACCAGATACTCACTGGGGAATGATGGCACTAAATCTAGCTCTCTTCACAACGATTTGTGGACGTGATTTCCTGCATACCTTGACAATCTCGCTCCCAATGTTCTCTCCTTCGCGATCACAATCTGTCCAAATCATGAGGGTATCCGCTTGACGCGCTTCAGTCAAGAGATTGCGTTCGATACTCTTGTTGTCTGCGGGCACTGAGGTGTGAATGGGCGCATCGAACAGTGTAATAGGGTCACAAGAATTCCACTGTCTGTACTCCTCTGGAAAATCGTGGGCAAGCAAATGACCACAGACGGCGGTTACTGTAAATTGTGAGTTGGTTTGTGGGTAATCGAAATCAAAATTCTTGATGAATCTGTTAGACGTTGGACGCTGGAAGCAAAATGTACGGATTTGAGAATGTTGGTACGTAATAATCTCTGGCTTACTGTTTCCAGGCGACCACCAGAGAGAATTGAGCTGATTGAACGAGCTATAGAAGGTTTCTCTGCCACACAAAGAACTCGCATGCTGTAGTTGAAGAGTGATTCTGTGTGAAGAGTGTGGAAAAGCCTGGTCCTTAATTTGTCGAACGAACTGGGTCGTTTAGCTTTTAACAGAACGGAATTACCGGGATAAATCCAGGTTTGATTGGCAGACGTGCTCGCGAGAAACGATGCTGCTCTCCGAGGCCCGAGCCCCACTTTGAACGGACAAAACGCGACACGGTCAGCACGCGTCGCAAGTTGGGACTCCGCGAAGCACGTGCTAACGCCAATCAAAACTTCTAGTCAACATCGAGTTACATCGTCCTTTCCAGTCGAAATCAAGGCATTATGCATTATGTCTCAATCATCGCATTTTTGCCACCGCTGGGTCAAGTATTACTGTGAGCGATACATCACAATCGAGGTCCCACGGACGATATTTTGACTCGACGGTAATGCAGCGAAATGCCTGGATCATCATGCCAGATCACGAACCTGACTTGATAGAAAGAAGCACCGTGAAAAAAACGCGTCCCCTGTCAAGAAGACATGGTCAGAAGCAGATTTCTCTCACCATGTGGCCATTGAAAATTTGCGATACTTTCAAACTGGCGCTCAAGAATACTTTTTGATCTTCACAATGTCCCATGTCACGGACCAGGATGCGACCAACCGTGATCCCTTACCACTCAGTGGAGCTGCCGCAGGACTATGTTTGGTCCAATTCCATCGATAAGATCAGTAGCGCCACTATTAATACTAAACTCGACGAATTAATCTGATCGATTGTTTGAAGTGGTACCAAATTGTGTACGTTTGCAATGTGAATTGGTTGTGCATCTTTCCGATACAACCGCAGTTTCTGCATCAGGATGAATAATTCACAAGCATCAAGCAACAATCACATCCAGGGCAAATATTTACGGTGCTACCTGATCGATCGATCCCTGAAAGGCTCATCCAGGTTATCTTACGCATTGATGATAACTTCTTGCAGTCACCATACCCATACCGTTGCATCGTTTCCTGATTTCTATGCTAGGTTCTCTTATATTCACGCATGCAGGTGAATACTGGCTCTAAAAGGCTCCATGGTTGTGCCAGGGGCAACCAATCATCCCATGATGTCCAGTTGAATCCACATAAAACTTTGCATAGAACCTCATCGTGGTGAGGACTGCATCACTTCCTGTTCCTGATTTCAGTGACCATGCGTCGCTGTCAGGCCTGTTAGACGGTGTGCCTAGCCGGATCTAAGTCGAGGGGCTTCGGGTGGTTCCCTGCCAGTACGAATGATTGTGAATATTTCAGGGCGCAGTGCAAGAGCTTATCTGGCACATCCAGAATCCGGATAAGTAGCAGTAAGGAAGGGTGGGAATAAAGCTTTCGGTTACCTGTGCAAGAAGAATTTTTGGTGCATAGCATCACCAGTGCTATGGTCATTATCTTCAAGTTCCACTCACTTTTTGACTTGTCGCACCATATGACACTGAGTCCCTCCGGATCCGGTAATCAGCTACTAAGCGATATTGTCGTGCCCCATGTCAACGCCTCAGTAACAACTAGTACTGAGCTTTTCGCTAGTGCAAGGTGTGTAGCCCAAGCTTACCTTTCTTCGGGTTATCCCTATGTATTAACAAGTAGTTGTACCTCTCATACTCGTCTGCTTGCGAAGAGTATAAGGAATTGGCATCCAATGGAGTGAACATTACCGGACGTTCAACTTTCACATTCACGTTTAGGGGCTTTATATAACCAGAGTGGCGTACTGTGCCGGCTGGTCGATCTCAGAGAGATTTGGCAGGCGAAGCATGGAGTTTTAATTTTAGCAGGTGCCGGTTGTGCCGGTCTAAGCAGTGGTACTACATAGTTACAATTCATGCATTGGTTTAGGTTAATCATCATTACATAGACATGTAGCAAAACAAACGGTTAGTACTTAGTGTCTGTACAATGTCTGTATGTACAATGACACCTGGCCGGGGGCCAGCACAGCCGGCACCCTGCTAAAATTAAAACTCCGTGCTTCATCTGCCAAACGTCACGCTGTAGTCTAATCCAGGAAAGATTCTGCACAAGTACCATTTTAATTAGCATCCACAGCCCGATGACCACGCAACAGTCCCATCTACATGGATTGCATAGATTTTACCCCTAAGGCGGTATACATATACATAGTGCGAATGTTATTGTCATACTAATCTACCAAGTTTGCCTCTCGTCCACATCAAATTCTCTACCAATATGACCATGGTCTCAGATGATCCCGCTTGGTGGCTGACCATCAATGCAAATCGTTCTCTTAGCTATTATATCGGTTCGTGGAGAGCAGTTGGATTCAATATTTCAATCTAACCTCTACTGCTGCCTTGCAGTTGCCGTCTTAGTTGGAGTGACATATGATTGGGGTGAGCATGATGATATCCAAGGACTGCTGATTTCTTACAAGTACTTTCAGCACTTACATTTGGACAAGAGGTATGTCGATGCTATGACTGGAGCAGCTGGCATCTCGCTGAGAATGGTTTTATAGGTGGAGCTGATCTGGGTGAGTAGAGTCTGGTGTCAGAGGAACACACACGAAAACACATTTGATTCCAGAGACAACGCTGGTCCCTAATGACAGTTCTGTATCTCAGTGCACGTACCTTATTTGTCATGCTTGCCATGTTGTGCTGACTTGAAAGTATTTTAGGTGCGCTACCTTGGAATCTTATCTGCTGCATATGTTCGAAAGGCTACACAATTGGTGCTGTGCTAATTTTCTATCTCTCATAATCAGCATGAACATGTTGCGTATGTCTCAGTACATTCATTGTCTTTGCTTCTTCTGACCAATGGCATTCAGTGAGTGTTCTGACCATCTTGCTGTCAGATACAGTGAGTCTTCTGCACATATAACTGCTATTCCTCTCCAATTAACCATGGTGCCCTGTAGGAGTGGGCGTGGTTCTTTACTAACTTATTGGTTCACTAATAACTGTCATGCTATACTGCCACAGATGTGAGTCTGTTTGGAGTGTGCGCTACCTGAGGCTGGTCACTCACTGGACTGGTCAGGCTCAATTTCATACAACGTGTGGAATTGGATAGTTGATGTGGCATATGTAATGCTGTGGGGTAAGCTTGGCACTTGCAAGACCTCAGCGGTTTTGACTTGACTGAAACATGCTGCAAGTCATCATGGTCACTCGGTTGCATGCCATGTATCAGCGATCCAGAAAAATCCTGATATTCCTCATTGTCACCTTCCTGGCTGTCAGCATTCTTAACGGTGTGACTACCGTAATGATGACGATGCAGATTTCAGGGGGCGAGCTTAATTGTGGATGAAAATAAATGTGCATGGGGCTTATTGATGAATACCAGAGGAATTCATTCTCTCCGGTACTTATCAGTGCCAGATTGACTATCTGGAAGATATCCTACTTCTTATGTCTGCTACTTGGATACTCGGCACTGCATGGGAGGTCCTCACACTATGTCTCGCAATCTGGATTGCGGTAAAACACTTCCGTGAACTGCGACAATATTCAGCAGGAGGGATTATCAAGGGCTGTTTCACGGTGTTGATGAAAACTCACGTGCTTTACTTTGCCTGGTTGTCACAACCCAATAACGAATTAACGCTGGGCAGAGACTAGGACTCAAACAACAAGATAATCACAAAGAGGATAAGGCAGCAGGTACGTCTCGGATTGCTCACTAGGAGATACAAGAGGTTTGAACTAAAGAACTACTGACTACAAGACACTACCTATATACACATATTTGTAACTGAGATCGAAACTGAGTCTGAACTAACTACCAATCAAATAATAAGATGATATCGTACGATTCTATATATAACTATGATGTCATGACACGTGCCGCAGCAACCGTAAGGTTCTGGAACATTCTGTCAGGGTCGTTTGGAATAAAGTTTAGTCCAGCATACTCCGATAAATCACGTGACTCGTTCATAGGTTCTTTAGGTAACTCTACAATAGACGCTGTTGTTGGGACATCTTCAACTATAAATACTTTCTTAGTAACAGGCGCTGTGACTGGGCGCTTAAAGGACTTAGAATTTAGGAACGTATAATGGTTTGTATTTGGAACTCGTGACATTACCCCCTCTCTAGGTTGAGCGTCATCGCGAAAGACATTTGGGCGGATAAAGTTTCGACGCCATTCCAAGAATTCTTGTGTTTCGAACACCGATTTATTAATTTTGCGGGGATTCAATGCTTTCGGATTTTGCCGATGAAATTCTTGAACTTTCAACCGTGCATTTTCGAGGTTCTCTTCAGGTTCCCATGTCGCTTCTTCTATCGGATATCCTTCCCACTCTACTAGGTATTGGAGTTTTGATCTGTGCAGTCTCGAGTCTAGGACTTTTCGTACTGTCCATTCGGAATCGCCTTCTGATACGATCTCTGGCGGCGGACGATGATGTGGAGGTCTTTGGATTAAGGTCGAGGGGAAATGCGGAGTGAGTAATTCTACATGGAATACTGGGTGGATCTGATATTTTGCTGGAAGTTTCAGGCGGTAATTTACATCACCCGTCTTCTCAAGCACTTCGAACGGACCAAATCTTCTGTCGGAGAGTTTCTTATTCGGTCTTTTCTGGTGAATATTTTTGGCGTTGAGCCAGACCATGTCTCCCTTATTGAACTGTGGTGCGTCTTTTACTCCTTTATCGTAGAATCTTTTCATCCGCTCACTAGCCATGCGTAGCATACTTTCTGCGTCTTCTTTCGCCTCTTTCATTACATCCACTCGTTCATCAGCTGCAGGTACTTTGGAATTGGAAATCGGTGAAAAGGTAAACTCTGGATCATATCCGTAGAGTACTTTGAATGGACTATGGCCGGTTACAGTGACAGAATTATTGTGAGCGAATTCTGCTAGTGGAAGCCAGTCTACCCAATCATTTTGACGGTAAGACGTGAACATTCTCAGATATTGCTCGACTTCTTGGTTTATTCTTTCCGTTTGTCCATCTGTCTGAGGATGATAAGCCGTTGACATGTTCCATTTTATGCCTAGGCGTTTCGACACTTGTCCCATAAATTTAGAGACGAATTGTGTTCCTCTGTCTGATATCACCTGTTTCGGAGTTCCATGGTGTTTCCATACGTTATCTAAGAAAAGTTTCGCGATTCCTCGAGCGTCAACTTCCTTTTTTGTAGGCATGATGTGCGTTTGTTTTGTGTATCGATCAACGACGACAAAAATAGAGTCGAACCCTTCGCTTTTAGGCAAATTTACTATCAAATCACAAGTGATTGATTGCCAAGGTCCCGCTGGTATTTCGTTTGGTTTAAGCGGACCGTGTGGTTGCGTTGGGTGAATCTTCGTTGCTCTGCATCTATCACAGCCATCTACGTAATCGTGGACATACTTCGTCATTGAAGGCCACCAATAATTTCTGGAAATCAATTCTAAGGTTTTGGCTCGTCCTGGGTGTCCAGCCGGTGGAGAGTCGTGAAACAACTCCAATATCTCTCGGCGGATCTCTTTATCGTTTGGAACGTAAACCAGTCCTCGGAATAACACCAATCCATCCTCAACATTCCATTCTTCAATCCCTCTGCGTAGTTGTACCGGTGCCGCTTTCAGTGTTTCTAACGCTTTAGCGACTTCAGGTTCTCGTTCTGTGCATTGCCTTATCCTTCTCAGCAATTGTTTTTCTCCTTGCACTAGAACTTGACCTCTTTTAGCAGCTTTTACGGTAAAAAACTCCGGTTTTAACAGAACGCGATCAGAATTGTCGTTTTCTACCCCCCCTCTGTGGTCTTCTCTCCGAGATAGACGGTCTGCCTTATCGTTAACTACACCAGGCTTATGTTGGAGTGTAAATTCATACTCCGCCAGGAATAAACTCCATCTGGCTTGCCTTCTTGTTAACTTTTGGCTCGTCATGAAATATTCGAGGTTTTTATGATCCGTCCAGATCTCCACATGTTGAGGCTTTCCCTGCACATAATGTCTCCACTCCTCCAACGCTCGAATGATTGCTAATAATTCTTTGTCGTGAACGTCATAATTTCGTTCTGCATCATTCATCGACTTCGAATAGTAAGCTACGGGATGCCACAAATCATCTTCCATCAGTTGAGATAGAACCGCTCCGGTTGCGTAATCGGAAGCATCGGTTTCTATTTTCATTTTTTTCTCAACATCCGGCATGACTAGAATCGGAGCTGTTGTGAACCTTGACTTCAGTTCATCAAACGCATCTTGTTGTTTCTCCGTCCAGTCCCATTTGACATCTTTCCGTAATAAGTCATTCATTGGTCTGGCAATGTCCGAGAACCCGAAGATAAATCTTCTGTAGAAGTTGGCAAAGCCCATGAATGCCTGAATATCTTTAACACATTTGGGTACAGGCCATTTCATTACTCCTTCTACTTTCACAGGGTCCATCCGAACACCACCCTTCTCCACTATCAACCCGAGGAACTCGACTTCCGACTGTTCGAAGCTACACTTTTCTGGCTTCAGATACAAATCGTTTTCTTTTAGTCGCTTCAGTACCTCACGTACAACCCTCCGGTGTTGCTCTTTATCGCCATTCGTGAATACGAGAATATCATCGATATAGACAACTACGGTCTTTCCATCAATTAGATCTCTGAATATCTCATTCATCATCATTTGAAACGTGGCAGGGGAGTTTGTTAATCCGAAGTACATTACGGTTGGTTCGTGGTGACCAAACGGCGTTTTGAAGGCCGCCTTCCATTCGTCTCCTTCTTTCATGCGAATATTATTGTACCCCCATCGTACATCCATCTTAGAGTACATCGTGGCACCGGTTAAAGCATCAATCAAGTCTTGAGATCTCGGTAGCGGGTACGCATTTTTAACCGTCTTCTCATTGAGCTTTCTATAGTCCATCACCGGTCTTAACTTGCCATCTTTTTTGGCCACAAAGAAGAAAGGTGCTGCCACTGGGGATTGTGATTCTCTAATTCGTCCCAGTGCGGTTTCAGCTTTCAACCAATCCTTCAAGGTGTCCATCTCTTTTGGTGACAAAGGGTAGGGTTTCGCATTCGGCGGAAGATCGCCGTCATCTTTAAGATCTATCGCATGATCCCATTTCTTTCTTTCGGGAAAGCGCTTAGATTCTTCTTCTGAGAAAACTCCCAGGTAATCGTGAAGCCAATCAGGAACCATCTCTTCCACCGATTTCTTCACCTTCGTTGCTTCTTCTGCAACCTTCTGTTCCGTGGCAACCGAGGCTTTATATTTGATCCATTCTCCAGGATACTCTTCATCTTCTATTTCCTCGACCGTTGCCCTTTTCATCGCCATGTCTTCTTCGTCATCCTCTTCTGTGGGAATCAGATCTGGCACTTCTTCTGTCTTTTTTTGTTCTTTTCTTTTTTCTTTATTTTTTTGTCTTTGTTCTTTTTTTGTAATACATTTAACCGGGCATCGAGAAAGTGCAAATTGTCCAGCATTCCAGTCTATTTCCGGGTTATGATATCTTAGCCAATCTATGCCGATAATAACATCATCGTTTCCTAGGTCCGTAACCATGAAGGCTGCTTCATCCTCAACATGATCACCGATCTTTAGACCTAGTTCTGCGAAATGTGTCATTGATCCCGCGGCATTTAGCGAGCCATCAATATTTTTAACCGGAATAGGTCTTAATAATTTACGACACCGGACCTCGTTCTTTTTCACAAACTTTTCACTTATAAATAGTGTTGATGCTCCACAGTCCACTAACGCTTTCACGTCTGCTTGTCGGTTCTTTCCTTTCAACGTAATCGGAATATAAAAATGCTCAGATTTGGATTTAATATATACTTCTGATACATCCGAAAACGTAGATAGAATGGAGAAACGATTGTTCGGGTCTAAGTTCGCAGACTTTGACTTTGACCCTTCTAAAAACCCTTGCCTTCTTTGCTAGCAGTCCAGTCTTTGAACCACTGCGGCATTGAGTTCTCTTCCTTTGGCACTGTAGTAGCCTTCACCTGCGCTTTTGGCGCGACTGCATCTTTGCAGTTTCTAGCCATATGGCCTTCTCCTCCACAGCGATAGCATTTGAAAGATCCAGTCTTTCCTTGGGGCTTGGGAGCCCACTTCTGCTTTCCGGAGTCGACGTCCATGGCATCACTTTCCTTACTTGGACCTGCTTTGGACTCATGGTTCCTGGGACCTCCTTGTTTCGGGGTCCACCACGTAGTCTTCTTTTTGTCCGCGTCTAGCTCTTCGAAATTGCGTCCAATTTGGATCGCGTGTTCCACCAGTTTCTTCATGGTGTCTTTGTCCTTGTAAGGGACATGTGCGAGCTGTATTTTGACGCGGTCTTGAAGTCCATTTCTGAACTTCTGTCGCTGGTCGTAGTCGGAGAATGAAGTGTGTGCAGCCTTTTGTCTGAAAGCGGCTGTGTACTCTGGGACTGACGATGATCCTTGTTTCAGAGAATCTAAGTCTCTGATCGCCTTCCCTTCTTGATCTTCTTGCTTCCACATAGCAGAGAAGTCTTCATCGAGTTTTTCCATGGTAAGTTTTCCTTGGGCATGTTCCTCAATGTATTTTTGCGCCCATTTTCCAGCTGTTCCTTTCATGAACGATAACATGACCGAGATTCTTTGCTTTTCGGTGATGTTCGGCCATTGTGTTTGGTACAGGCAGATTTGAGCAACCCAGGTTTGTGCGTCTATGGAGTCCTTCTCTCCAGTGAAGTCTGTAGGTTTGGCGAATTTAATGTTTGGGGTTGAGGGTGCCATCATCGCAGCCCCCGCTGTTCCGAATGATGGTTGCGAAGCAGCTCTCCTGACCGATTCATCCTCCTGTGCTTTCAAGCGTAATTCCAGGTCTCCATTTTTAGTGGCTAGTTCCTGGTTCTTTTGCTCTAGCTCTGCTATTTTCTGCAGAAGGATGCTACTGGTAGCGGAGATTTGGTCCTGTACGTATTGCAGGAACCATTGCTCCTGAGTTTGCGCCGGTTGCGTTTGTTGTGGTTGAGAAGACATAGTACCAGTTGTGTTCTGGAACCCGATTTACTGATGTCTTTGAAGAGCTGCTCGTAAGGGCTCTTCCGAAAAGGAATGATGGTGAGAAAAGGAAAAGTTATGTAACGGAAAACTGAGCGGTCCCCGATATCTGATCGGATCTACCACTGGCTCAGGGTCAAGGGGTTCTGGTAAAATCCCACACTGACGCTTCCCTAATACTAACTAAGAAAAGATACGTAAACTATACTCGATCGAGTGGGAAAAACTAGGGACAATGCAATCTCCGTTTTGAGGGTACAAGCCTAGGACAAGTTATCACTCTTCCAGCCGAAGCTTACAAGTGCGAGTCTCACTAGGGTATGTCTCTAAATCCTCGTAGGTCGAAAGCACGGTTTGTCGTCTAGACAGTTCCGCTATTGACTCGAAACGAATGCCTACGTGCGTGATGAAAAAGGATAGGTAAAAGGAAACTATAGTAACATTGAGCAGGCAGGGTTTTGGGCCAGCACTCAAAGTTGTAGCGAGACGCCTAATGTCGTCAACACCTCCGTATACTGGCGGCTGCAATGTAAGGCAGGGCCTGGTATAGGACTACTAACTAATAAAGCGGATAGGTATGAAATGCGCTCAAATGAGCAAAAAGTGATGAATGGGTCTCGGTTGTTTAGACCAGGCAAAGAGTAAATGGCTTTGTTTGAATGACAATATGAAAAGACTTTCAATATGGCCAAGCAAAGAAAGAGATGTGCGAGAGTGTAACGCGGGAGTCAGAGTCTCCTATAGTTCAAACCTAATGTCACAACCCAATAACGAATTAACGCTGGGCAGAGACTAGGACTCAAACAACAAGATAATCACAAAGAGGATAAGGCAGCAGGTACGTCTCGGATTGCTCACTAGGAGATACAAGAGGTTTGAACTAAAGAACTACTGACTACAAGACACTACCTATATACACATATTTGTAACTGAGATCGAAACTGAGTCTGAACTAACTACCAATCAAATAATAAGATGATATCGTACGATTCTATATATAACTATGATGTCATGACACGTGCCGCAGCAACCGTAAGGTTCTGGAACATTCTGTCAGGGTCGTTTGGAATAAAGTTTAGTCCAGCATACTCCGATAAATCACGTGACTCGTTCATAGGTTCTTTAGGTAACTCTACAATAGACGCTGTTGTTGGGACATCTTCAACTATAAATACTTTCTTAGTAACAGGCGCTGTGACTGGGCGCTTAAAGGACTTAGAATTTAGGAACGTATAATGGTTTGTATTTGGAACTCGTGACACTGGTGAGCTCATATTGTGATTATTGTTCCTTTTACCACTGATGGGTCGGACATGATAGCTCTGTTGCTGCTTCTTCCTTCTGGCTCACTATCGATATCTCTTCAATACGCTCAATGGTATGTCAATTTTTCACTTGCCTATGTATGCTACCACAATTTATCATTTTAATAGGACCAATTTTTGTCCACTGACTTTATTTATGGGTTTAGTCAGATTTTGCAGGTCGTGCAGACTTGTGTGCTGGGACCACGCCTGATCCTTGGCGTTCGAGAATACCACACTAAGCTCATTGCTGATGCTGACGCAGCGACTGGTATGACCTCAATTGCCTTTCAGGAGCATGTGCATATATCGACTGGCAGTGGTGTGTGAAGTTAACGGTCGTTTAGTGCTCTGCAAGGAGCTGGAACATTTGTTTTTATTTATTCCCACTTTCATGAAGGTATTGATCGAAGTTATTCGGTGTCCCGAAGCAGATTTCAAGGATACATACAAAGCATTCGTCGTATTATTTAATCAAGTGATTTGCTCTACGTGCTGACAATGTTTAAATCAATGTCCTCAATATCTCTATACAAGGACTCGCCTTCGGTCGGCTGCCAGCCCTCATTAATCATTCTGTGTTCATGGAGTTACGAAGGCATAGGTGCCATTCAATGTATTTACAGTAGCAAGTCAGGAAATACAATATTTGCGCAGTCTTGTTCTTCGTTCGCCTCTGAAAATAAGCACAATGTTTCTTACTCTCGATAATGCTCCTTCATCGTCAATGATAGGACCAATAGTGGTCCGTGCATCCAATAGCTAGATGCTGTCTTCCGCAGACACAGTATTCGCACCAAATGTGAACACGTTGATTCGAACATCCCAGTTCTGGAGTCGCGATGAAAGTGTGTATGGCCACACTCTCAAATGCAAGAATCTCCATCATGATGCCAGAATGTCAGGGAAAAGAAGTGTCTTGCCATATCTAGCAAAAAATGAGGCGGGCTTGGTCTTGGTAGTAGAAATGAATCCCTCCACAACTCTCGCTGAATCGCTACCTCCATATTGCAGTGCGACGCAGTTGTAGATAACAGGCTCCACTCTGTGATCGAATATCACCGTCCGTCTTCATTTCCTTGTGAATTGACTCACTGGCAGAACTGTACTCGCCAAGCAACTAGGGTCAGACTCAAGGCCGAACGACGGTCACTATTGGCCACGTTTTCTCGAAAGGAAGAGCAGACATGAAAGTAAGGTTCATCACTGGTAGATAACAGAGACGCAGGAAAACACACCTTCTGAACTTTATAGCTGCTTGACGAATTCTGCTTTCATCTCGGCCCATACGGATAGTAAGTAAACCAAGCCTTAAGAGGGATACCAAGGATGATGAAGATGTCGAGCTCACCGGCAACGAGCGCGACCGGTGTGTTGGAACAGAAGCTAATGACTTCCGAGTCCCTGCAACCTGAAAGTGACTAGTGAAGCACGGCATGTACGGTACTCAATCTCATAATGCTGTTCGGCCTGATGATCAGACGCGATAATCAGTTGCATAACATCTAGGTTCAAGAAATGATGAGTTATCCTTCTGTGACTTCTGTGAGACCATGAGGCAGTGGTTTTCGTTACAACGAAGGAACACATTTTCTGATTATCAGATAAGCAAGAATCAAAAAGTACACCCTGAGCGCGTCGTAGTCACATGATTGATTGTGTGATCATGTTTTTTTACGATCAAGTATCATCACAAAAATTGCTCAGCCTAGACACTACCATACATAGGTATATCTGCGGTGTCAACACTGTCAACAATGTCAGGGTTAGGGTCTAGTATGTCTGAGCAGACTTGGAACCTGAAATGTCCAATGGATGGAGCGTGTATGACGTGTTCCAGGCAAATAGATTATTATCTCAATTAGATTATTCAGACATTGTAAATCACACAGAGATATTCAGTTTAAGTCAGATATTGATTGTCATCATGAGAGTACAAAGTATTGTAAGGCGCTACAATGTAAGGAACCTGCTGCGCTAGCAGGAATCGGATATCGCTGAATGAGAGAATACTGAGATAGCATCAAAAACAATGTAACGAGAGCACAACACCGAAAGTCCCAGTGCAAGAATATGAGTGCAACAAGGCCAAGTCCAATTTGGAAATAGAGTGATTTGAGAAGCGGTCACCAAGCCTCTCCAAAGTGGTTGCCGAGTGCTACCCTCTTCTATGTTAAGGTTGAGCGCGGCAAACTTCACATGCATACATTGGGCCCGTTTGAGAGGTTATGGTGGTCAGAAAGATAAAAGAATAAGATGAAAACATGCGTCTATGTGCTGGGACGATGTTGAGCGCCGTCGCTATGAGGACTGTGGTTGGTACCAGGGGATATGCAGCAGAGGAATAGCACAATACGAATCCACCATTTGGAGTTGTCAATGTGTTTTGCTTTGTCGCTAGCTTGTTCTGGCTGCCGAGCAACATATAGTGCCTGTACTTAAAACTTGGATACCAGCCATTGAGAACATAGCCTCCAAACAGACGTACCTTCTTGTCATCTAGTGCAGGAACTTTGACAACAGGAGGACTGGGGCGAGAGAAAGTACTAGGCCCTGTGTGTTGCTGGAGTTCGACATGTTCATCGGCATTTGGTTGGGAACCAATGTAGATCAGTAGATCAACCATTGTCGCGCGAGTGTCTTCGCTAAAGTAGATGTACGAACTTACAAGGAGTGTCGTTGGTCTAATACCACACTGAATTATGAACCAGATACTCACCAGAGCGGCGACTCGATTTCGATGTACTCCTTGTTCAAGGGGGCAACAGGCGATGATGTAAGGTATGTAACAAGAATGTCTAAAGCCTGCGATCTCGTCCTTCTCAGGAAACTCGACGGTTTCCTTCGTGATTTTCTTGATGGGAGAACAGTTGGCACTAGTGGTCTCTAAGAAAAGTCATTTCCAACCGCTCGGGCGGGGGCCATGGTTTTGACCATGTGAAATGATACTAGGTTCAACCTTGTCCTGCACTACAGCCAATAGAGACTTTGTTCCGGTAGAAAGCTTTCCGGTAACGATCAAGGACAGATTATGTGGAACATAGTAAGTGGCGTGATAATCCCTGACTAAGATCAGAAGAACATTAGTGAAGGATGGACGCCAAGAGGGATTGATTCACTTTGCTCGACAGAGAGTCGCTCTCACTGTCACCATCACTCCCATCCTCATCAGCTTCGACCTCCAACATCCGTTTCTCAACTTGGAAGACTGAAAAATGAAAATCAGAATAACTTGTAGCCCATAAGCCAATATCACACACCATTTGGGAGCAGGATATTCAGTGGCACTGTCAATATCGGGTAAACACATGCACCTACCAAAGACTCCCTGCCATCATTGTAGTTGCATAATAAGTAGGACTAGGTAGAAACTCAACACGAACGGTGGAAAAGAGTGGAAGCAATGCGCATATACTCACCTTCAGGCAAAATTAGAAATGTAGCTGCACTCCGTGTGAGCTATTCGCTTGTATGGATGTTCATGTCAAGAACTACAAATGGGAGCTACAGGGGGGATGGTAGTAGTGGGTGGAGAAGATTAGAGGCATGATCGGAGACAGCTCAAAAGTTCAGCTTGTTGGGGGTCCAACACAACCCCAACAGTTTGCGCTTTGGCAAAGTGCCAAAGAGTACCATGTTAAGTCTAGACACAGTAAACACCTCAGTCTCGATGGAACAGACTGAGATTAAGTACCTAGACACAGTAAACACTAGTACAGATATGTGTTAGTGTCTAGTTACTGTGGCGAGATAATAAAATGAACGTACCCTCAGTCTCGATGGAACAGACTGAGGGGAAAGACGATACAAAGACAAACAATAATATATGGTTCGGTTTGGAATCCTATCAATTGCACTCCGTGTCGCGTCGTCACGTGCACTCGTGCACCAATACTCCTCCTCAACGCGACAAGCACTCCTCCTCGAATGAATCACCGTAGGCCCAAACAATTGCGGAGACGCTCATAATCTTTCCTTGGTAGAGCTTTAGTGAATATCTCTGCGATGTTATCTTTGGAGTGGACGTAGTGCAATTTGAGCTGGCGACATGATATGTGTTCCCGGATAGAATGATGTGCCAAGTCGATGTGTTTGACACGAGCGTGGAAAGAGGAGTCCTCGGTGAGGACAATCGCGCCATTGTTGTCGCACATCAGCGGGGACGCAGTTGCCTGTGGGAATTCGATTTCATTGAGCAGCATGCGTAACCAGGCTATTTCTTTGCCTGCCTCCGATGCTGCAACATATTCAGCCTCGCAGGTTGACAATGCGACTGTCTTTTGCTGATGTGCACTCCAGGTAACAAAGCCACTGCCAAGGGAACAACAGTAACCACTGACAGAACGGCGTGTGTCAATGCAGCTGCCGAGATCGCTGTCGGTGTATGCAATGAGGCGAGCAGTGTGTTCACCGCCAAGGACAAGACAGAAGTTGCGGGTCCCCTTGAGATAACGGACAACGCATTTTGCAGCCTCCCAATGAACTCGGCCATAGGAGTCGAGGAATTTGCATAGTTGTTGGACTGCATAGGAGATATCTGGGCGAGTACCAATAGCCAGGTACATGAGAGATCCAACTAGGGAACGATAAGGCGTACATTGCATGAGTTCGCGTTCAGTGTCATTGCGAGGGGAATGGTCTCGGCGGGATAGGTGGAGGCCTGGTTCCATAGGAACAGAGACGGGCACCGCATCCTTGAGGCCAAACTGGGAGACAATACGATCAATGAGAGCGGTCTGAGATAGAGAAATTGTGCGAAGGACTCGGTCACGAGCGATGCCGATACCTAGACAGAAGTGGGCGTCTCCGAGTTCAGAGACTTGCCACTTGGTCTTGATTTGAGTCTTAAAATCTGAGATAACACCCTTTGAGCTGCCTACGGTGAAGAAGTCATCAACATGAACGGCGACGAGGAGTATGCCGGCGCTATTACGACGGTAGTAGATGCAGTGCTCGCTTTTAAGTCGGACAAAACCCCAAGCGAGCATAGCCTCATTAAGAGTGCGATTCCAGATGAGACCGCCTTGTTTCATCCAATATAGTCCTTTCTGTAGCTCCCAGACGTGGTTCTCGTATCCCGGTTCCACGAAACCCTCGGGTTGTTCCATGTAGCAGACCTCATCGGAGTCTAGAAGACCGTAGAGAAAGGCCGTCTTGATGTCAAGTTGCTCGATTTCCCAATCGAGGGCAGCGCCAATGTGCGCTAAGATCCGGAAAGACTCCAGGTGGGCTGTAGGTGCAGGCGTCTTCGTATAATCTTGTCCCCAGACTGCGGAATAGCCACGGCACACATAGCGTGCTTTAAAACGCACAGGATCCCCATTTTGGTCACGTTTGAGCTTGAAAACGGGGCGACCTTTCATGATCTTTCGGCCGGTGGGTACTGTAGAATGGGGTACGAGCTTGTAGACACCTAGATCGCGCAGGGAGTCAAACTCAGCACGCATCGCCTGAGTTCATTCGGTTGTGTGTGCAGAGTTTATTGCCTCAGTGTAAGTGACAGGATCAGAAGGATGTTCGTTGTCGAAGTCATCTGGGATGGCTGCAAAGGCCTCAGTCAGATGAGCCAACTCAGCTTCCAGGTCGGCAATGTCCTCATGAGCAAGCGCCGCCAGTGCAGATTCATCAGATTCATGCACTGTTGGTAGGGTACGAAGTCGATCAGCAGAGGCCAATGAGGACAGAGCATTGCGTTGAGTCGCATTAGTGTAAGGAATACCTTCTGCTGCGCAACGGCGCTCAGACAGCACGGGTGTTCGAGTGGACCGACGAGGTAAGTCAGTAGCAGGGGGATTGGGGGCTGGTCCTGGGTTAGGTGGGAGGATAGGTGACGCAGCAGAGGGAAGGATCTCCTCATCTGGGGTGTCAGTGACAGAGGCGTGTTGCGAAAGAGCAAGCGGGACAGAAGCATTCTCGATAGTTACACCAGGGTGGAGTGGGGTATCAGCAGAATTGTGCGATTCAATAAATGATACATGATAAGAGACGAATACTTTGCGGGATTCCCGATGATAACAACGATAAGCCTTGGAGTTGAGGGAATAGCCGATAAGCACGCATTCAACTGATCGTTCATAGACCTTCGGATTGTGTCGGTTCTGTATCAGAACAAAAGCACGGCAGCCGATTTCACGGAGATGGGTAAGGTCTGGTTTCTGATCGTACCATCGTTCGTAGGGGGTGTGGCCAGCTTGGGAGGAGACCGGGGTGCGATTAGACAGGTAACAAGCAGTTAAAACAAACTCGTCCCATCGATTCACAGGGACTCCACTAGCGATACACATGGCACGTGCTTTACCCATTAAGGTGTGATGCAAACATTCAACTCTACCATTTTGCGCCGAGGTATATGGCGCTGTGAACTGATGTTGAGTACCACGCGAGAGGAGCCACTCTCGCATGGCCTCAGACTTGAGCTCGCCATTGTCTGATCGGTATATACCGACCTTCAGGTTGGTTTCGAGCTCACGAGCCTTCTCCCAAGCATGAAGTGCAGGGAAGGCGTCAGATTTAGCCGAAAGAGGGATTGACCATGCGTAGGACGAAAAATCATCAATGATGTCCATCATGTACTTATTGCCTGCTGCTGATACAGTGTCCGGATGCTCCATGAGATCCACATGTACAACTCCTAACCTTCTAGTAGCCTTTTCCCCAACGCGAACTTTTGGAACACTAGACTTGGTCTGCTTTCCAAGAATGCAAGCATCACAAATGGGAGGTTCGGTAGAAAGGGTAATAGGCATACCGGTGGCGTTACCAGAGCGCGTGAGGTCATAGACAGCATGGTAGTTTGCGTGACCAAGACGGTGGTGCCAGGATTGTAGGGTGGGGAGGCGCTGCGCCAGGAAGGCGTGATCTGCAGAGAGCTGCCCACCAGATAGGGCATATAGGCGACGGGATGTGAGGGTACTGGAGAGCATGCGTGTGCCACTGCGGGCCTGGACCCAACAGCTGGTAGCATCAAAAGAGGCGACACAGTGGTGTGCGCTGCAAAGACTCGACACGGAGATGAGTCGTATGGTAGCAGCTGGGATAAAAAGGACGTGGTCGAGCGTGAGATGGATCCCTTTAGCTACAACGAGTCGGAGTGTGCCAACGCCGATGGCTTGAATGGAGGACCCCCCAACGCCACTGACGGTGCGGGGGGGAATAGGACGCAGACTAAAGAAATCGGATTCGGCATTGCTGATATGAACAGAAGCTCCACTGTCGAGGAAGAAAGGGACGATAGAGGGATCCACGATCGTGCGCTGGCGTTGGTTGGGCGCCTTGTAGGTAATGCCCGCAAAGTCGACTGGTTGGCTGTGCTGACGCCAGTCGATGCTAGTCTGCAAAGTGTCTAGTGCGGAGTAAAGCGCCGTGAATTCATCATCGTCCACTTCAGAGACCTCACGGATGAAGGCAGGGGTGAGAGTATCATAGGCGAGTCCAGCAAATTCACGTGACACTGTGTCAGTGGGAGCAGGAGGTGACGAAGCAGAGGTAGCAGAAGGGGAGGCGATATAGATGGCTTCATGAGTCTCACCATCAAGGATGTATGCGCGCCCCCCAATGTCATAACGTACACCACCTGGATTACCCGTAGACGCGGGCTTGGTGGCGGGCTTCGCAGTAGCTCCTCCTTTGCTAGTATTGGCTCCCCGGGCAGCGCGTTTTCGAGCAAGTACCTCTTCTCGTTTCCCTTCCATGCTGCCACCTTTGGCGAAACAGTCTTTGGCGAGATGCCCCCAACTGTTGCAATTGGTGCAGCAGAAGGAATGTCCTTGACGCCCGCATTCTGTGCAGGTCTTGGACCGCCCACCAGAGGTATTTCCACTGCCCTTACCATTAGCAAGTAATGCGACATCCCCCCCTTTGCTCCTCTCGGTGTCGAGGAGTTGTTGCTCGACATCCAGATGGGCGCGGATATTGGAAGGGCCGTAAGCGCTAACAGTGGCGCTCGTGGAAGTACTGGTGGACAGAGCATCGGCGATATGATTCCAAACATGTGGGAGGTCATCTGTCATAGCGTTAAGCATCATTATGGTGATGAAGTCCTCCTCCTTAGGTATCCCGATGGCATAGATACGCCTGACCAGTTCACTGAGTTGGGTGCTGGTAGTAGAGAGGCGTTCGGAACGACGGTATCGGATCGCTAAAGCTTGTTGTATGAGGAGGATTTGGGCGATAGGGCCAACCTTCTCATGACGGGACTTCAGCGCATTCCAGGCTAAATACGCATTAGTGAAAGGGCAAAGGAATTCTTGTTCCTCAGAACTGGAACGTGTGCATAATGCTGCGATGATACAAAGGTTGTTGAGGTCCCAGTGGGACGTGTGCGTAACGCTGCGATGATACAAAGGTTGTTGAGGTCCCAGTGGGATGCGCTCGCTGGATCGGCAGATGGGTCGGGACGCATGATGAGCCCGAGGATATATCCACCTCCGTGTTTCAAAAGGAGGTAATTCTGCATTTTGTCGGACCAGATCCCCCAGTTATTCGTTCCGCGGTCTAATACCTCGATCTTTTCCAGATTAGTCTGACTAAGAGTTATAGCCGTGACAGCAGGCATGACCGGGGTAGGGGCGGGTGCCAACATCGACGAGGTTGCGTTTGTATTACTTTTGGTACGAGTATGCACAGGCATTGAGATTGACGAAGTTGGGGAGAAAGCGTGATAATGGGAGAAATCCTCACAGACCCCCTAGATCTAAGATATATAAGCGTATGATTTGAAATAATGTGTTTGATGCTTCTCGCTCGAAACGGAAACAACGAGACAGTTCAATAACTTAGATCGAAGTTTGCGCGAAGCGCTGCACGCCCGAGGTGTTATAACCTGGTACGTTAGTTCCTGGGTGATCTGTTGGTCTAGCTGGTTCTGCCACTCGTTCACGAGTGAGCAGGGCTCATAACCTGTTAAGTCTAGACACAGTAAACACCTCAGTCTCGATGGAACAGACTGAGATTAAGTACCTAGACACAGTAAACACTAGTACAGATATGTGTTAGTGTCTAGTTACTGTGGCGAGATAATAAAATGAACGTACCCTCAGTCTCGATGGAACAGACTGAGGGGAAAGACGATACAAAGACAAACGATAATATATGGTTCGGTTTGGAATCCTATCAATTGCACTCCGCGTCGCGTCGTCACGTGCACTCGTGCACCAATATACCAAACAAAGGACTTGGAAGAAAACTGAGTGCGTGTAGATCGAGGAAGGATATGGCGCGCTTTGATTATTTAGCATGCTTCTCAATCGAACGGCCAGCGCATCAAATTTTCATTTTCATTTTCTGTTGCGCAAAGAACAGTATCTATACGATATTATGTAGTGTCTAGGATGTGTCATATAGATACAAGAAGTATCTACTTAATGTCATTACGATAGTATCACGAGGTGGGAGGTATCATTCTGAGCATTCAAATGTCGCGTCGGGGTGTTGATGACATCGCACGGACTTGTTTGGTCATATGTTCAGCCACCCTGCCGTCCATATCGGGTAATCTCTCAGTTGTGCAATTTTTGTGATGATCTTGACGAGCGTCCACTTTCAAAATTACAGTATACCATGGACCTCGGCGAGAACGTCAACACTCCCACGACTCGTCTCCTGACGCTACTAAATGTGTCTGCTTTAAAAAGCAGAAAAAGAACACGGGATGAGGATTCCCCAGCACCCGAGAAGTTAAACAAACGAAAGACGGTTAAGCTGGTAGAAGATGTTACCTCGGACCCAGGCCCCTCGATGTTATGCGACAGAACTAACAACGCCACAGATGACGAGGTCTTGGGAGGTAACGAAGAAAATGACGATGTAGATCCACAAGGTACATCACTAGTGTGGTTTAAAGAAATATACTCAAAGGTACTCCGTCAGATATTACTTCGGCATACGAACAACATTACGGACCAAATACGGAGCTTGTATCAGATGCATCAAGAAGCTCTGTGGATCAACGACGCTGGACGTCTTCGAGGGAGAAAGTTGGCAAATTAACAACTGTGTTTAGTTTACGAAATGAAGATAACACCCCTCCATCGAAAAAACTGGCCAAAAAAACAGCAGTATGTTGCACCCTGTAGTATATCATCGTGTTGTTGGACTATTCATGGAATGATTACCAGATATCAGAGCGTTTGAGGGGCCCATTTCAGGCGCGACAATCGAAGCAGTCGTCAGGTATGCTCAGCGGTGTACCGCATGTCATGATATTGATATATGTACAATTCAGATCAAAAGCAGATACAAGATAATCTACTCTCGATCTTGTCCGCCCACCTTGATCTATATAATCCTGCGCTTTCTCTGGAGGATCACCGAAGTGTACAAGATGTCGTTGCATTGCACGCGCTGGACCACGTCACAAAGTTTGTTGCTTCCCATCTCTAGACTCAGCCGTGTTAATAGAAAAACACAGAAAGCGAAGACGAGTTTTGAAAAACAATGAACGTCTCGCACATGCGAAAGCAGCTTCAGTCTCTCCTCCAGAGGACGTTCAAGATCAAGGTTTTACTCGACCCTCCGTACTCGTTCTTCTCCCGTTTCGTTCGTCGGCACTCGCCTGGCTCGATGCATTAACCACACACACGCCCTCTCCGGCATATCAAATCGAAAACCACTCTCGCTTCCTATCTGAGTATGCTCTTCCACCCGATGCAGTCGATAAGCTGGCAGTTGCAGAACCTGGGACATACCCTCGAGACCATGTTGAAACGTTCAAGGGCAATGTCGATGATAATTTCAGACTTGGAATTAAACTCACAAGGAAAAGTGTCAAATTATTTGCCGATTTTTATGGTTGTGATATCATTTTTGCAAGTCCGCTCGGGTTGAGGATGTCAATCGAGAAAGAAAAGTGCGTTTATTGTGCGAACCCAATACAACGGTCAATTGTAACTTCTCTTCAGAAGCGCAGATTTTTTGTCATCAATCGAAATATTAGTGATAGACCAAATGAATGCACTGACAATGCAAAATTGGGAGCATGTCCAGGTGCGCTCGTGTCATTCTTCATGTTAATATTCTTTCTGATTATGTGCATGTCAGTATGTCCTTTCAAACATGAACAACCTGCCAAAAGATTCCCATGACGCCGACTTCTCGCGTATCAAGCCATGGTATTTAGACGGCCAGTGGGTTTCTTCTTGACAATCCATTGTGCACAATGACTTAGTCTCCGCGAGTTCGGCATACCTTCGACAGTCCATCCTCTTGTCACCGTTCGAGATGCCAGAATTGAGAGCGTTGTTTAACACCACGCTCAAAAATGCTGCAGGGAAGGTCAGAGTCGAAAAAATATGGCCTGCCATACAGGTTCCGGAGTCTATCGACCAAGTGAGTGCCTTCTTAATTGCCTCATGAATTCAGCCTTAACAATGCAAAGATGTTTGTTCCTTTCGACTGTGCGAACCCCAAGGACGAACCCGAAAAGAGATTTGCGTATTTCACCACTCAAGTAAGTTCTGCGACTCCAACCTTGACTTCTCTTATCTTACATCATGTTAAGCTACTACCAAAATTACTCAAATCCGCGGTACAGAGTGCCAACACAGTGATTTTCATACCTTCCTCATTCGATTTCATACGCGTGCACAACCACTTCCGGAAGCAGTCTTCCCTGAGCTTCACTGTACTCTCTGAGTGAGTTCCGCATAAACAAACAAAACCCGAGGACGTCAACTAACTACATGTAGATACTCTACCAACCAAGACATCTCTCGAGCACGAGAAACTTTTTTCTCTGGTAAAAAGGCATTTTTACTCGTTAGCGAGCGGTTCCATTTTTACCGCAGGTATGTCATTCAAGCATATATGTAAAGTTATGGTTTACACAGCGATTCCTGTATCTGCAGATACAAGATCAGAGGCATCCGCAATCTCATTTTCTATGGCCCTCCAGAACACCCTCAGTTCTTCTCCGAGTTCCTGTCTTTCCCATTCCTCGATGATGGGGTGGAGGCTTCTGATGTAATGTCAAAGGTGATTTATTCCAAGTATGATAAGTTCAGGTTGGAAAGAATTGTTGGGACAAAAGGCGTGAAAGGTCTTGTGGAAGGTCTCCTGTAGTTTCGGAGCGATACCGCCTCACCGCACTACTGCAGGCGTGGGTCTTTACATAATGTTTGAAGACTGCCACTCTGAAGTGTAAGATACACCGAGGCGTTCGTTCTTTTCGTGTCATCCTTACTTACGATTGATATCACTCGTTATTAGCCATTCTCTTTTCTAACGATCGATACTAGTCTAAGTGTTGTAGGCAATTGGTAGAAAACGAACGTTTGAGTTCGCAACTCACATGCAGCTGCTATGGCCAGTCAACCGAGGAACATTCACTTACAAACAAAGCTTCGATCAATTTTCATGCCTAAAGGACGCTACTGATACACCATCTCGTCGTACACTCGTTTCATAATTAACAATCAGTTTCATCATCTGTTGAAACACATGCTCGTATGTGAACTACCGCAGGCTTCGAAACTCGGTTTTGTTCCTGATTGATTGAGCGCTCTGTTTCTTGGAACACTTGAACTTGGACGTCTCGGTTCTTCAAGTTTTGCAGCGAGTCTCTGTCTGATTGCATATCTCCCGCTGCGAAACCAATTGCATTCTGAAAAAAAATTATATTTTATGCGCAGTTATTTAAATGCTGCTCACCAAACCACCACCGCGACTCTGGGCATCACCTCTTGAGGACTTCCGATTCTCTCGAAGGAGTAGCCGCCGATTCAACCTGTATGTCACGTTGGTAAGTTCATCGCGGTTATCATCTGTCTGATCCGTTTGGTGACTGACGAGGCTAACAAGGAGTTCCCTACGACTACACAATATGCGGGTCAGTATTTTGATTTGATTTCAAGTATTCCATATCATTACCATTAGGCCACAACAACCATATTCCAAACCACACATCTGCGTCATTTCAGTCGTAGTCAGATGCATCACCAACGCACTCACAGTTTTGTTTCACGACTGTGAACTTGAAGCTAGTTAGAGAACACATCATTCGGGGAAGATAAGGGTGGTACAATCCTTACCAAGATTATCACGGTTATGGTCGTCAAACTGAGAGATCATTAAAGGAAACGATTGATGAGAGAGGTAAATACCTGGTGACCAGAGCAGTCTCTGTGTAGAGGTAATGTTAGAAGGTATTCACTAAAGCAAGACGCTTGCTATCTTACCAAGTGTCCAATGAATCAAGCGGTCGACCGTCATCGCCGTGCTATAAAAGATGTAGTAAGGAGTGGTAGGCGATATCGGATACATAGTCATACTCTCTAAAACCAGAGACTCGTCCCTTTCTCAGACTCCAGGTGACGCCGACGGTGGTGATGGAGTCACAGGCCGCACGTGCAATCCAAGACAGCGCAATCAGCACAATTTGACTGTCTATAAACGTCATGAGGTCCGTCATAGAAAACGCCCTTACTGAGAGAATGAGCATGGAGATTTGTGCGACCACGGAGAGCATTCCGCAAAGAATAGGTAAGAACAGGCTTCTGGTCAACTTCCAAAGTCGAAATGCGTAAAATGACTGACACCACCCGTGAGCACCAAAGAATTAATATACATCAATCACTTACATGAACGATGAATACCGTAAAGCCACTCAACATGATGACCAGGTCTGTCGCTAGAGGAAGGATATTGAGTCGAGATGGATCACTATAGGCGCTGACAGTCATTGCCCGCAATGTTAATATTATGCAGACAAATTGGCCCAGCTGAATCAAACTACAGAACGGATGTCAATCGAAGGCACCAAGTCAAACATGGAACATACAGGATTGCAGATACCTAAACACATGATGCGATCAATAGGAATATATTGCAAGGTTGACCGACTCACAGTTGCTTTCAGGGCGAAGCCATCGCTCGCGAATCTTGTAAAATACAAGTAGGACTGGCAGGCAAGACAACCAAATAATGCAGCGCTCAAAAGCCCACCAACTTGAGTCGGCTCGATGATGGCCACGGATCCATAGGAACTATTTGCCGAGCCCTCTAAGCTGCTATTCATCGTGCCCAATGCAAGGTGATACGAAACAGTCTGGTCGCTATGTCTGGCTTATCGAAGCGTTTGCCGATATCAGTTGGTGAGGCGAGGAACCTGAAAAAATGCACGGTGAGGTCAAGTGCAGTGAATCCAAAAGTGCGGAGAGTGAGGATCCGGCAGCTCGATGTCCGATATTTATATGGCATGTGCAATTGAGCTTCAAGTTGGGTTGGACTCCGAGTCGGAAGTAGTAGTATCCCCGGATATTTGGTGATGTCATTGGGTTCATACGCAGCACAATCATTTCTGATGAAGCTCAAGTTCTGCTTTGGCGACGGCACGAGGTGCGCCACTAGTACTTACTTCTGTACGTTCCCCTAGCTTCACTCGTGTAGCGTTGGGGTGAAAGTCGTTGCAAGCTTGACCTGGATCCGAATAGTCGTCTGTACAACAGCCGCTAACTATAATAGCTAGTTGGACTTACCGTCATTGTATTAATAACGCAAGGACCGTGATGTGCGGGACTAGGCCTGCGGCCGTATGGACGGCATCGGAATTCGTCGGGATATCTGCAGAACATAGCTTCGAACCCAACTCCCACGGCGTTTGAACTTTGGAAGTCTGATTCAACCTCTAAATTCTAATTCATGTCTTGACTCCACAAAGAAAAATCCAGATTTTCTTAGAATTCTTAGAATCAATTTTTTTTGCGACATGAACAATCTGATGTGTTGGTGGCACTTCGAGCGTGGAGCGACATGTGGTTGCACGTTTGAAATATTTTATGGGGGCAAACTGGACATGGCCATTTGCATAATTAAATAATAAATATTCCTTGACTTACTATCGGTCTGATGGCGTAGTTGGTTATCGCATCTGTCTAACACACAGAAGGTCCTCAGTTCGAGCCTGGGTCAGATCACATTTTATTCTGTTAATTGAAGCCGGCACAGTCACCCCAAGCTTAACTTGTCGCTTGTTTCTACCGCCAGTGGCCGATGAATGCACAATGAGCACCTATCTTTACGAACTCCCAACTACTGGCGCTATCTCTTTTGGAGACTTTTGCGTTGACACCACGCCATCCAATGTATATGCAAGTCACATCGCTGAAGCCACCCAAGCGCGAGCAAACCTACGCGGTGTCCTGAAAGTGACCAAACGCACTGACACAGACGACAAGGATTATTTGCGCTTGATCAAGGTGTGCATCACCGTTTGCAATTCAGGGCTCGCACAGTATATATCCTCTAGGTTCTCGATGACTACCTCCCATACTTGCATGGGATCATGGCCTGTGTCGTATCAGGGGACATTCGTCTGAAATCCGAACCCCGTGAGTCTTATGGTTGATCCGCTATGCGTTTGACTGACTAGCTCGAGGTTCAAAGAATTCAGCTGGCGCACGACACTTTCCGCACATCTATTTCACATGTCCCCAAGAATCGCTCTAGCATCGCTGCATGCGGACCTTGCATCCTCATTGCTCACTTATGCCTTTGCGCTGTCGAATTTCGCGCGTGTGACGGTTGCAAGTCTCGGTTCTTATGAGTATGATCGAGCGATCTCAGAAATCGAGAGAAAAGCGAAGGACGAGAAGCTCAATTTTGCGGTGATAATGCTGTGCAGAGCGAGCGGGATCTTTACCTATGTGAGCGAGAAGGTGTTGTTGGATTGGGATAAAGGGGAGGGTGCGTCGGCTAGGCCGCCCGATCTGAGGAAGGAGGTTAATGCTGCCCTCGCAAAGTCAGTACGCTCCCTCATTTCATCTCATCTCATGTTGGATGCTATGTTTCAGGATGGCACTCGCTGACGCGCAAACTCTGGCAATTCGCAAGTTTCTCTCCAAGTCTGCATACGACAACGCCATATCCCCCGGCCCTCCGCTTCCAAAATCACACCCCTCCATCCCGCTGATATTTAAATTCCACCTTGAATGCGTGTCGCTGTACTCCTCTGCGCGTGCGCTTGCCATGACGCTCGGCTCCACACGCCCATCTTCCTCGTCTTCTAATCCAGACTCCAATGCAGAAGTCTGCATCGAGCTGCGCCGTTATCTTGCAGATGCATCGGCATTTCATACAGCGCTTGCGCATAAGTGGCTTGGCGTTGATGCAGGAGAGAGTGGAGCGCGCGAAAAGGGCGGGGAGGCGGTGGCATGGTTACTATGGGCAAAGAAGGAGCTTGAGGACATGAAGGAGAGCGGGCTTGGTATTGCAGTAGGGCGGGACCGCGAGAAGCGCGGACGCAAAGGACGTGTTGCGGATGAATTGGAGAGCGTGGGCGTATTTTTGAAACACTATAAGAAAATCAACGATTCGGTAAGTCGGAGGTGTTTCGATTGCATGAAATATTGGGTACTGATCATTTTTTTGTTTACGACTGGCAGCTGACATTTCAGCCTGTGCCTAAGCAGCAGGACTTGCAAGCGCGGATACCTACAGGGATTTTGGCGGTGCATGCAAAGCCCTACACACTGCCTTCCCCAGCATTCGGACCTGGGTCCGTCGAACATGCACGTCTACAGACGGAAACGCTAACACTAGAACACGATGATTCGTCTGGCGATGAGGCTCTTGCTAGTACTACCAGTCCGCGCACGTACGCTGGAGCTGGTTCGTACTTCTAACCCTTGTACAGTTAAGGCCAAGTGCTGTGCACATCGCATGTTCTGGTAGGTACAGTAAATTTATGAACAAGATACTATATCCACTTCTAAATCAGGTCTCAATCGATTAACCCCCCTTCTGTTATTTATCTTAAGGCGAGAAGCCACACTCCTACTTGAAATGCTTGATGAATGTGGACGTCTCAGATCTGCGAGGTATGTGCTGGCACTTGCAGTTTTCGTCAGGTGCCCAGGGCTGAGAACAGTCCAAAGTTAGCAACAACCCACCCCTGGGGTGGAGCAAGCGCCTCGTTTTGGAGGGCACTATTTACGGTGTTCAGGAGCCAGCAGTATGTTAGGGGACGGCAAACAGCGGCTTGGCATGATGGAACACGCTGAACTAGTACTAGTAGCGCGCTGATTTGTGGTAGACATGAAATTTGCTCATGCAGCAGAACTAGTACTGTTGCGCTGTACCAGTTAGTCGAGATCTCGAGATGGCATCATGTGACTCTTTGCCTTCAAGTGATTTTCAAGGGCATGTCCAACACGCTGTATTTGGACTTGGCCTGGAGTGAGAAAACATGTCCGTGATCGATCATCGTCATTTGCTACGGCATATACCGTCAAACATTCCGTGGCCCAGACCTACCTGAATGTGTGCATCTAGTTCGTGACTGGGGTTGACGTCGATCACGGCTGCTCCGTTACTTTAGGCTTCCATCGGCACGCGGAGTGTGATTCTGCCACCCTGCTAGTGAGGCTCTGTCATCTGCCAACCGTCGGTGCTGACCTGCCAATAATCAGTTGCCATGCGTCTTGTCAAGTTCATTGTTGACCTAGTCAATAGCGTTGTCGACGACTTACGTACGGACAGGGATTGTTCACAAAAAGGTGGACCCTTCAAGGGTAATTCGCATCCGTAGTGTTGACATTTTTTGTTCTAGGGTCAAAGGGATCTATAATGGACAGCTCCGTTCTGATTTCAGCCATAATAATCACAATTGTCACTTAGCCTGCCATCACTTCCTTAGACGTGTCAGACGCGGCCGCCATCACTGTCAATGTGTCTCAGATCAACAAATACTGCGACCGTAACGGAAACCACAAGCACAATATGGCATAGGGTACTTTACGCCAGGGTGATGCCCGAGATCGGAGAAAATGTGATGGTGATGGTATGCGGAAGGCAGCCACAAAGGATCACTTTCAATCGGGGGACTTTGAACTATTTTTGTCCAGTGCATCGACGAAGAGTAGCTTTTATATGCAGCAGCGCCTTTTACAAGCTCTAGGGTGCTCAATATCTATTTGCAAATCAGGTTGAAACGGAAATGACGTCCTTGTACACCTTGGGGATACAATGCTTACGGTAACGGCTCACGCCGAAAAGCTAATAATCGGTAACGTCATTTAGTGTCGTAAGGTGGGAGGCCCCACTTCTCGGGCTTGAAATGCTCGATGGACGTAAGCGTCTCATCTGGGACGTATGGGCTGGGACTGGCAACGTCCAAAAGGCGTTCATCAGGTACCCAGACAACTGAAGAGAACGTGAGACCAATTGAAACTCTGAAACAACAACCTACCTGACATTCCGGCTCGTTTCCCTGCCTGGACACCGTAAACGGCGTCTTCAAAAACGAGTCCTTTGCCCCTCTCCACAGTCTCAGCCTCTGTGCACTGCTCCGTAGCGCCTACTGCCTTGCCTAGAACACCTGCAGCATACAAGAAAATATACGGGTCAGGCTTCCCCATAGTCTTGCCTGCTACATCATCAGCGCAGACGATGTTGCCTTGAAAGTAGTTAAAAAATTCTTCGAGATTCTCAGACTTGCGGACAAAGTTCCGTCGTGAGGAAGCAGTGGCAACTATGATTGGCACGTTGTGTTTCACAAGGTGCTGGATTAACTTCTGTACTCCCGGAAGGAGCTGGACAGTTGACCACTTCGCATCTTGCTTTTCTTGGGACTCTGTGAGATACTGGTCGATTGTGATATCGATACCGGGAAACAAAGAGAGTAGGTGTGTCGCAGATTCAATTCGTGCTGCGATATGGTTTGCGTTGAACGAGTCCAGAGAGATCGGAGAGCGCACGTTTTCCCATGAGTTGTGACTTGATGTCCCATGTCATGATCTTGCCGTAGCGACCGAGGATATCATCTTGGAGTTTGTGTCAGCTGTTGAAGAAGCGCAGGGACATGGAGCGTACTATTGACTTCGGTATATACTCTCTCCGTGTCGATGAGAAGGCCTGTCAAAGATGCGTCTTGCGTTGAGTACTCGAGGAAGTTAGAAGTGCGACGCACCATCCATGTCAAAGACTACATAATCTATTCTTCTTTCCATATTATCTATGATGATCTACTGGATGAAATCGAACACGATCAGTGAGATGGATGCGATGGGACTGTTCTCACATCGAGGATTGCAATATTTAAGACATCTTGCAATCCCCGGATGGTGTCTGAGTCCATGATAGTTACATGAAGGAGTTCGGGACTCGGCGCGGACAAGTAGCAATGTTAATGATCCCCATGTGGCGGCACTGATATACTATGTCCTCGAGCTCGGTGATACGCCATGATGCAGACACATGTTGGAGTGTAGGTGTACTAGATCATCAAGTAGCCTCGTTGCAGAAAATTATACCCGACATGACACGACGGGCGCGTATCACGAGATACTTGCGAGAAAAACTGTCACGGCAAAGTCTTGCGCTGTCCTGCGTAACACGTATCGATACGTGGTGAACGTTAACGCCAGCTTCGACACTCCGCTCGCCGTCCTTCGAGGTGGGAATTGCCTTTTGGGGCAACGCGCGATATCGTTGAACGTGGCACTAGTCGACCCAGCTTGAGTGATTAGTTATAGGTTGTGGCCAAGGCCAGCTAAATTCAGTTCGTGGCCTTGGTACATCGATAGGCCAAACCTTATAAAATTACCTTCGGCCAGACCCCAGACGTCCCTTCCATCACTTACTTAGACATGTCAAACGCGGCTACCACCACTGTCAATGTGTCTCAGGTCAACAAGGACTGCGACCGTAAAGGAAACCACAAGCACAATATGGCATAGGGTACTTTACACCAGGGTGATGCCCGAGATTGGAGAAAATGTGATTGTGATAGTATGCGGAAAGGCAGCTATAAATGATCACTTTCAATCCGTAGCGTCATTGGGTGTCGTAAGATGGGAGGCCCCACTTCTCGGGCTTGAAATGCTCGATGGACGTAAGCGTCTCATCTGGGACGTATGGACTGACACTAGCAACGTCCAAAAGGCGTTCGTCAGGTACCCAGACAACTGAAGAGAACGTGAGACCAATTAAAACTCTGAAACAACAACCTACCTGACATTCCGGCTCTTTTCCCCGCTTGGACACCGTAAACGGCGTCTTCAAAAACGAGTCCTTTGCCCCTTTCCACAGCCTCAGCCTCCGTGCACTGCTCTGTAGCGCCTACTGCCTTGCCTAGAACACCTGCAGCATGCAGGAAAATATACGGGTCAGGCTTCCCCGTAGTCTTGCCTGCTACATCATCAGCGCAGACGATGTTGCCTTGAAAGTAGTCGAAGAATTCTTTGAGATTCTCAGACTTGCGGACAAAGTTCCGTCGTGAAGAAGCAGTGGCGACTACAATTGGCACGTTGTGTTTCACCAGGTGCTGGATTAACTTCTGTACTCCCGGAAGGAGCCGCACGGTTGGCCAGTTCGCATCTTGCTTTTCTTGGGACTCTGTGAGGTACTGGTCGATTGTGATATCGATTCCGGGAAACAAAGAGAGCAGGTGTGTCGCAGATTCAATTCGTGCTGCGATACGGTTTGCGTTGAACGAGTCCAGAGAGATCAGAGAACGTACGTTTTCCCATGAGTTGTGCCTTGATGTCCCATGTCATGATCTTGCCGTAGCGACCGAGGATATCATCTTGGAGTTTGTGTCAGCTGTTGAAGAAGCGTAGTGACATGGAGCGTACTGGTGACTTCGGTATATACTCTCTCCGTGTCGATGAGAAGGCCTGTCAAAGACGCGCGTCTTGCGTTGAGTACTCAAGGAGGTTAGAAGTTCTACGCACCATCCATGTCAAAGACCACATAATCTATTCTTCTTTCCATGTTATCTACGATGATCTACTGGATGAAATCGGAGACAATCAGTGAGATGGATGCGATGGCACTGTTCTGAGTCCATGATAGTCACGTGGAGGAGTTCGGGACTCGGCGCGGGCAAGCAGCAATGAATCCATGTGCCGGCACTGACATGGACACACTATGTCCTCGAGCTCGGTGACACCATGCATGTTGGAGTGTGCGTGAACTAGATCAAGCAACCTCGTTGCAGAAAATGATAGCCGGCATGACACGACATGATTAGAAGAGCGCGTATCACGAGATGCTTGCGAGAGAAACTGTCACGGTAAAGTCTTGCGCTGTCCTGCGTAATACGTATCGATGCGCGGTGGACGTTAACGCTCTTTGAGGTCCGCTCCCCGTCCTTCGAGGTCGGGAATTGCCTTTTGGGGTAGCATGCGATTTGAACTAGTTCGTTGAACGTGGCACAATCTGGTCGACCCAGCTTGAGTTATTAGTTATAGGCTGTGGCCAAGGCCAGTTAAATTCAGTTCGTGGTCTTGGTACATCTATAGGCCAAGCCTTGTAAAATTACCTTCGGCCTGACCTCAAACGTCAAGGCGGTCGGCTAAAAAGAGGCAGTAAGGTACTGCCGCAGGCGGTTCCGAATATTCAATTCTCACAAGCCTTTGGGGCGTCCAGAAGTGCACAGCACCGAACAGACCCACTCAATTTTCACGTTAACCCACGGCGTCCATGGCTGTCCTCCACGGATAAGTATATAGTCTGAACACTGGTCCTGAGACTGCTTTTCTCCCGCGTTCATTGTTTCAATCATTGCAATCTAGTCTTGGTCCGACCGACGATCTTGTCCATAACAGCCTGAGAACGGGCCGCCCCATTCTTTCAAATTCAGTACTTTCCTGTGAGCGTGCCAGCTTGCCAAGTGACTACCAGGTTTGCACTTGAATTCACTGTGTTGCCAACTTGAAGCCGTTGCAATAGGATCTACGCCTCCTCAGACGACAAGATGGCCAGCGACTCGACGAGCCGTCGCTCCACATGCTCATCGTACCGTCGTCGTCGTATTCTCCTCATTCCAGCGTTTCTATTCGCCTTTTGCCTGTTCTTTAGAACGCCATGGTCGCTCCCTCCTCTCAACCTCTCAGGAATATCCTCGTCGCTTTCACGTGCCAGTATCGTTTCGATGGTCAAAGGTCCACCAGTGGAGGAGATATATGGCTTGCTCCATTTCGTGACGAGCGATGACGATCGCATGCTGTCCCATTCGATAAACCCTGCTGCGCCGATCGATCTGAGTGTGTATCTTGGTGGTGACCAACCGGATTGGAAATCCCATATGAGAAAGCTGAGAGAAGAGTATCCACTGATCGTATTCTCGAAGGTATGTCAGGTGCTTCAATTTACTAGATCCTGTGAGGTTCTGATGCTGTGTCTGCATCAGTCATATTGCCCGTGCGTTCTTTTTCCCCTTGTAATTTGATTTGCGTGGTAGCCTCATGCACTCCGGTTCTATGTAGGTTCTCAACGAAAGCTAAGAAGTTATTGGAGTCGTATAATCTTTCTCCTCCCCCTAAAATCATCGAAGTCGATCTTCGAGGTATGTCGTGGCCGCTGTGCTTACCTCTGATGCATGCGCTGATTGTTTTTACAGATGATTGGGACTTCATAAAGCTCATCCTTACCCGTCTCACCGAGCATTCTACGTTCCCCAACATAATCCTGAATGGAGAGGGACTCGGCGGAAGCGACGACTTGCACACGTTGCGTGCACAAGGCAAGTTGAAGAAGATGTTTGAGAATGCGGGGATGACTGTAAGGGAGGATAACGTGAAGGAGCGAGAGACGCAATAGAGTTGGCGATGTCCACGTCATCATATGTGATGAAACCAGTGAGATGTGCTTGAAATCGAGCGCTGTATTGTTAAGTCATCTACATATTTATGTGTACTGCTATTATGCTGTTTTGTTCATCCGAGTAGGGGTTTGCGGTGGAACTATTTGTGGGTTTTATGTGACCTATAATGCAACTGCCAATTCACCGGTTATACATGTGTCCAAGAGCATGGTGATAAGCCAGCAGTGGAGGCAATTGTAAGACGGACATGTCAATAAGCTTCCCTGAGAAAACTTCAATGGGGACGGGCGCTCGGGTTTACCCGTCCGACATCGAGCATAGGGTTAGCATTAATGATTATGCGGGCTAGAGGTACGTATCGATAAGAGAAGAATTCAAGCTGAAGAACGAGTTTATGGTGTACCTTTCGGAGAGGGTATGGGGAATTCGAATACGTAGTATGATTAACAAACGAACCCGTGCACTGACGGCACAAGTTTGGACGAGAAGCTGCCCGATGGCGATAATCTAGGTCCACCAATGAGACATATAAGGTACATATACGATAAGACGAGCCTAGGACTGTTAACAGCGGCGTACACTCAGCGGCGAGGTGTATCAATATTCCCACGTGAATCCGGAGGCCACGTCGCCACTATAAACGTTTGTTCCATGGGCGTTTTGCCAACCTTGGCGCATCAAAAGATAATATCGATAAAGATCGGCCGTTTTACGGAGTAACATACCAAATTAGGTAATAGCGGAATTCCTGTGTGACCAAAAAGGTTCGAGCCGACGAGAAGATCAATTAGGCTCGATTCAATTCCTTTTGCTTTTCATTGTTTCGGGTTGCACTCCAACTTCTCGGCCTCGCTTTCAAAATAACCGACCAAAACTTTCATTCACTTGCCATTCATTTATCTAGGGTCTTTTTTAGTCCTCAACACTCTTTTACCTTTCCTTCCCGATTAACTCACTTCGTCGGTCATCATGTCGACGCTCCCCATCACCTCCATTCTCCATTCACTGCAGCACCAACGAAAGTCACTCAATCATAGAGCTACTTCTCTCGCTCTCATCAGCCTTATCGTTGTGTCATTTTACATCTTTTTTGTAGCAAGGCCTTCATTAGACCTTGCTCCAATAGCACTTCGGACCGACGCTCTTGGTCACGCAGGCACACATGGATCACATCAACAAGACAGAGATGATCCTCCACCCTCGTCTAGACTATTCCGTCTACCTTCGAATAGCCAAAGAAAGACAGTCGTCAGCAATGTCAACCGTCCCCAAATAGAATTGGACGAGTCGCAAGAGCTGGCAGCAGTAGCCGCTTTCATAGCAGCACTACCACAGAACATGATTCCACGCTCGATAGACCCAGCCAAACCTATCGACCCCCAACTTGTACTTGACTTCGACACTCGTAGTCCACGCGCCGCAGACGAATTAAACCAGATCGTGCAAGATGTGTGGTCTCGATATCCTGTTATGTTGTTCACCAAGGTTAGTCGCTTCTTCTCCCTCTTAGCCTCATGCTGATGCTCATCTCTCGTCCCAGGCTCACAATGCACATTCTAGGGAAATAAGACGTATCATTGCAGTTATGGACTTACAACCGCCTCCTATGACTTTTGAAGTTGATCAACGAGGTAAACTGGTTCCCTGACTTTGATTTACTAGTCACTCATCACTCTACACGTGTTCTCAGAGGACTCAGAAGTTTTGATCCCTTTGTTACATCGTCTCACATCTTCGACCGATCTTCCCCTCATGCTTGTTGGGGGCAAGTCCGTTGGCTCCATAGCTGCCATCCGCGAGCTTAATGAGTCCGGCGAACTCCATCGGTTGATTACCAATGCTGGTGCGGTCCTTGACGGCAGAAAGAAGAAGAAAGTACACTGAGGGACAATACTTTCCGATCGGACTTTTCCCATCACTTCCGAAAACGACCTAACGACCGGCATGACCTCTCAGCGATCGTATGATCCAAAACTTTCATGCAAATGTACATACCACATCGGATAATCCCAGGTGGATGGATGCTCAAGCGCTATTACATGCCACAAATCTCCAACTCTTGTCCCTCCTTTATTTCTCGTGGTGTTATAGCCGGATTATTATAGCTCGCTTTGCTTCTTGCTTTCTTTTGCATAATGGACGCCATCAACAGAATTACCCACAACCATAGAGACATTGATGGATTTTTTATTTAAGTAATTTTTCTTGTATCTACCGTTGTACGTGTATACGTAGAGGCCAGACGGTACTTAGTAACTGTTCTAGTTTACATCTACATACACAACGGGGGATGCGTTCAGCACCCAGACAATCAATTCAATAATTGAGCTTTTCCTTTTTTTGGTAAGAGGGAGATGAGTTCCTGGTATTAGCTCCAGAGTCCAGGCTCTGTTAGCATGGGAGTGTTTGACAATATCAACGCATGGTGTATCACAGAAGTTCTTCTAGAACATCTATACTTGGGTCCGCACGAAGTTCGATTCCGTCCTCCGGTTGGACAACGCCTAGGCGCTCAGGTCCTCTGCCATAAATAACAAAGAACGACATTTTTAAACTCAAGGTTGGGGGTTACAATGGGGCAGGCGGCATCTGGAAGCAGTGGCTCCGTAGACCTGACTTGCTTATCTGAGAGCACGTGCAACCCATGGCGTTGGCTCGTATTATGTGAACTCGGCGTTAGAATCGATATCGTGAACACGGCCTCGAGCGCTGATCATGCGTGCGGTGACTCAATCGTAGTCGGACGCGAGAAGCCCTCCTTCGAAATTCGGGAATCAAGGGCTTTTAGAGAGCAACCCTGTTATGGCGCTCCACTGGCAACGGATGATAAATATCCTCGCCACCAAAGATAGTCAGAAGCATGTGAGATGTGAGTGGTATGAACGGCCAACGCGGGCCAAAATGACTTCATTGAAATGCACGAGATTCTTCGTACGTCATGCTGACAATGTGCCTACATATTTTCCATGGACGCGAACATTGGAAATTAGCGGAAGGCCCGTACACATGACCGCCACTGGTAATAATTCTCGGCACTTGCGAGGGTACGATGTTACCACCAGGAAATATGAAACAATCAGTCCGTATGACAACCAATAGGTACTTCGAGTACTCTTGTACTTGACAGTGGTAGTTTGTTTGTTGATAATAAAGCACTGCGACGTAATATAATTTGTTGCAAGGTCAGGATATTAACCCCTTGAGGTCATCTTGCCAATCAAAGGTTTTTAACTTGGCAGATTCGAATAACGTCAGAGTCAGACTGGATCCCAGTGGGGTTGGCTTCATCAAGAAATATCACACGCGCCTGCTGTATCGAGGGTGGTTGGCATACACAATAACGCACTCGCATGTGCCATAGTGGACGCAATTCCGCTGCCTCGTGTAGATGATAACGTTGATTTGTCGGCATCGGGGATTTTGTAGCCCGAAGCCTATTAGCCGCAGGAGAAATAAGTCTGATAGCAAGGATGCCAAGCTTCCTTGACAGAGAAATGGCTTCGACGAGATTATCATGAGAGTCAGCCTAGATAAAAAAAATGTAGTCAAAGTATGAGAACTAAGTTATCCGCAGATAATCAGAGTCAGCTGTGTATCCCTCAGAAGAAAGAATTCGACGTCTCAACGAAAAAAAAGTTACACACTCAGGCTGTCTTTGGTGTCGTCATCAGGGTTACCCCGCTGTTGAGAACAGAGTTCCCAAGCTTGTCTGTCAGAGCGTAAATATGCCAATCAGCGTGTTGGATTGTGCTACAGAATGCTACAGAGCGCTCTGTAGTAATTACGGGCGACCTGCAGGCGTCACGAGTGTAATGGTGGGTCAGAAACTCGTCGAATGCATGCGCCTCCATCAAACCCTTTCTTGAAGGTTGCTATGACCTTGCCTATAATATAGCTACGAAGAAGTCAAAAGTCTTGAGAAGCCTTCTGCAGAACAAAGTGACAACAACAACTTGTTGCATGCTTCCGCCGCAAGTCCGGGATATCAACGGCATGTGATGCTGGAACCCTGAAAGTAGCGCTCAAGCGAGGCCGTCCAACGTATGCCGCATCAGGGTGTCCCGGCGGGTGGACGGCAAATACATGGTGAAGCGGATCAATTGCATCTAGGTCAATCTCAACAAGATAGGCTTCAAGTTGCATATAAGTAACCAAAGCTCGTGCAATCAGGGTGAGCATAGTATTGGCGCATTTACATAATGGTCTTGTGCGTACGTACTGGAAATACCGTTATTCGAAACGTCACGATCCGCATCGGGTACATTGTGCGACCCGAGTAACTGCTGTACACCGGGGGTGCTGTAATCAGATACGAGCAATCAAGTAGAAGTTGAGAAAACTCATTTGCGTGGCACCGGTCCACCGCAGAAGTCGCCCCCAACGCCATGGACGGGTACGGTTAGGCGGGAGAAGATAGTATCTACAGCGAATCAAAGTGTGCATAGACCAACGATAGAAGAGACTCACCGAAGTGTTCACTTGCTTGACCGACTAGTTCGTCCGCATCTTGATCTCGACATTGCAAATGATTCCTCCTAATGTAGCAGGGTATGACATATGTCTTGTCCAATGCCTCAGAATTTTCACAGCGAATGCACCGTGCCTTCTGAAGAGCCTGTATGCATCGTTGTGGCGTATAGGCTTCTCTTCGGATGCGAACATTGCAACATATGTGCCTTGCTAATCAGTATTTGAAACCCGTGAGTTCGCTGCACTTGATTTGAGTGATAAGACTACTGTCACGAGCCTGACGAGTGTAGCCTTGGTGCAGCATAAGTTATGGTGTAGATGAAAGTTAAACGAGATCGGTCCGATTCTATTTGATGTTGATATATCACCGGGAACTTGAACGTTCGGGAGTGAAGCAACAGGCTGTGGCTGTGTAATCATCATGCGAATTCCAATTTGCACCTGGTCACCTGGTAGCCGCGGCGGCGACACGGCCCGTCCGACGAACGTCGAGCGCGCGGGCATAGAACGCAATGATCGTTGAAGA